GAAGGGCAAACACATCGATTTGATTTGCAAATGGGCATAATCGAGCCGCGGCAGCTACGAAATCGATCTGCGCAAATAATTAGCTCGTTCGCAGTGTTGTCATTAGCGGTTCCGGCCGATGAGCGGCTGGCGGAAATCAAGCGGTGATTTATGTTGCTCGATTAGCGCACAGTCTGACGAGTGCGAACACCGCGAGAGGATGCTTTATTGCCAGATTAATTCCAGTGCGTTCATTCGCATTTGTAGCCAAAGCGTGAGGTCGGCAACCCACCATCAAGTGGTTAATCATTTTACACATTGCACATTATTCAACCCGGAGGAGCGATCAAATTTGCATATCCAGTCATTTTTTTTTCAATTTTACGCTCCCTGGTTTGAGAATAAATTGCCAATTATGGATGATTTAACATGAGGTAATTATAATTTACACAATTCAGGTGTGGAATATTATGCGATAATTATGTGTTAATTGCTTTCCTTTTTCCTGAATAATATTTTTCTTCAACTATATTATATCAAAATTACCAAAATAAATGTTTGGCGTATATTGTAATGTCAGATATTGAAATTTTATTGCTTTAATTAGGCTGATTCGAGGAAACTTTCTTCAAAATTAACCTGGCAGATACTGATAAAAAAAGGAATATTATCGAATTTTTCGCAAACTTTACATTGGAATAAATATTTTTGTTGAAATCAGCCATTGAGATGAAGAATCAAATTATTTGTTAAAAAATAGACACAAAATTATTATTATGCTTCTTAAATTACATAGAAAAAAGTGTATAATTTGGTCCAGTCATCGGCGAGGGAGCTCCGGAGTGTCACACAAAAAAAGAACGATGAGCCGCCAAAAATAAAAGGTTGCGTGCAATTGTCGGCGACGCTGTTTCAGTTTCCCACACGTTAATTGTTTTCTAATTAGAATAAAAAAATATAAAATGTACAGAATTTCCTTCGAGTTTTATGGAACTTAAATTAACATAAATATTTTTCACATTCATTGAAAAACACAACGCAAAAAGTGTTAAAACCATTCAGGAAAAATATACAAAGAAATTAAAATACATAAAAACTTTCCAAGAAGCCTATAGAGTCACATGGCCATGCCAATTTTCAAGCCCTTTCTTTTTATAAGGGGTTAAGTTATCCACGAATGAATCTTCTTCTGATGAATATTTTTTTACCGTATAAATCAAGTAATAAAAAACAATTTGCAAATCTTGGAAATTGAATCCAAAAGTTAAATTATCATAAGCATTAACATTTTGATTATTGGAATTTTAAATTTAAAACAAAAAGTTTCTACAGTAATTTTTTTTCAAGTTGTCGCGTGTTAGCTTCACTAGCCGCCAACGAAGCTAGCTACTGAGCCCTGGCGCCTCGACAAGGCCCGCGACCTGACCAGGGAAAAATTTTTTTGGTGTTCTCTAGCTAGAAGAACTTTTTTTAGTTTTTATTTCTACCTACAACTACACCTCAACCCAATTACAACCAAAAAACCAAAAATTAAAACACAATTACTTACAAATTCTCAACACAATAACCTTTTGCAGATGTCTAGCTTCTTCTTCTTTTTTCTTTCTTCGTAAAAACCAAACGTAAAATAACGCACACACTAACACTGGCACAACCGAATTTAACGGGGAACGGTGAACGGTGGGGGGGTTTACGATGACCCAGAGGTGAGGCCCTGAGCGTCACCTGCTGGGGCGCGGGGCTCGAACCCGAGCCGTGGGCCACCACGATAACCGAATTCTGTAGTAGTGTTTACTACTGTATGCGAGACCGAAATCGGGTCCCTACCAACTTCCGGAGACCTTTCAGGGCGTACGGTACCCTTGAGACATCCAACCCCGATGCCGCGACCCAATTACCTCAAATTCCGAAAATACCTAATTAGCGCATGGAATACAAATACATCATCATTAAGTAACAAGAAACACAATAAACACTGGCACAACCGATTTTAGGGGAACAGTCAACGGTGGGGGGCTTACGATGACCCAGAGATGAACCCTGAGCGTGACCTGCTGGGGCGCGGGGCTCGAACCCGGGCAGTGGGCCACCGCGATATCCGACTCTGAGAGACCGGGAAAATCGCGTCCCTACCAACTTCCGGAAACCTGACAGGGTGTACGGTACCCTTGAGACATCCAACCCCGATGCCGCGACCCAATTACCTCTTGAAACCTGAATAGTGCGTGGATTACAAATACATCGTCATCAAATTATCAAAAATACATATACATAAATGATATTTTTACAAATACATATAAATAACAGATCTCTTCAATCTTCTCTCTTCGCTCTTCTTTCTTCAATCTTCTTTCTTCTTGGGGCCCCAATCACGATGATATCCTAAAAATACACACTGACAAAATTACATCATGATTAATTATAAAATACAGCATAAATCATAAAAATATACATATACTAATAATTTATTAGTAACCACCACCACCAAAAATCCACACTCGCACACACACACACACATGCATACCCTCCACCACCACCATTATCCCTCCACCCCCCGAAAATCCACCACCCGCCGAGCCGAAGCAGGAGACCAGGGTCATTGCGGGCCAGGGGGCTTTGCGGTGCACCCCTCAGTCCTTCTCAGGAACCGGAATTTACTATCCGCAAGCGGTTACCCCTCCTCAGGACCCTCAGATGCCCCCCTCCACCCCCAGAAGCGACCCACTCACCTGGACACTGCATGTTGGCAAGCCCTGGACAGCATCCAATCCGAAGACTCTGGACACTAACACACGACCACACCGACACCTCCGGCCACGACGAGGGCCAACCTCACACTGACGCAATATGATGCCACCTATGGCGTTTTAGGGCGTTTTTCTCACAGCTGATTGCCTTCTTCCTTACACTCTTACTGTCGAGTTTCAGATCAAATAATTTACTTTTTTTAAATAAACTAAACTATACTGAATATTTTTTCCAGATATTTTATCGATTTAAAATTATTTTCTGTAATAATATGGTTCCAAAATAAAGAAATATATAAACGTTACATTATTAAGGAGGGCGAAATAATAAACAAAAATTAATTATGAAACATGTTTTTTTTTAACCTTTTTTTTATTAAATTTATATTTGTAGCTCTCAGTCAGGAAATTACCGTAGTTTCATTAATTTGTTTGTTATTATATCTTGAGCTTTATCTATCATAATTTAATCCTTATTAATCTTGCCCTTTTGTTACGTTGATATATTTTATTTTATCCTGTAAATTCCTTCCTGAAAATAAATTTCGCATTTAACTTTGAGGACCTAAAAATTAATATAGTGAATAATGGAAATGAAGAGATCGGGCTTTTCCTCGTTGCAGAAAAATTGTTTTTATTCAAAAACAAATGGCTCATTTGTGTTGGTGAGCCATTTGTTTTTGAATAAAAACAATTTTTCTGCAACGAGGAAAAGCCCGATCTCTTCATTTCCATGATCATCTCCTCGAGTGTCAACTTCTTCAAACAAATAGTGAATAATTCCAGTCAAATGTTTAATTTAACAAGAAGACCAGTTTTTTTTAACTCTTTTGGCGACAAAAAGCTCAGCGACCATACACACAAGTAAACGACCGCGGCCGACGAGATTTCGGTTTCGGCCCAAAACCCAAGTGAGCATTTTTATCAAGACGGAGGCAACCGGCGTGGCAGGCCCGTCTAGCAGGTTGCATAACTCGGAACAAAATAATTATTTCCAACCTTCAATCTTCATAATTTCAATGCGTTGTGATAAATGAATTATAAATTCAAAATATGATAGGAAATCTTGTAATAACAGAAATTTTTTAGAGTTCTAATTGAATATTTCAGTTGTTTAATCAAAATCTTTACATAAAAAAGGATGAAAATTCATAATTATTATTATTGTTGTTTATTTGTCCAAATTGTTACTTACAAATTGTTGAAAACATTTATTTGGAAAAAAGAAATAGTTTGACAAAACGGCACCACCACTAGCAAAAATTTTGCTAAATTTCCGAGGCCAAATTTAGCATTTGTCTTACTTTTCCTGTATTTTGTAATTTTATTTTATAAGAATTAAACCTGCGTGGCTTTCATAATTATTTGAGCACAAAAATCAATAGAACACTTTGAAAAGAAGGTAGAAAAAATCGTACAATTAGGAACACCTGCGTTTTTTTATAGAGCCGGGCTTCCTGTTGACAAGGTTTGTTAACGACTTGCGCGAATTTTGACGAGCCTCTCTTTTATTTCGGTACAAAACCGGCGACGAAATATAAAGTAGACGTTTTTTTTTGCATGAGTACCACTCTCCCCTTTGACCTGGAGCAATGAGCGAGGGGGTCGGTGGCCGTTTCGTGCTCATTAAATCCCTGGAGGGCATTCTCGCACTTGCACACGTTTCTTTTCTCTGCTCGGCGCGTAAATCATTTCAGCAACAACACCCACGCCAGCCAGCTCTTATAAATTATGAGGCGCTCATTTGGTCCTGTTTTGCCGTTATAATAATCTTTCTCTCTCTGCTGCTGCTGCTCGGCGTGGAAACGCCGCCAGATTTTTTTGCTGTTGCTTTATGGGAAGACAGATGGGATTAGGTTGCTTGTGCGAAAGCCACTCGAAAACAGCCAGTTCGGAATTTATGCCTCCCTTTCCCGGTTCACGTTTCACCTATGACGCCTGGAAAGACTACTTGAGACTTGAGACGAACCTAAACTCGCCCACTTGCTTCACCAGGAGCTTTTTTCATTTTACATGCACGGTCCCCTTTGTCCCCAACTTTCAGCAAAAATGGCTCTACAATTTAAAGTGCTCCGGGGACCCTCCCGCTGCTTTCTATTTTAGAACTGCATTATGTGTATGTACGAGGGGGGCCAGTCAAAGATCAAAGGCATTACGAGTTAACTTTAAGAGCAAAGATTTGCTTAGTTTAACAATATCTTTCTGCAGAGACTCTTTGAATTTTCTGAAGTCCTTTTCCTCATTTTATTACATTTCCCTTAATTTTGCTTTCAGATCGTGCTCGATACGAGACGACCCTCGAGCTGCTGAACAAAACCCACTCTCGGGCGTCGCCGTCCTCTGTGGCAGCTGCGGTCAACCCTTTGGATGAGGTGATTGCTGGCAAGGTGAGAATTTTCAAACTGTGTTTACACTTCCTCAAGTATAACGGATCCATCTATATCTGTGCTTTTCAAACAAATAACTCTCCAGTGAGCATGCACGAGTGTCTCTTCAACCCGCATATAGCTGGAAGAGAAATGCAAAATTGTTTTCCGCTCCATTAGAACGTTCGAAGTGCACCGCAGTCTGTAGATGGATTGAAAAGAACGAGAGTTTGCATCTCGAGTAACGATCCGAGAATTGGAACGAGAATAAACTATTCCATTATTATACAGTTTGCAATGTTTATCTTGCACTGATTGACCGGTCGCAATAACAATTCCCTTCCAGGGAACCTCGTCAGTATCCATTCAACCGTTGTAATCACTTTTAAATTTACTGATAAGAAATAAATATTGAAGCATCACAAGTTAATTATAGGAATTTCCCAAAATTTTACGATCTGCAAAAGCTTCAACTGTAATTATTTTGTAAAAAAAAATTAAATTAAACATTTTTAATTCTTAATTTGTTTATTGCTTAAAAAAACATGTTAATTTTTGTTTCCCTGGATTAAATAAGTATAAAAACGTTTCAGCAACTTAAGCTTATGATTTTTGTGCTCGTCTACCAAATTTACGCTCCTATTTAAAATGTTAATAACGTGGTAAGTTTTCTTATATTATAAGAATACTGACGTACAAAGGATTTGCGATCTTCCCTTGTATAATTCTTCCTCCAATCATCGCTCGACAGAAGTTTGAGTAGCGAGTAAGTGCATTTGCATTCAAGTGAGAGCTGTGGTTGACCCCTTGTGACCCTACCCGTGCCCGGTGACTTGTTGCGAGAAGATAGCCTCTGGCGCCTTTGCTCGTGCTCTATTCTACTGACATGGATTTACCTATCTCTTGCAACGCATGCCCGGATTTATGAGTCTGTGTATAAATCACACGGAGTGAACGTGTGTATATTTTCTCTCATAATTGAATTCACCACAGGTGCTCGAGCTATATTTTGAAATGCTCCGTGAATAATACATGAAGAATGAAAATTTTGAAAGAAATTTAAATTATGGTAATTTTGAAGTGCGGGTGAAAATTGTGAAAATTTAGCAGGAAGAGCACCGAATAGTCATGGTGAGTGGACGTGCTAGGCCGAAAACGTGCTTTTGACCAGGGAGGCTTGACGGCGTTGAAAGCTTTGTTGCTTTTTCGATTTAGACGCTGCGTGCTGCCGCGAAATTCAAGCTTTATCGCCTCCGGCACGCCGTGTTATGCAAAATTAGCGGCGCCAGCGGTCACGCCGGCGCCTTTGAAGTAAAAGCCCTTTTGGTTTTGGCTTTTGCTGCAAAGGTCGGGTCACGATCCATTGCATCCCAATATTGACGCAGGGCTGCCTATTATATAATGAAGTTTAATGATATCCTGTCACGGGCAACAATGCAAAACGTGCAAAATGCCACGCTCGTCAAATCTGATATGGAACCGAGCGCGGTGACCTTTTTGTTGAGCGAGAGATAAAAAGGCGGAAGGGGTGGAAAAGTTGCCGAAGTCATAACTCATTGCCTGCGCCATCTGCGAAATGGAATACCTGTTGAGATGGAGCGGCGCAGGCATTCTTCTCGAGCCGCGATCCAATCTATTTCGGCCGCCTCTCTTTTATGCGCCGGAAATCCTTTAACATCTTTTTCTCCCAATCCTGTTATAACCTCTTTGTAGTACACGCAGTTCGATCCATCTCTGCATCGCCTCTTGTCGACTCAACCTCAAGTGGTGCTTCGGGGCCACTGCGGAACATCCCTCTCTTTTATTGTGTTCTGTCCAAATTCAAACGAGAGTGAGAGAGACCTCAGCGTATTAACCCAGAGCGAGGAAAGAAACTTTGCCCCGCGTAAATCCGTTTTGCCGAAGTAGGATTTTGATGCCATTATTGGGTTTGTTGGTTAAAATTTTAGTTTTTTTTTTTCAAATATTTCTTTCTCAGAAGAGTTGATGACATTTTGAAAATTTTGTGTGAAAATTGTATTTATATCTGGAAAAAAGTTTTAAAATAAAAAAATATATAATTAATGATTATAAGCAAAGTGAAACAGAATTTTCCTTAAAATGACACCTTTGTTTTTTTATAAAAGTTTTTTTTAAAGTTGTTTCATCCTCGGCTTAAAATTTAAATTGCAATTAGAGAAATTATTGATAAACCAACAACCTGAAGCAAACGAATTCAATCAAAGATTAGAATTTTGTCAATAGAGAGGGCCTTTTTTGCAATCCAGGAAACTTTCTCGGTGATTGAAAACGCCGAAATGCTCGAGACAGCCTTATTTGTAGACCAAAGCTCCTTTTTATCTGTCGCCCGTGAAATTTCCAGAGCAAGCTTTTATTAAGGCTTCGTCCATGGTCAATAAGAATTGAGTGCGAGGGCGCGCGGATTTCTATATTGCAGCGTGTCTTCTGCTGCTGCTCTTCCCATTCACCCCAGCATTTGAATAGGAGGTCTTTATGTGCCGGAAAAGTGGTGCCAACGTTTTTTTTTCTACTACCATCCAACGAATTTCTAACGAATCTGCCCTCTTTGTTGCAGCTCCTCAAATTCCTGCGCTCCACCAATTTGACCCGAGTGGAAGACGTCAAGGTCGTCAAAATCATGTAAGCGGAACATTTTGCGTCCCTTGTAAAATCCCTTCTAAATATTTTTGTACCAAAAAAAAAAAATGAAAAATTCAAATAAACAGCAGTTAATTTGTTCTTGATTTAAGTGTAATTTACTGGGCCATTAAAGAGTTAATTTAGCACCGCTGCTTTGAAAATCTTGACGAGCCGCAGTTTAAAAATTTGCCTCTGGCTCGGCCTTTGCTAACTCGTTAATAACTTTGCTGTTTCTTCTGTGCAGTTCTTGCTCGCGTCTCTCTTTGATCTTACTTTAATAAAACAGTGTTGCACGGCTATTTGAAACAATTAATTGCTTTTTATGACTGGAAGCGTTTTTATATATTCAAACGCCATTCGCGCGATGTTGCAGACCCGGCGTTTCGCTCACGTTCAGCTTCATCAGCGCCAAAAACGAGAACCAGGTTTTGCTGGCCATGAACAGTCTCATCCAGAGGGGCCGACTCGGACCCTTTGAACTCAAAAAGACGTCCGCGCGGGATCACAAAAAAGAACCTGCTCTCTTCCTGGAGGTAAAATTTTTAAAGCGCCGAGAATAAAATTAATTAATTTGAATTTCCCGTTGCTGGTGTTCATTAGTGTCAAATGTTTGCCCTTTTGTTTTGTAAAGCGAAACTTTTCAAGGTTTTTGTTGACGCAAATTAGAGTAAAAAGTCACCCGACCGAGTACAGAACATAACTTACACGGCCGAAAATGCCCACTGCGGAAAACGGATAGCGCACCGCACCAGGCAAACAAAGCCTGCAACACACAACACATCCACTTTAAAAATATCACGGCTTCGGAGTGCTGGCTGCTGGAGAGGAAGGGGGCTTCACTTCAACTCTTAACTCAAACAGTCCATTAATTAATGAGCACCAGCAACGCCTGCTGTAGCGTTGAATCTAGAGGCCCCAGGTGGTTTTGCCCTCAGAGATGGAAAACTCTCTTCCACTCTTCAAATAAACAGGGCCGTTTTCCAAATTTATGTTGAATTTTCCCTGCTAGTAAATAAAGTTGGCAATCAACCAGTTGAGTGAAAATATCATTTCTCTCGTCTCACTCAGTTTTATAAAAAATATATTTAAAAGGAGTATTTTATTTTTGAATATCTCCAATAAAAAAATAGTAACTTGCTTCCATTTGTTTTTTACAGAGTGTCCGAGTGAATCGAGATCGAATTTTGCATGTAGGCGATGAGTTCATCGTTTCCTGCTTAGCTCAGGGATCAACAGCCATGGAGTTTCGGTGGTTTAAAGATGGCATTCCAGTAAACGAAAGCCTTGCCCTAAGGTCTGTGCTATTTTATCTCTTGTAATATTTAAATTTGATTAATCTATTTGTTAGATCATATGTTCAAAGTAATACGTTTCCCTTTGTCAATTCTGAATTCGGAGAGTAATCTAAATATAATAAGGTTATTTTGTTTTATTTGTAAATAGGGACATGGAGCAGACATTACTAGATAGAGACAGTCGTGACATGTACACAGCCTTATTAAGGGTTTCCTCGGCCACTCCTTTGGACGAGGGAAACTATACGTGCCAAGTAGTTGACCGCGAAGTGCAGCAGTGCAAATCGCTCTACATCGAAGTCGCCTCTCCACCAATCGTTACCATCAGTCCCATGAGTGTAACTCTTTCGAAGGTAAAGACAGAAAATTGCAAAGAGTTGATAGTTGAAATAGCTGATTTGTTTTAGGGAGAAAACCTGACAATATTTTGCATGTCGTCCAATGACAAACGAAGCGAAAAGTTTGGTTTTAATTGGACAAAGAACAACGCTCTCTTGCCAACAAACGCAGGTCGTGAAATGATGGAGGATTTGCACCCAGACGGCAGTCTTCTCCGCATCTACAATGCTCATGTAAATTTTTTAAACGCACTTATTATACTGAAAAAAAAATTAGATAAAAAATTATTTTAACAAAGCTTACAACTTTTATAAATCTGTTTATAACTTGTCATAAGAATTGTTCTATGCATATTTGATATAATTAAATTATGTTCAATCATTTTACAAAACAGCAAAGCGCAACTTACGCCTGCCACGTTCAAAGCGGCGCTGGTTCGAGCTCAGCAAAGATAGAGGTTTCCGTCACGTCACCAGAGGTGATTCCTTTGTGCAGGGGAGAGAGCCTCATGGGAGTGCAATGGCCTCACACCACCCCAGGCCAGGTGGCCATGCAGCCGTGCCCTGTGCAGCAGCGCTGGAGCACCAGGGCCGCCCGCAGGACCTGCACACTTTACGAAACGGGAGTGGCGCGTTGGCAGACGCCCGATTTCTCCGAGTGCGTCTCGGCGAAATTTGAGAACATCAGGAGGAAGGTGAGATTGTGACGATAAATTTCTGTTGCTACAAACAATTTCTTATAAATTGTGTTGGGCTAGAGATTTGATAGATGACGTGCTTTCTCGAAATGCGCCTAATCCAATTTTCTCTTCTCTAATAAATTGCTTCTTTCCGGTTATAAAATTGTATCCAATTTATCACTCTTGGAAAATAATTTTGTGACGATGTTTCTCTCTTCAACAAGGTTCAATGAGTTCAAGTAAAATGAACAATATTTTCCTTTCCAAAACACGAGAAAATCAAGTGAATTGGCTCAAATACGAGAGCAATATCACAGCTCATTTGCTGTCTAATGACTTTTACCAAAGTACCTCTCTCACTTATTTGCTCACCGAGGGGGAATCTAAAACTTTCGAAGCCTTGACATTGCGTTAATTTATGAAGTCAAGCATCCCTTTCCCATTGCACCCGACTCGTCCTGTGTGCCAACAAGATTTTCAATCGCCTCCATAAAATCGACGTATATTGGCCGTAAAGGACGCCTCCATCGCGCTGATTTGATTGGACACTCGTAAACAGCTACTCTTTTGAGATAAAATCGCCTTTTACTGCTTGCTTGCGAACAAAACAGTAAAACGTGAAGGGACAAACCTTTTTTCTGTTGTCTCTGATAGCGCGTGATCGAGATAAAATTGTCGCTTAGAAAACAAAAGTGAGCCCGGCGAAATAAAAATAAATATTTTGCGTAACAGTTCCGTCTTTACACCCTGGGCTACGCGGCCACCACGCCAGAATCTACGATGCGATCTGTGCTCATTTTCCTCGACTCGCACAAAACGCTTCTGCCTGGCGAAGGCGAACCCGTGCTGGACCTTTTGTCGGAGGTCCACGACTTCCTCAGAGCCAAACCTCACAGCAGACCCACTGGGCAAACCATCGCCACATGCAGGGCCGCGTGCCAAGCTCTCAACATGCTGCTCGAGCACCCAAAATCGATTAGCAAGCCAGCGGTGAGTAATACTGAATACGAAAACTATTATCATCTTCTTTAAAATAAAAAAATTAAAAAGACAAATAAATTTTTTAAATGATCTCTTTTTCTAAATAAAATATATATTTTTAGGCATAAAATGTAATCTTCTTCCCAGAGAGTGCCAAAAAAGACATCTTTTCCCACAAAAGCAATCTTAAGAGTAATCTTATTTCCATAAGAGAGGATCATAATTAAAATCAATTTTGCTAGCTTGCATAATTACATAATATTCTTTTGTGAACCTTCCAGGCCTTCGATTTAAAAAAAATAATTAATTAATTATCTATGATTTTTTTTATGATACGTCAACAAATTTTTCACTGATTTTTAATATCAGGTTTTTTTCCTTTTCTGTAATGTTTAGTCTTTCTGATTTTAATTAAGCAAATCCATTATCCCGCACAAAAATAGCACAAAGTCACTATGAAAGTGGCTGTTGTATAAAAAAAACAGCCATAATCTTAAAGTTTTTCCAATCTTTGTTTTTATGCTTGTCTGTGTTTGCCAACCGTAAATTTTTGACAAACAAGCCTGTTTTTGTTGTTGCTCGCTCGTCAGATCTCTCATGATTGAATAAGCGTGAATCAATTTTCAGAGAGTCGGGCAGCTGCAGCAGCTCATGCGAAAACAAACCCTCCTGTGGGGCTCTTACTTGGGCGCCCCGAGCTCAGCCCATCTTGATTTGAGTTCCGTCCTCTTGGACATAGCGCGATTAACCACCACCGGAACGTACAAACTTCGCTACCCGCTGCGTCCCTTTGAGTGAGTACTGCCTTATTTAATAATACACCCGTCCGTCGGGCGCTCGAGCAAGACGAGCTTTAGCGGGGAAAAGAAACGCCAAAAGCATGCGTCTAGCTTTCTTAATTAAAAATTAATTATCCGCCGCTGCCACTGGGCCGAGTGAACTTCTCATACTCGCTCTCGTGGGATCCGAGGCGGTCTAATTTGATGAGCGTCGCTTTATTTTCTTTCGCAGCTATCCCGGCTGGTTCACGGACAAATTGGACGTTCGCATTCAGGCGCCGTATGTCATCAACACGACGGTCACTGACGCCAACCCAAACAAGAAGACAGTGACGACCATCAAGGGACAACAGACCTTCACCACGGCCACCGACGCCAACGTCACGATTTCTGTCATCGTCTACCGTTCTATTGCCAACTTTCTGCCCGAGAGATACGTCTCGCGCTTGAGGTATTAAACCTTTTTTACTTAATTGAGGCAACAAACTTTTGCAAGTTGAAACTTAAAACCACTTTGCTGCCAAAGACGTACAAGTATCAATTATAAATTTCTAATTGTTAGTTAATAGAATAAAAAATAAATTTTCTGAAAGTATCAATTATAAATTTCTAATTGTAAGTTAATGAAATAAATTTATTTAATTTCCAGAGACGGAGATTCTGTTGAGCTCCAGTTAAATTCGCGAGTCCTGACGATCGCCGCGTCTCGCGGTATGAAGGAAGACCCCAGTTTACTTGACGTGGAGCTCGAACTCGAAAGTCGGGCAACTTCGATTAGTCACAGCGAGCGGCACCTCTGGAACGCGACTTGCGCCTCTTTTGGAGGAAAGTCGTGGACGGTGGACGCGTGTCAGGTGACATTCGAGTCAGACAACATCACCAGATGCAGATGCTTCCAGCCTGGCACATATGCAGCCATGCTCGCCATGCACGCGCCACATGTAAGTCTTTCATTTTAAATATATTCATAAGCAAAAAACTTTCATAACCCTTTTCGAGCAACTTTTCCAGTTATTTCTAAGTAAAATCGATCAAAAGTTGCAACGTTATTTTATCATTTTGCCCCCTATAACAATAAAAAAATAAGTTTTTTCAATTATATTTTCAATTAGTTGAGAGGCAAAAAAAAACTGTTGTTTTGATAAAGCTTTTGTTATTGTTAAACCAGCAGCGTGTGAATTGAAATTTGAGGCACAAACAACGTGTAATGAGATTTCTGTGTTGTACATATCGATTGTTTAGTCGCAGAGCCTCGAGCCTGGTAAACACTCGCGAGACACAATTTAATCTCAGCGCCAGGCTTGGCAGTCCGAGCACTAATTAATCAGTCTTTTGTGGTGGTTCGGTGGCTGCAGAAGACCTCCGCGTCGAGCTCGCCGCAGCTGCCAGTGGCCGCGGGTTGCGCCTTTTGTCTGGTTCTCAGCGCCGTGTGCTGTGTCCTGCTGACGGCCCACATTTGCCTGCGCAACTCGTGCCTCGTCTTTTTGAAACTCCAGGCGGCAGGGGCTGTGCTTGGGGCCACTTCCGTGTTCCTATTTGCCTCTACTGCAACAGTGCCGCAGGTACGTCCAGTTGTTAATTAACTGGGGTTATTTCGATGATAATTTTTATTTTGGAAATTCTCTACCATAAACTTATGACACTTCAAAATATTAATTTAAAAATAAACCTGAAAATTTTTAGCCACATTTTTTTGCCAATTATTTCAAATTTTTAATCTGTTTAATTCTTTAAATGTTTCCTTTTGAAGAGGAATTAAAAGAACAAAATATCTCACAATATATGTCAGTAATATTATATTATCTACCGAAAATATATAAGTTCAATCATACCAGGAATTACATTTTAATTTCACATTAACTTGGTGAAAATCATATTTTGCTTTTTCGTGGTTGACTTTTGTCTATCTTTTGAATGAGCGAGCATACGTACTGCTTTAATATCCATTACATTTTCCCTAAATTTTCCATCTGTGTTTGGTAAATGTTCAGCCTTATGAATTTTTGATCATGCCATGTCAAATAAGCGCGTTTGTGTTTATTAAAAGCGGTGGTTGTAAATATTATTTATTCATCGCCGCCAGGGATGGTCAGGCGCGTTGACCACAATCCTGGAGAGCTGCCTTTTGGTCGGCCTGTCTTCCCCCCTCAGCACGCTGATGCTGGTCTACACAGAAGTAGTCCAGATGAGGCCCAGCGCCGGAGTTGCCTCAATCAAACACCTGCGCCAAACTGTGGTTAGCGTCATCACGGGTAAGACAATTTACAAAGTTCATCTGCTCGTAATCTGACCTATTTGACGTGTGAATTTTGTACTGGATATTTTTTTTTTCTTTTAAAAAATGACCAATAATTCATTATTAAATAACCCAAAATGATGATTGACTTTTATTTTGTATTTTTAATAATTTTTAAATATTTAATTTAATATTGATTTAAAACTGTTCCCTTTTGATTATTCAGGTCTCCCAGTTGTTGCTGTGTTCTGCTCACACCTAGCGCATTCATCCACATCACCAAACCCGCAGTCGGTCCTGCTGCTGAATGCCGGCTCGGCTCGCTTCAACATTTTTGTGGCTTGTACGCTCGGCATGGCCCTCATTTTCTTGGTAGTGCACGGCGGCACAACCAGGCGGCTGCACGTCCTGGAGACGCAGAACTCGGGCAAGAACAAAGCTATATTGAGGAGGTAATTGTGCCTGTTTCTCTTTTACTAATTCTTGTAATATCCGAAAGAAGATTGCCACTTGTAAAGGAAACATTCATTAAGCGCCTGCAGTGTCTAACTTATGCAAGCAGCGCGACATGGTAATAGCGCTGGTTGCATAACATTAAATACCATGATAACGTTGCTGATTCTCATTGTCAGTCGGAAACAAAAAGGAATTAGTTCGCAGCTTTGTGCGATGAATACTCTTGCCTTTGTGCCTTGGGCTAATTAATTAAGCAGAGACGTGTTTAGCGTCTTCAAACAATGGAATAAGATGAAACTAATACCTCATGCAGCTTAATTATTTTATATGTATATCTTATCCTCCTCCCACACACTGAATGCAGTTCAATTTGCAGGATCGGTTTGCTCAAAAGGGCCACTGCGATTTTCGCAGCGCTTATCTCCGTCATCTTCTCCAGCTTGTTGCACATTAACTTGCCTAGCAGAACTTATCAATTTGTGTTCAGCCTGAGCTGTGTGGTTTTGGTAAGCAAACAATCAGAAACATATTTATTTTTAAAGCACACTCGTACATTTCTTTTGTCTGAATTAATAGGGCATAACTCTTATTGGGAGCTACATCATCAAAAGTGAAACGCCGCTCAAGCTCAAGGACCTCATCCAGTCCAAGAAAAAGAAGAAGAAGCAACAGCAGGAAAAGAAGGAAGAAGGCGCCCCGGAGTTCAGTTCAGAATCGTTAGACAGTCCACTCAGACGTGAGTTTTTTTCCCATTCGCTTCTCTTTTGTCAGATTTCACCTTCCAATTTGAGTGGTCCAATTGTATGTACAGACTTCTAGCATAAGGACTTGCTTGTATTAAGAAAAAAATCCATTTCGCTGCTATAAAATTGCACTGTCTGCTCTATATATGATCAAAGGGAAAGTAAAGGACGCTCTGGTTATTTAATATAATAGCAAAGTACAACATTTTGCTTCATAAATGGGTAATACTTGTTAAATTTTTCTCATTTTCCGCTTCACGAGTTTGAGGTTTTACGATTTCTATTGAGCTTTTGCCTGCCTTGTTCATTTTAAGCAGCTGCAGAATGTACATTTCTTGTTTCCCGTTCGGATTTACTGGGCCTCACTTATTATGCACTGATACAATATTGATTGTCTATGCATTAATTATTCAAATGCAATTTGCACCGGAGAACAAAGCCTTTTGCAACCGGCTGCCGGCTCGCTTCTGCTATACACAGCAGGGCGGTTTGGCTGGCCAGTGGCGAGCATTAATTATAAAAAGATCCCCCAGCAGAGCTCACTCTCGCGCGTAAATACATTTGCGTGCATTTGTAATACGAACGGCACCACCGTGCAATTCGCTCGCACCAACCGCTCTGGTTTTTATCTCCGCTCTGCAGGTCACAGCGTCGTTAATGAAAAGATAAATGCGCCAGAGTACACATTCTATTAATGTGGTCGGTCGCGCTCCAACGCCACTCTCGAACGGACGTTTTTATATTAATTTTCTTCATTCATTTCGCGTTTCATTAAAATGAAATTGCCCAGCTCGCTTTCAGATTTTTCTGTTGGACACATTTTTTGTTATTCCTCGTCTGACCGCAACATTTTTTCTCAAACTCGTGAAAAATTAAATCCTGCGCTTGGTCACGCAGGCCAATTAGAATAAAAAATATGTTTAAAAAAAACGGCAATTATAACTAGATTTTGGTCGCGTTGCAGTGTTTTTGCGGCCAGACGTGACGCACGGCAACGAGTCTGGCAATCCTGGGGTGGTGCTCGACGCAGAGGAGGTTTTGGCTAACAACAGCATAGTCGCAACACCCTTAGACGAGGGACGCGAGTTGTTGCCCGTCGGGCGCCAAGATATTTCCAGGAGAGGTTCCATTTCGCCCAATAGAAGAACACAGCCGTCCTCAGATAATGGAACCATCGAAACGTATGTGCAGCCCGACTGCGAGACATCCACGACTTCATTAGATCGCTACAGCACAGACATGCAGCTCATTCCTCAGCCCCAACCCGGACGGTGCTATATTCCGAGTGATGGGCTAATTGTTCAGGTGAAATTTTTTATTGCTAAATTATTATATTTTCAATTCAATTCATTTATTCCCTTGAAATAAATCATAAAAAACATTGAAAATTCACATTGGCCGGTAATTCTAAAAAAACTCATAAACCCAGTTTGGAAGCAAAAAGTATAAAATGTTTCCAAATTAAGCCTGCTCGACAAGCTGCAGCTATAAACGGCCGGAGGAAAAATATGGAGTCACTTAAATGTTAAATGCTATTTAAAATTGAGGAAATTTGTCTGTCAATGTAAAAATATTATTGATTTTGTTTTCAGGTCTGTGTGGAGCCTGAACCGCTAAAAGGTTATGTGCCGATGGCCCCAAAACAGACCATGAGCAGGGCTATTCCTGTGGCGCCTCCTTGTGTGCCTGACATCACCTTTTCCTGCACAGGGTCGAGCTCACATTGCCCTCCGCGCGCCTCCGAGCCCATAGAGAACCCAATCTACCTGAACCACTCGCCCAAAAAATTGAATCCTCCGCGTGTCACCTTTTCGGGCTGTGACACGGTGCAGGAGGTGGATTTGCCTCCGCCGCCTCCGCCGCAGGCGTTGAGCGAAAGCAAGGAGCGCAAGCAGCCCGAGGGCCGCGAGATCAGTCACCAAGACAACGTTGAGGGCATGCTGGACAGGATTTCACATGATCTTGATTATCTTTTAAGCAGGAGTAACGGGAGTGGCTCGGACGTTGTGTTGCCAGCGGCCACGCCAAAGCCGGCGGCACCCTTGCGCAGTGCCCTGAAAAAGACCACCAAGTCCGTCAAAATTCGAGAGCCAAGCAGTATTATTTTCATCAGCTCAGACTCGTGCGACCCGTGATAAGACTGACGTCAACATTTTTTGTTTCACCCTTTTGTGTCTGTGATTGTTGTAGAGCGAAAATCTCGGGGTTCTACACTGGCTGGCGGCTTCGTTCAAATTTGGCCTTGCAATTTTGTTTGATGAGAGCTTGAACAGCGATTATTATAGACACAAAATATAGGTTGTATATTTTTACATTAACGCTAAGTTACGCTGGCCAGCAAAAAGAGTTAACCCTATCTAGCGAAAAACTGGCCTACATAGGGCTCTGGCAGCCCTAGCTTGAGTGCAAGTACGTAAAACATGCGCATTTTGTGATATCTACTATTTCATTTATAGTATTTCACATCATATGACCACCCTGCTGGTCGGTCAACTGCCTATTGATCCGAGAAGTAAAAGAAGCCGGATTTCTTACTTTTGCCAGTTACACAGCTAGACTTTCTTGCCAATGTTATGCAAAATTCATGCTGGAGTGTTTGAAAAATTAATTCACGTTGTCGCTCTTGATGTATACAATTTTTGGATTTTTGAAAGTAGTGCATGAGTAAGTGCATAAAGAACCACTGTTCACCTCAAAGAACTTTTCTGACCGTTTCAATGTTGAGTACAAATTAACTTTGGTATTTTTCTATAAATAAAAGCAAATAAAAAATTAACCAGATATTTGATTTTGATTAAAAATGTTAAGATAAGATGAAAGAACTAAAATTATATTAACAATAATTTATTCAAATTGATAAAAATGGATGAATTTAATCACAACAGTTATGGATTGAGAACCAAATAAGTTACAAAGTTTTGAAATTTTTAAGAGCACTTTGAACAGAAATTTACAGACAGGCATTTGGGCAGTCTATAATTTGGATCACAGTAGCCAACATCAATTAAATGAGCCGCCCACTATTTGCCAAACGAGCTTGCTTCAAGTAATTTACAACAACACTGTGGATAAACCTGTATTGATTTATCGTTTGAACAGAGAGCATCCTCTGCATTCGAAGGTGCAGCAGTGTGCCAGGTAGATCAAGCTCCTGGAAATTGAAAAAAAAACACATTATTTTAATTATTTTTTTTTATACTTAATTAGTTTAAAATCTTGTCATGGCATGTACCTGATTGCATTCAAGTTGAGTTTTCAAGAAATCAGTCATTATAAATAGACCCGTTCTCCCAGCTCCAGCTTGGCAATGAATGAGGATTGGCCAGTTTCCAGAGGCGATGCTATCTTGCATAACATGTAGACGCACCGACGCCACCTCCTCCAGGAATCCTGATCAAGATCAAAACTTAGCCCTACACATACTATTAAATCAAGAAGAAGCTAACCGATGAAATGAATTTCGTCATAAGGAGTCCCTTGGTCGCCCCACTCAGCATACTGCAAAAGCCAAATGGACCTCGAACTCTTGGACGGTCGGTGCTGCAATCGGATCTGCGAAGTTATGCAGTGGCCAGTCTCTTGGACAAAGTTGTTTTGCACCTGATACTGAAATAACTTGTAAGGAAAATATTTTCAATTTAATTTAATTATTTACGTCTCCATATACAATAGCTCCAGTGTCGTGCAGCCCAGGGCAGTGATTTTCCTCATGCCTTGCGCAGAGTGCGATGATTATCAGCGAACCAGTTTCCCAAACCATTTGCCAGTACGAGTCGAGCATCTCTTTAGTTGGCGCTTGAGCTGCTATGTACAACCTCTCCGAAATGCCATTCCCCAACTAAAATACAATCAAGACTTTAGTCCCACTTTGATTTACTTTAATCCCATTTCAGTACCTTGATGTGAGAAGCATTTATGTAGCCGTGCCGATTGTCAGTCTTGGAAGTCAATCTTACTCTGTTGTAATCGTAACAGACCACGTCCTTATATCTAGAAAAAAAATTGTTTAGGTGAGAAGGATAAAAAAAAAATGTATTTGCGTACCTGTTTTTTGCACTATTCTCTTGACTTAAAGCACAAGTACATGGTTCCCCTTCCTTTTTTCTAGGTATATGTTCAAACTCCAAAAACATCTGGCTATCGGCCAGCTTCCTTTCTAGTCTGACGCACTAAATTAAAAATATTTAATATTTTAAAGTTTATCAATTGTGTAAAGCAAACCAGAGCATCTTTAGTAGCAGCCGCTGACATTTCATTAGGCCTCTGATCCGTGAGGCTTGTCTTGGATTCGCTTTTTTCATCTTTATGCTTTCCTCCCAATAAAGTGCCCCAGCTGCTTTTCTTTTTTGGCTTCGTAGCCGTGTTGTTCTGAGAGTGGTTTCCAGGTGGCATTGGTGGCAAATGCTGAACATTGCTCTGCAAATTTTTTTTAGCAATTTTAACAAATTACCTTTTCTTTCACTCACGCTTGACTCCCCTGCTGACGAAACATTTCCTGCATGAGGATTAACAGCTTCAGCCACTTCTGTTGAGCTGTAATTAAAAATAAAGCACAAGTCGAATGTTATTAAAAAAAACTTTGTACCGTTTTCTAGGGAGGTTTTCAGGAGCACTTTGTATACTTGACGTTCTCGCCCTCATCCCTCCAGAGCTGTCATCCGAGTATCTTAGTGGGAAATTCTCATAAATCGGCTCCGTAGAATGAGCATGAGGCAGTTGCTGCTGATGCAGTTGGTGGTGGTGGTAAAATAAAACATTGCCTTGGTGGTGCGAGCCGCTTTCGGCCAATGTTCGGGCATATTCGTGTGGAGATTCTTGATATGCTTGGGTCAGCGCTTGCGGCCCAGCCCTCGAGTTAAGCAAATCTGGACTGGAGCCGTGTGCAGCCAAGTGAGAATGAACTGACTGATTTTGAGGGGAAAGCATGTTGGCCAAATCGGGGGTTGACGTTGATATGGACGAGTATGGCGGGGGCTGCTTGAAAAGTTGCAGCAGGCGAATGCCGTTTATCAAATGGTGATGCCCATTGTCATTTATTGCTTGTAGGTCAGGAGTGCTAAAAACCTCATCTTTAGAAACAATTTCTCTGAATACCTAGATTGATTTTACCTGTAAGTGTGAACAGCTTCCATGTGTCTCATGGGAGTCGACTCCTCTTGGTAATACTGGTGTTGCATATTTTGATTCCCCTTAAAATTTAAATTTGTATCATGGCTTTAAAAATCTTACAAGCTTTACCATTTCCATAACATTTGCTGAAGGAATCTCTGGTTGGCTGCTGTACAAAAGTTGCTGGTACCTCCTTTCGCCCAGAACAGCCACTTGTTGGTATTTTTGCTTGACGGCCGTTTCGTAATCAGGGGCCGGACGGTATTGAGGAAGCAAAGCTCTGAGTTTGTCATTATTATTTGGAGTGAACAATTCTCTTGTAGACTGGGCCCTGTCAAAGCCAGCTGCCATTCTCCTGTTCAAGGAGCACTCGGGAGTGTACAAAAGTTCGGGAACACTGCCGGAGATGTTTGAAGTACGCATCACAGCAGCTGGAACGGCCTCGTCCTTTGAGACAAAAAATTATGAATTTTTTAAATAACCTTACTGGTTTTTACCTCAGTTACGGAAGTAATCACTTGTTGATAGTTAGGGTCGTACCATTGCTGAGTAGCAGGTATTGTTGGCTGATCATTTTGCATGAAAAATGTGTGCTAAAAAGTAATTTAATTTAATTTAAAAACAAAATCTTTGAAATCAGTTTTACCTGGTGCAAGCAGAGGCGCCAAAGATACTTTGCAAGATCTGTGCTGGCAAAGTTCATCTGAGATGTCTCCATATTTCTTAGTCCTTCGATGGTGAGACTCCTCTTGGCATTCACAACATTGGCAATGTCCTCCCACTTGTAACTTCTGTAGTAATGCCCTTTGATTTGAGCAACTGAGAGTCCATTCAGACAAACTCCCAAAAGAACCTCATTTCCATGATCATCCTGGTTAAAAATTTACTCAAAATATAAGTTTTTAATTGAAAGCCATGGTAATACCTTTCCAGCAAAAGTCTGTTGGCCGTAACCTTCCAGTTGCTGAGCCGACAAAATATAGTACTCTTCCGCAATACTCTGAGCAAGTCCTCTCAACGCACTATGCTGCAGAATCGCAGCTTCTGTCATTGCTTCGACAGGCACTTGCTGAACCAAAGGCTGAAATTGGAAAATATTTTATTATTTCGAACACTGATATTCAATTGAATTACAGTTGGAAATAGCGCAAAGTCTTTTAAGTACTGAGCAGTGTGTTTTCCAGGCTCGTGGTCTCCGAATTCAGCCTGCATAGAATAACCTGCCAAAAGGACCGCCTGCTTCGGACTGCAAGACACTCGGCCCTCTATCACGTCGCTTTTCAGCTGCAGAAAATAATGGTACCTAAAAAAAGGTATAGCCGTAAATATCGTTCAATTAATTTCTGATGATTAAAAACCTTGTGATTTCATCTGAGAGCAAGGAAAGGCCGGTCACAAAATACATAACTCTCAGCTGCATGCAGGTCGGATCCAAGGCATATTTATCAAGTTGTCTCTTCAGAGGTCGGCCCAGTTCGATCCATCGATAGGCCGGGTGCATGTTTTGAGGCTTCGTAGCAAACCTGAGGCCGAATAACTCCGGCTAGAATTTTTTCATTTAAATAAAACTGCTCTGAAATAAAATTCTACAAAATAAACCTGCTGAAGCCCGAGCCGTTGGCAAACGTTGTCTCTGCATTCCTGTCCATTGCTCTCGGACGAGAGGGTGCATTCGACATTGGTGCTGTCCAGCAACTCGACGCAAATGACGAACAAAGTCTTGGACACCACATTGTAGTGCTTGCTGCTCTTTTTCAGTCTCAGTTTAAACGGCATCTGCTGACACAAGATATTTTGAATGGAAAATTATTTAATATTTATTTTTGTCCTCTTACAGCAAAGCTGTGTTGCGAAATGTGGGACGATTGTCGACGAACGCACTTGGTCCTGCCCAAAAGTCAGCATCCAGCCGCGCTTTGCTAGCCAAGGATCATTTTTAATCACGCAATCGCTGCATTGCTGCTCCACTTGTTGATGTTTTACAATTTCACAAAAATGCTTTTGTTTTGTTTTGACAGGTGCAGCAAAGGAATTTGAGCGACGGTGCTGCCCCGTGTGTGCAAGTGAAGGTTAACTGCACTACAATTTATAATTCACAACGGCGCGCTCCTGTATGTGCTTTGAAGGAGTTTAGCACGTTTATTAGTTGGCATTTGGTAAAAAAAAGATTGTTGGTCGCGCGGCATTTCTGGGCTGATTTAGGTCAACATTTAAAATTTTCCAAAATTTACATAAAATGCAAGATTAAGTCATCAAAAATTTTTCATTTTTGAGAGGCTCGAAAGGTGAAAATAATTTCTGAGCAGTAAACTTTTTAAACTTTTGGATAAGCAGAACATGTAAATCTTTAATATGGGCGCATACATTTTTTTTTCTTTATTTTTAAAGTGTAAATTTGGAGAATTCATTTCAAAATGACGGTTTGTACTTTTATTCCATTGTTTAAATAACGACAACAATCAATTTTAGTGCAACTGTTTTGCGCATAACGGAAATTGCATTGGCATTGTTGGTTGCATTTCAAATCTATAATTCTCGTCACTATTCTTACAACGCGCGGCCAATATGAAGGTCCCGGCCAAAGAATTTGACGGCGTCGGCCTGGAGGAAATTCCCAACGCTGAAGACTACGTGTGGAACGCCAGTCTCCAGGCAGGCGATTCAGAAATCGTAATAGAAAAGCGTCAGAAAGCATGGCTGGAGGAATGCCAGAAGTCGGTCGGCGCATCCTCCTTGGACGACGTCGTCTTCGAAATAAAAGGTCTCTCGTCTGGAAGGTTCACCTTCGTCAGCATCTCCTCCTCAAATTTCTCTGGCAAGAAGCGCACTGCCGTAATGCCTAAAGTGGTTTTTGATTGCCTGGGACTGACCGGAAGCCAGAGAGCTTTTCAAATCTCACCCATGGCCACTCCACCAAAAGCAAATAGAGTCATCGTCGCCTGCAAAGAGACACTCAGCAAGGAACAGCTCCAGGACCTGAAGAGCGAGTTGGCTAAAACAAGGGCTCTTGGGATTGGCCAGGTCTTGAGTCTTTCATTGCTTGGAAAGTTCACAGAATTCTCTCCACGCCGAGCCACAGGTGAGAGTCAAATTTAGCAAAAGCTGTTGCTGTTATGATCACGATCACTCAAATGGGGGTCGTTGATCACGAAGAAAACCCACCCTGCAAGAAATTTCTCGGGTTAAAGATGTGTTGAACTCGTCTTTCAAAAATATCTTGACTATAGTTTTTAAAAGACGAGTCAAAAGATGTCTTTTTTTGACAAGTACAAGTTTCATATCAATTTTGAAGAAGCGTTTAAAAAAAATTCCATTTAAATTTTGTCTTCATATTAGGTAAATTAAATAAATTTTAATTTATTTTTTTTCTCAGCTATTACAACAACTAATAAAAGTTATCCAAGTTTGAAACACGTTCAAAATTTTTTATCAGATACTTGTCGGGGAAAATATATGTTTTTTATGTGTTCAAGATGAGTTTTTTATGCCAAGACAAATTAAAGTTTTGAAGATATAAATTCCCGTCAGAGCTGTTCTTTTACTATGTATTTTAAACCACTAATATTTTAATTTTTAATAAAATAAAAACTTGTCCAACTTGTCAATGTTCTTGCAGGACCTGCCAGAAATGTCTGTTCCTGAAATCGCTACCATTCCCTTGATGTCTGGCTCCTGGCTCAAATGATCCTGTTGTTGTTGGCAACGAAGAAGAGCACAGAGAACACAGCCATACTCTCGGCATTTCTCCGGAGCCAGAAGTTATCATGACGAGATCCAGAGCAGCACCGATGAGCCGCCCAAGAAGAGAAGCAAAAGGTGGAGGAATCGACAAGATCCGGCAAAAGAGGCTCAAATTTTTTACAACAGAAGAGCCAAGAGGTTGACTGCTATGGTATCTTGACTGTAGAGCAGCTGCGAGCTAAGAGGCTGAAGAAATAATCAAACTGAATCAAAGTAATCAAACAATAAAAATTTCACTGTTTTCTAAATGGTGTTTGTCATCTCTTTTATTTTAAATTTACAATACTTTTTAATTGATTTATTTCAAAACCAGAAGTGAGCAAGCAAGCAGATTTAAGTAAAACAATTGATAAAGTAAAATTAAAATCATCTCCATAATTATTGGTTTAATGGAAAGATTAAAAACTGAAATTATTTGTTCTTAAAAATTCATTCTTTTCCATTTCATTAAAAAATCAGTCAATTATAATCAGTCATATTTGATTCTTACTTTTCAAAATTTACAATTTACATTATTTGGAAAAAAAATCTAGATTTTACTTTTTATTATAAAAAATTAACGCTTTCAATTTGGACATGTACCCTTTATTTATTATAGGATAATTATCAAAAGAGCTTACGTTGAACCAAAGCAACAACTGACTGCATAATTATAATCAAACTATAAAATACTTTAATTTTGTCTGAACAAAATTTTCAAGAAATGAAAATCCACCAGTCAATTATTTTGTTGGAAAAAATCGTAAAAATTCAATGACATAACACAGAACAATAATTATACTCTTCAGTCAAAAGCACAGGCGCACTCTTCTATCATACTGGTGGCAATATAATTAATTTTTTAAATTAATTTAATATTATGCTTGGTTTGCTATCTCGGAAGAGGACTGCCAACATTTTCGTGATATAGCCCTTGTTGCCGCCGCCATGCTTATCTTATTCTTTTATGTTATAGATAAAGCGGGCAGCATAAGCATACATAGTTTATTTGCATAAAGGTCGATGCAGTCGAAACGCTCTACACGCGCGCACGCTCATGCGTTTCGTTCCAACAAAGCGCATCCTTTCTGCGCAGAACCTTTTTGGCACTTGATTTATGTCGTGGACCCGCTGCAGCGCAGTTGGAAACTAGGGGGACCGACCAGAGGCACGAATTAGGTGAGGTTTGTGCCGCAGTCGCTATTTCTTGCAGAAAATTGAAGATCTTAATCGGAAAACATGCCTGAGAGAGGTAAGCTGTTTTCGAGTATTTGAGGATCTTAAAAAGACCAAAAAAATCCTAGGGCAAACAGAGTTATAGGCCAAGTAGTGTTTTTGATATCGCAGTTTGCTCTTGGAAAGGAAAAATTTTGTCATAAAATTATTTCAGATGAAATTAAATCTTTTAATTTCGTGAGCAGATACAAAATCATATATTGCTTGGATGAATATCAGCTTTTTAATTAAAATTTGAAAAGTCCAGCACATGAATGTAATTTAAATACTGAAAGTTAAAATTTTGTGTCAACTTAATGGCGCGAAAGAGATTTCAGAGTATGACTAGGATTAGGCCAAGACCCACGCCCTCAGTATACATTAAACATTCGCACGCTATTTTGGGATTTTGGTTTGTTATCTCTTGTCGCGCTCGACAAAGCCGCTGCATTTTTGTCATTAATTCCAGTGCAACCCGAGGAAAATTTTGTATCATGAATTAAAATTAAACACTTAATTTAATATTTACAGGATCAAGAATAAAAATTTTTTACCTCGTAAAATGAATTTTTATTATCACGAAACTTTACTTTGGCGATTCTATATTTTTCTTTTCATCTTCTTGCAAAAGTTTCTCTTACTTAATTTTTTTTTAATTCACGCCTAGTTCCTGAATCACCATTAGCCTTGAGGCGAACATGCATTTTATGCAGCCAAGCTGAAAGGCGAGAAACTCACACAATCAATATTTATTAGCCGCGGAGTTTTGCTTTTTGTTCGTTTAAAAATAGAGGACTCGACCGCCCCTCTTGAGCGCACCACTTAATCAAAAGCCAGAGAAACTAGTTTTTCCTTCTTTTATTCAAATATTTTTGTGTGTCTCCGCTGTTCTTTTCGCCTTTGCACGTTTTCATCCGCGCGTGTTTCTTGTTGAGCAATCGACGAACGGGCCTTGGACGTGGGTCCGTGTGTGTCATTAGGGCTCCGTATTATGGGAGTCGCGACTAATAGGAAAGCAGCGAATAGATTTCAGCGAGCGCTCCTTGGCCAAGTATACCTTTAAATATGTGGGAGCAATTTTTTAATTTTTAAAATGAAATTTAAAAAAAAAATTATATATAAAAAACCTTAATTTTTTTGCTTTAATTTGGAATGAAGTTTGTAGTTTTACCACATGGCAATCTCTGCTTAACACGAGATACGTTATTTAAATATTCAAAAATTTACTACCAAAAACTGCAAAAATAAAGAGGAATGAGAACAAACATGCAATTTCTAAAAGCTATTTGGAAAATTATAATTTACTGTACTTTTTTATTCTTGCAGACTTTAAAACTTCGGACAGCAAGGAGTACTATTTTAATGAGGTGCCCACCAACAGCTCGTGCACCCTGCGCTTCCGCGTCAAAACTTCCAATGATGCGCACATTTGCTTGTCAGCGTCTGGCGTGCTGGAAACGACGCCAATCCTGGAAATTTTCCTGGGTGGCTGGGAAAACAAAATGAGCGCAATCCGCAAAGACTATACACTGCCGGATAAGGTAAAATATGGAAAAAAATAGAATAAAATAAAAATGCATTATTTCTTAACTGAATAATTATTTAATTAGGTGCTCTATTTACGAAAAAAATCTTTCCTGCGTGCAGGTCAAAGTGTCCACTCCTGATTTGCTGTCCTCCAAGGAGTACCACAAATTTTGGATCAAGTGGAACAACAAGGGTCAGGTGGACGTTGGTCGTGACGGCAACGAAGAGCCGTTCATGTCATACCTTGATCCGAATCCATTCCCGATTAGCCACTACGGCATGAGAACAACTTGGGGTGCCACTGGAAAGTGGAAAGACCATGAAGGTAATTTTTAAATTTTTTTTCTTCTATGCTGAAAAAATTTAAAAACTCGCTAATAAAAATAATATTTAAATTGTTATTTTTTCCATATATTATATTTGATTTTTTTTAGTAAAAAATGTCTTTCAAAAGTTTTTTTTTTTGTGTGTTCTGATTGATTTTTTTACGTTTTAAGTGGAGTATGTGATCCATGAGGGACAAGCGCCTCCTGCAGCTGGACCCCCAGTTGCCACAGAACCCGAGACTCTGCAACACCTACCCTATCACTGGGTTTCAGCACGCAACGGTGAAATTCCTCAAGGTGCAGTTGTGGCTGGCAAAGATCACGGCGAGCAAGTTTTGTACGCGGCCAAAGTGAATTATAACAATTCGCAGCTAATTGGCAAAGTCAACACGGTCCTGCAGGGCGCCAGGGTCGGATGCAACGGACAAGAGTTGCACTTTGCCGAGTATGAGGTTCTGTGCGGGGGACCACCGACGGGCACGTGGGTCTCTGCGCCTGGTGGGCAAATCCCCAACAATGCTGTTGCTGGCGGAAAAGGTTGCAACGGGGAGGTCTACTATGTTGGCCGCAGCAACTGCAACGGGACCATCACAGTTGGAATGGTTTGTATTATTTTCAAAAGTTTTAATCAATAATATGGGAATTTTTTGAATTTTTTAATTGATGTTTCTATTGTTTTCAGGGTTTGTCCAGCGATCGTCACTGCCACTTTGCCTATGGAGGGAGGGAAATGGTTTCTAACGATTTTGAGGTATTGATCAATAACTAAAGCAAGCTGAAGCTACCTGCCAAAAATATATGTCTACTGCTCTTATATAACTCAGGAATATTTTAAGTAGAATTTAGAAAGTAACATTTTGAGTGCGCAGGAATGACGAGGCGCTTAATTGAGCAGGAATAAAAAAAGTGAATTAAATATAAGATGAAAAAATTACGCTCTGTAGATCATATTTTTGTCTTTAGCCTATAGCCAACATGCTTTATTTTATAAGCATAACAGAACACACGTCATATTTTTTAAATATTTTACTACTTGCATTTTAGCAAATTTTCCCCTGACATTACTTAATAATTAGATTTTTTTCTTACAAATAATCAAAAGATTTTTTTAATTTTCTTTTTGAATTTTCGTAGCTACTTTATATTAAAAATCAATCAATACGCTAATGTTACAAACAACATTATAACGAATAAAATGTATGTCAAAATACAATTATGTTAATGTATAGAAATTGTTTTGAGTGCGCATTTGTAAACATATATTCGTCGATCGAATTTTATTCAAGCCATTTTAATCAGTAAAACTGTCACAACAATACCAAGCATAATTTTATTATATACCGTTTTTATTCCATGTACCTTAATGCAGCCTGCGTAATTTATTATTTATTGGTCCTTCTCATGTTGACCCGCTGCTAGTTGTCCTCAACTTAAATAAAATAAATGTGCCTCTATATAATTTAATATTTCTGTACACCTTTTCTGCGAGTCTATAATCTGTGGTGAAAGAGGTGGCGTGGTTAGTTTGCACAAACCCTTTCTTGCAACCAGAGGTATATTAGAGGGTTATAGCATTGAAAATAATATCCATAAAACTATTTGACTGTTAAAATTTAACTATGGCACTTGTTATATTCAATTAAGAAAATATTTGAAAAATTATGGAATTATTGGAATGTTTTAAACCAGCGTGGTTCATTTTCAAAGCAATGGGAATACTGCCCCTGAAAGTTACGATACGAAATCGACAGGTGCACATTGAAACCGAAAACAGTTTTCGCCTTGGCTATTCTATTTTGCTCCTCGGAGGCGCTCAAATTTTTCTTGGCTTCAGTATTCCGAGCTGGTTCTGGGAATATCTATTTGGAGATGTTCGAAAACGAAGCAGGGCGGTGAATTTGTCCAATTTCATTGTAATAATAATTGAATTCTGGAGTGGGCTTGTTATGCTATTCACCGTCATACCGCGCAAAAGAACTGTAGCAAAGATATATTGCAATCTATTTGAAGTAACTAGGACTCTTCGCTTGGAGGAAAGAGCGACGACTGCGTTCAAATTAAAGGTGACCATTTCCAATATTTTTAACTAGTAAAAAAATATTATCAAAGTTTTTCAAGTATATCTTAAATTTTTATTTCTGATTTTAATTAAATCCATTAAATTTTATTGAATGACGTTTTTCTGCAAATATTTTAGGTGCGCGTCATGGCAGCAATAGTAGTCTTTCTTCAAGTTAGCTGTGGCGCTGGTGAATACTTGCTTTGGCCCAGTGAAATGAACCTTGCAGTGAATTTGACTGGCTTCGTAATAGTGCGGGCTGCGACCATATCTTACGAGCTGAGTTTTTTGTTGCTCCTCCAGCTTATAAAATTTTTACTTGCTTCAATTTCGGAAAAAATATCGGCATCAGTTTGTGCCACAGAATTGGAGGTGCTGAAGAGGCAATATGTAAAAATTAATGAAGTCGTAGAATTTGCCAACGACGTATATGGCGGGGCTTTGGCGATTTGGATTTTTCGATCAGCACTGGACATTTTCATTGGAGTATTTTTCTTTGCCGCTCCATTATTGAAAGACGGAGGAATTGGCATAGACTTGAATGTGTTAATACAGCAATCAGGAACTTTGATTTGGAATCCTATCGTTGCGTTCAGATTATGGGCTCTGACGCAAAGCAGCCAAACAATAAATGACCAGGTACTGAAATGATAAAAATTTCTAAAATTGAAAAAAGGCAGAATAATATTATTCAATTCGTGGTTTTCATAACAAAATTATTCTGCTAAATTAATAAATTTATTTTTATTTTTATAGAGGTAAAAAAAACGCCAAAATATTTTTAAAATCTTTGAAAAAATTAATATTCCTTGCATTTTAACTATTTAGTTTTTTTCTGATTACTAATCAATAAATTTTATCAATTCTATCTTCTTAGACTGCCACAATGGGACGAATTTTGAGGATGAAGTATCCAAAAATTACAAAGCAAGCAGATGTGGCATTTTTAGAGGTATTTGTTTAAAATTTATTCAGCTCTTATTTATAAAGTATTTTTTTGTTATAATTTATTACACCAATAAAATGCGCAATCTCCTTAAAACGTTGTAAATATTTTAGTTTGAATTAAAAATAAATGCTACCTCTTATTTTTTAATCAATAATTCATAATACTTTCAGATTTCCAGTTTTGAGGAGCTATTAGTGCATGTTAAATGCAAAGTATTTGTGCTTGACGTCTTTGTTCTTGATAACAGCATCTTATACGGGGTAATAAATTTTGTTTTTAACTATTTTTATTCTGCTTTAATTCCTTTTAGAATTGCATTAAAAATAATCTATCTGCATATTACAGGTATTAGGCGCAACAACAACATACTCAGTTCTCCTACTGCAAAATCATATGGAATCCTAAAATTAAGAAATATGTATAATACGGTGCTATTTTTTATGTTGCGTCAAACGTGTTTTTATTTCGGGCAGATAAATAAAACGCAAAATTATTTATTAAACCCGTCAAGCAATAATTTTAATTTTTGCTTGGAGCAATTTTGATTGATTTTGGCGGAAGGGGATTTGGTGTGGACCTGCTGGCTTGCTGGAATTGCCCAATCACCAAGCTGGCGATCGACTTAGTTGTGAACGGAATTCCAAACTCGTTAAGGGTTTGCTCCAAAACTGGGTACAACTTGGGCAAATGCCAGTGATCGATGGTGGGAAAAAGGTGGTGCAACGAGTGGTGGCCAAAATTAAACATCACTTTTACAAAAGACGCGATATCCTCACTTTTTGTGGAGTCGATTACAACTTTAAGTGCTCCGTCGGAATCGCTCTTGAGATGTCCGCTTACGCCACTTATGCCAGGCCTATCTCGGACCGTGTCCAAAGCTGCGAGGCCCCAGTCTGTGTCTTCACGAGGAGTGTCCCCGTCGTGAAAGATTTCTGGATGGTGATGCGCCGCATTGATGCCCACCACGGCAAAGACGAAACTCCCAGAGAGCTGTGTAAAATTAATTGATTTGTTGCTTTAACTCGATTAACCTGAATTAAAACGTACCACAATAGTGACCCACAGTAATAAAGTGGATATAATATGACCTTCGGGCGCGTACCGCAACATGACAAGTGGAATAATAAGTGGAATGAGGTCTGTTTTTCTGAACCCCTTCAATAATGCCCGTCTCAATGGCTCCGAGGGGAAAAGTACTACGTACAAAAATGCGCTCCCGATCCAAGGGAAGATTTTTACAAACAGTGATTTTTTCTCAGGCAGCCACCGTACAAACGCGGGCTCAAACATAGATACCTGTAAGTCGTAAATAAGAAATCCATGTTAAAATAAAAAAAAGTGACCGTAAAATCAAGATAATTGCACCTCGAGGTCGTATAGACTGTTGGGATATAAGTGGTGACTCATTGCGTGGGAAATCATCCAGTCAGATGAAGCCATAGTACTCAGGTCAAAATAATACCGGCGCCAGTTATCTCTCAGATGGAAGAAATTGTGTGACGCCACTGAAAATTATATTCTCTAATTTATTTCACATTTGAAATAAAATGCATTTAAACTGTATACGTGAAATACATGAATATTTAATTTGATATGGTATTTTTAATTAAATAATTCAATTCAACCTGTCAGCATTGCAAGCAATGTTCCACCAACTAGGGCGAGGTAAAAACTCTGGTAAGAGGCTGTTAAGATTGCAAATGTGAAGAGGAAAAAGGCGACAACGTCTGCCAAAAGTCGCGTCTGAACGCTGATGCCTCGCATTTCAGGTTCAGGCAACACGCCATACACTCGGCCTCGCAGGGTTGCATAAAAACCGCCTGGTTTGAAAGTGTAAGGAGGTAATCTATAAACGTAAAAGCTCATTAAAATTAAATTACAGGAATTTCCCGAAAAACTATACAAACGCCACAGACGGAACTGTGTGACTAGTAATGATTGTTTATAAATAATTTAAATTTTGCTGATGAGTAATTTGTGTTAACGAGTTTTTGTTATTTTCTAGACCTTTCTGTTTTCGCCTCTCGCACTTCAAATCGCTTTAGCATCCTGCTGGGCATAGGTGAAATGTGGTGGGTCTCGAAAGCTTCAGTAATGTCGGTGCCCTGATAAAATCGAGCGCTTAATAAAAAAATTTTATAATGGGTTACCACAGAGAAAAATTAATAAAATCTACCAAACATTTTCTTTTCATATGTACCTGGGTAACTCTGAGCCACTCTTCGCCCCCTGGATGCCCAGCAATGAATTTCGAAAAGTCGTAGAGCTTGTCGTGAATGCGCCACAATCCCTCGGCGCCCTCGACATTTCTTCGCAGCGCCATCCACGTGTCGGCGCCCTTGCCCGACGTGTCCCTGGGCGGAGGACGCTTCCATAGCGATCCCTTGAACTGCTCCATTTTACCTTTCGGTCAGAGATGAACAAAGTTTCAACGACGAAGAGCTTATCGTATTTTCGGATCAAAGAACTCTGTCGTTAGATAAGACAGATAATAATGGTAATATTTAACGCTCAAAAGTAAAGCAGTGTGTATAGTTAAAATCAAATTAAACCTTCGGCTCCCAGTTTGTTTTTGATAACTGGCAATAATATATCACGTTACCAGTGAGATATAAAGTTGGTCACACGCAAGCGCTCGCAAGTGACACTTTTGACCTAAGCATTGATGAAAAACACCATAAAATAATACTACGATTACAAATCCAGGCGCTCTGCAGTCTGTGGGCGGCGATGTAAGCTTGAGAAATATGCGAAGAGTAAGCATATTTTTAATTTCAAAGTAAATGCAGAAGAGGCGCGGTGCGACTATTATTTTGCGTAACAATTTGTTGGAAAAGATCAAAGATTCATAATGTCTGTTTATAAATTATATGCAAGGTTATATGGAAGGTGGGTAAAAGGTGAAAAATAGTACAACTTAATATAATACTAATAAAATGAACAATAAAGTTCGTATTAGGTTGCTATGAAAATTGTAACCTTGTAACCATTGTAAATTGTAAAAGAAATTTGAAAATACGTCAAAACACTAAAAAAATCAGATCTTTTATTTTTAGGAAAATAATTAAGAATATAAATAAATTATTTTTTTATATTTTTTATAAAATTTAGTCATTTAGTTATAAAATTTGTTGAATATAACGGAATAAATATTAAATTAGTGAATTTGGGCGCGGGCGCCACTTAGGGTGTAGGTTGCTCGGGATTTCTCCATTTATCCGCATTACTTTTGTGCCCACACTTCTGACACACTCGCCGGGACCCCACTCACCTGGCGTGCACCACTCTCACCGCCGATATAGGAGTCTATATGGCTAATAAATGAAAGTGAGATGTGCCCAACGCTGGTTGACCTGCCGGGAGAAAACAACGGTGCTCAGTCTCGGATCATTCTCTGAGCGAAACACGAGTTATTTGTCACGCGCGATGCAGTCGAATGCAGTTTTGGTGTTGATCTTTTTGGCGGCCGCGGCGCAGGGTGAACAGGGACGACAGTTCCCAACAGGATCAATTGTTGACCCCCAACTGTACGACAGGCCCGATTACAACGAGGGGCCTCTGGACAGGCCACCCGTCTACGGCGGACGACCACCCTTTGACAGACCGCCCTACTATGGCGACGGCCCCTACGACGGTAGGCCACCTTTCGAAGGTGGAAACAGAGACCCTTACGATGGCAGGCCACCTTACGAAGGAGGAAACAGGGATCCCTACGACGAAAATAGACAGGGTCCCTATCAGACCAACAGGCCTTACCCAAGACCCTATAGACCGACTCCTCCACCCCCGCCTCCAGGGTACCGACCTCAGTATCCTCCACCTGGATACAATCAGCAGGGCGCAGCAGGGTAAAACTGATTTTCTTTTTTCCGTTGTTGAACAAAATTACGATCTATTTTAAAATTATTCACTTAAAAATATGATTTTATTTATTTATAATTAAATAGATTTTGTAGGTTTGCAATTATTTTGATATTTTAATTTTATATAGGTTTTTATTTTATTTATTGCATAATATGTGAAAAATTTACAAGTAATTACTTCTTAATTAATATAAGTTTTAATATGGAATTTTATTTAATATGACAAGATGATAATTTGCAGTACCTACAATGATGTCACAAATGTTGGGCAAAAAGAAAGTAATGCAAACGTCACCCAATTGCGAGTTCACGACCAGTCAAAAGTGCAAAATCCCAGCGCCAGAACTTGGTCTCGTTTGTAATAATCAATTCAAATACACTTTTTTTCAGTGTCTCAACCTCTTTCTCAAATCGCCACTTCACCACTGTGGTTCATACTACATCTTTAAATGTAAAATTACTTTGGAGCTAAAAATTTTGTTCTGAGAAACAAGTTGTTTCATAAGTCACTACTCTCGTCATATTTGTACTACACTAATGTGAATTTACCTTCTCTGGATCAGCAAATTCTTGGTGACGAGGTTATTAAAAGCGAACTTCTTTCGTCTACTGGTTTCTCTAGACTGGTTTCCTTCCAATCAATCTACACGTACAATATTTTTAAATATAGCAACAGTAACGGGTTCTCACACTGCCATATAAACAATGCTAGAGGCGCGCTTGGAATAATTATCACGCGAACAAGAAGCTCAACTGACATTTGCTTAATTTTTGCAAATTGGAAATTTACTTTGATGAGCGCGCAGAAGTAAAAGGATAAGTAAGAGAGTAAGGATAATTATTAAAATTTTCCCCGCAAACGCAAGTAGTTGTGTGTCCAAATATGAGCAGTGCGAGAAAATTTCCCAGTCGCTGTATTTGCGAGAACATGCATGCCGCTGTCAGACAAGAAATGTCAATTTCCGTTTCGCAGCAGGGTGACATAAATAAAAACAATTTTTACCTCATTTCACTTTCATTAGAACTTATTATTTAAAATTCATTTTCTGCTGGTACGTGGCTTTAAAATTTAGTGAAAGTTATAAATAAATTAATTTTCAATTCTTCACCCACAGATTCGGCGGCGTGAACCCCATGGCCAGTTTCACAAACGCCATCGATTCGATCGCCAAGTACGACGACAAGCAGTGCGTGGCCCGCATGCTTTGCGAACTTTCGGCTGGGGGCAGACCGGGTTCCGGCTACCGAGGCAGCGGAGGAGGGTTCTTTGACCTCAGCGGGCTTCAGGGACTCGCCGAGTAAGTATTCCAAATTGGCGTGAATAAACGGTTTTTTATAAAATAATTGATCCTAATAAAATTTATAGCTTGCTGGGCGCGATGACGGCGTCTCCGGCCGCTTCACCGATGTTCACGTTCGGCCGAGCCGCCCTCTTGGGTGCCACGATGCGCGACCCTTACCGTTGCTACCGTTCGTTCCCCAACTGCCCTCGTGACCCTGACCGACTGGTTGACTACCTCAACAACCACAACGGTGGATTCTTCAGGCTTTTCGAGCCACCAACCTCGACCGAAGGCTACTACCCCACCAAGAGGCCCTACTACAACAGGAAAGGGGTGAGTTAAAATTTGTAATAAAAAACTCGTCTGAAATTTTTTCTAAAAAAGCTATCGAGGTCATTTGGCGAATTTATACAACTTTTGAGCAGAGTCACTTGCGCTTTTTCCTCTAACCCACGCCAAAAGAAAGTAAAATCCGCGAAGCCGCGCGTAGGCCTTACTACACAACCTACGCGCTCACTTGAAATGCAGGTCAACACGCAGTTGCAAAAGAATAAAATTAGTCGTTTTAATTCGTCGTGCGTTTATACTTTACAAAGTATAAATATCAAAAGTTTTTACTTAAAAAATACCTCACAATCATAAAAAATCAATCAAGACAATGTATTTAATTCATTTTTAAGAAAACACAATGCAGTCTTGAAATGAGTTCGTTTGACTGCATTACTACAATATTTTTACCAAAAAGTTTTTTTTAGCTTAAGCAATGGAATTTTGTTAAAATTACCGTTTATATTAATTGTCAAATCAAAGGGGGAGATTTAAGAGATTAAATCGAGTTTTCCTTATAAATACTTCAAAATCTACTAACAAAAATTTACATTAAAAATAGTTAAAAGGCTGAAGAGGCATTATGAAATCTTATTAATTAAGAACTTCTAGACTTTCTTTATAAAACAAAAAGTTATCAATTTTCACACTTTAGCAATTTTCTCTTCTTTTGCAGAAAAAAATTACCGATCAATCCGATCAGAAGGAGCAGCGCGAGTCCGAAGGAACAGAGAGCAACTCCGTGAACCCCCGCATCATCAACGACAACCCTTTGATTGGTGAGCGTCCGATCGAGGCTGAACCTAATTTGGATAACGCGCAGCATTCTCGACTTACACGTGATCCGAAAGCAATTCGGTTTGACTTACACAACCCTGACGCACCCACCCGCTTTAGCTTAAATTTACCCGCAACTAACGGTTTCGGCGCCTCTTCTTCTTCTCCATCCAATAAAAATAATAATTTCATCTTCCCCGAGGCATCGGTGAATCGTTCTCCGAAAGCTTTTCCCGCTCCACCTAGCTCATTCAATTTGATCAAAAACACCGCCAAACCCACCCCTTCCACCTTTTACAGTCAGGCCACCCCCGCACCTGCTGCTTTCACAACCCCTCGCCCTTCAGTGACCGTTCACCACCATTTCCACAAGGAAAATGATTATTCAGACTATTCAAATGACCCCAACCCTGATTTCTCTGACGACTACCCCATCGACGACAAGGTCGAGCCATTGGCAGGTCTTGGCAAGCAACACCCCGACTACTCACCGGATTATCCCATTGCTCACAAAACGGGCCCATTAACCTCCCAAACGCCCTCCCCGCAAATGAATTGGGAACTGTTCGACGTTTACCGAAGACCGAGCAGGGTCCTCTTCGCAGGTTCCTCACGTCCAGGGAATAATGCAAACCAAAAAAGTGCTGCCAGCGAGTCCGGTTTCAGGTTCCCAGCCCAGTTTCGGAATTAAAAATCTCTCTTCTATAATTATTATAAAATTGCTTTTTGCTCACATAAAATAGTCATTTTTTTTTAGATTTTCGTAGAAAGAAGGTGATTGATTAAAAAAAGAAATGCATGAAGTTCATTTTTCATTTGAATCAATAAATCGTGCTAACCATTCTTCTCATTTTGCTTTGCATGTTGTGCAGCTGACCGAACTGGCACTGGTGATTTGCGCCTAGACAGGGAGCAGTTGGAAAGTCCAGCCTCAGGTGGCAATAGCCCTCGAGGAGCCCGCAACCTCCGTTTCCCACCCGCGAACAATAATCCTGTAGACAGCAGACCAGACGCCAAACAATTAACCTTCCCAAAGGAATAGCTGCAGCGTATTGAATTTCGCACGAGTAGTGTCTTTATTTTGCTATAAATTGTAAATACGGTAAATACCCTCAGTATACAAGCAATTTGTTGAACTACTGTTGTAAAATAAAAGTAATTTATTGATCACCAAAGTTATATCTTTTTTTTCATTCCTAGATCAAATATGTAAGTTAAGTCTAGATTATTTGGAAATTCAAGAAATTAATAGTTGAGAAATATCTGGAATTGGCTGTGGCTTTTATTAATAAAAGTGTGGATAACATAATTCATTATGTAGCGGTTGCACGAAGACGCCAGATTGTTCTTTCAACGTGTACCGAAGTCAGCGGAGTGCATGAGGCGAATCTGTAACACCGTAATTTAAAAAATTACTTTTATTTAAGCTAGAAACGAGTAGACTTTAATCAAATTATTGTGCATTTATATTATAGGTAATTAATTAAAAAAAAATATTCATCATTTAAAATTTTTACTCAAAATTAGATAAATCGGCGTTAAGCAATCCGAATAGTTAAACACGTCGGTGAAATAAATGGATGTTGAGAAAATTAGTTGCAATTTGTATAAAAAGGTAAACGCAAAAATGAGACAAAGCGCAAAAATGTGCTCGAGCCTGCTGGTCTAGGTCGCGACCATGTTTAGCGCATTCAGAAATTTTTGTAAAAAAATCGTGCTTACCAATTACTTCGACCTTGCCCTCATCTTCCTCCTCTTGCGCTTCAGCCTACGCATCCTCTTCTTTCTCCACTGGAACCAACGAAGGTGAACATTATATTTCGCGGACACATGGACAAATACGCTCAAAACCAAACACCAATGTACGAGTTTTTAGAATCAACGAAAATTGTAGAAAAACGAAACTCACCTTCGCGCGCATGATGTGATTGAAAGGAGAGAACTCTCTAGACTATGGAAAGTTGTGTTTCAGCAGCTTTCCTGCCGAAAAAAGCCCCGATGCCGACGGATCCGTCGGCTCAGAGCAGCGTGTACTTTGCGAGCCGGGTTGTGAAGACACACAAGCAGCGGATGTGACGTTTATTCTGGGTTTTCCACTTTGGCCGCAGCGCAAGGCGCCATCGATTAAGAGTGACGATTGGTTCAAATAAAGCGGCAAATTTGAGGATTTATGAAAATGTAAACATTGAACTAATGAGGATCATGATCATAGCAAAATTTGCTTATTTTATAAATTAATTATTCCCCTGTTAGCAAGGTCTAACGGCACTTTTTAATATATTCCAAATAACATAATCGTTCTTCATAATCTATACTCGAAAAAATGGTAAGAAAAACTGAATTTTCAAAGAGGCAGAATTAAATCTTCTGTAATTATCAATGAGCAGAACAAAATTATTTTCATATGAAAATATAAATGATATAATATATTACATAGAAAAAAAGCTTATTTTATATGACCATTTTTTAATTGTTCTACTTTATGATTATGTGTTAAGTTAATAAATTGGATCAATTTATAACTAAAACCGGATTTTACATAGGAAATGATGGAAAACTCGGAGCACAAGCAGATTTACCGACCAGAACCAGTCACCTGGAGAAGAGTTTTATATGAAAACCAAGGACTGCCTGATAACTACACCGACACAACATTCTTGTATGAATTAAAGAAGAACGTGAACCTTCGCATACTGAATTTCAGTGATGCTGTCAGTGGCGCCCGATTGCTATCAAGAGAAATATCCGTAGTGGTTATTGTCGGAGAAGTTTTTATAGTGCTGCAGGACCATTTGACTGACCCTCTCATTCTGCTCCTGTTTGTTTCCTTCTTCACATTAGTGGGCTACATTATGTATGTGGCCAAGTACAAAACTAGATCCATTTTTCAAGATTTTGTGCTAGCGCTGACGTACATTTTCATTGTTACTCTGGTGTCTCCAATATTGAAAACTTTGACAGAAACCATAAGTACAGACACTATTTACGTGACGTCCGTCTTAATGATGCTCGCTCATCTCATGTTTTATGACTACGACTCATTTTCGACAACTGTGTCAAAAGCTCTGTCTTTTAACTCGGCCCTTTTTGGCTCACTTTGTTTAGCTTCAAGATTGAGTTCCTCTTTTGATGTGTTTGTTTTGCTTACAGTTGCAGTTTCCTGTTTTGCTCTTTTACCTCCACTGATGTCAGAATTTGGGAGGTCAAATGCTGTTGCGACATTTTTTGATCTTGTCGCTTTAACTGGACTATTTTACTTGTCCATTACTGCTTTTGTACTTTACACTGTGGGGCTTTTCATTCTAAATATAGCCATTCCCTACTTAATTGTTAGATGGCAGAAATACAAAGAAAATATTTCCGGTCCATGGGATGAGGCTAAGCCAAGCATTGGGAAAGTCAACAAACCAAAACCAGCGAATAAGGCAAAGTAGATATATTTATTATGTTCAAATCTCTACGTTTTACTCAATAAATTGTCTATTTATCACAAAATTCACATTCCGAGCACATATTTATTTTTGTTAAAAGAAATTTTCAACTAATTGATCTTTGTGCTGTATAAACATTTTTGCACAAGTAATCGTCTCTCTTCTTTACTCATATTCGGGAATCTCTCACTCATGTAGGTGTCTAGAGTCCTGATTCGAAGATTGGGGATCTTTATATTTGGGAATAAAATTATTTTATCATTAAACGTAGAGTATGCAAAGCAAGGCAAGGGTCCACTTCCGTAGCGACCAGCACAAAACGAGGAAACGCTTTCTTCAAATTGAAAGCGAACAGAAATTTGATCTTGACCTAAAAATAGGCAAATTAACTTTCAGCACTTTTAGTGTTATAAGTATTTTACCCAAAATATATGTTTGGCCATCCCAAGAGCAAACAACGATCTCATCCTTCCCATCTCCAGTGATATCCAATTTGGTCAAAGAAAATAGTTGCCTGTGTAGCTGAATCGACCTGTAATTTTTTCTTCCAATGAAAAGATTTTGATAAAAAAAAAATTAAGTAACAAACCATAAAATATTTTCATCTTGGACCAACATTAGGGTTCCATCTGTTGTTGCCACAGTGTACGGGGATCCTTTCTCATCATTTTCACAGCCTGTTCGAATTGAGCCAACAATTTCAGTAGACACGTTTGGGCTCCTCATGCGAGACGATGAAAGAGGGCAGTAATCAATCTTTGACGTAGGAGGTGCCCTGTCAGAAAATAATTAACATTGAGAATTGTGAAAATAATTAACAAGACAAAATTTAATTACTCGTCCAGTGAATTTTCCTGAACAGCGTATTGATTTGTTGTGCACATAATTTTCAAAAGAGTTCCACCAGGTTGAGACACAAGAACCGATGGCTGACCTCCCATCTCTCGTCCTAAGCTAACGCTGCCAACCTATAGATTAATTTGTTGTTAATTACAAAATTAAAAAAAAAAAAAACAAGTGTTTGAAATGACCTGATTTGCTGCTTCCCACTTGTTGAGGCTAACAAGTCTCCCTTCGCCAGGCAAAGCAGGTGGTGGGTCAGGTTGCCAGCGATAGGATCGAACGACTCTATCGGTGAGACCAACAACAAGTTCCACTTGGCCGTCACCATCAATGTCACCCATGAACAAACACTGCAAAAAAAGTAAAGTCGTGAATAAATATAAACATTAAAATAAAAATTAAAATGTACATGGGTATTTGGAGGTATGCATTGGATATGAGCCACGTGCATGTTATTGTCGCAGCCTAGTGGAACATCTGAAGGACAGGACGGTGCTGGCCCTGGGAGCAAAATGTGGCACCATCCGTCACCTGAAACGACAACTACTGTGTTCTTGTCTGGTTCGATGAGTCCACCGATTCCAACAGCGCTGATCATCTTGAAGCCCGAGCTTTGAAACCAAGGTTTGACGCTGTGAAACGAGTCCTTGAAAATAGCCAGTTCTCCACTTTCATTTCCAACAACTAATTCCAGTTCGCCATCGCCATCAACGTCTCCGAAGGCCATAGCATTTTTCAAAACAGGTCCTATAATAAAATCAGTTAATTTAACGTTACTTTTATTTCCCTAAATTTTTGTTTTACCTTGGATTTCCAACTCCCTTCTCTCATTGAAACAAACAGCCCTCATTTTTTACTATTTTAATAGGCTGAATAAATTGCTTTGGGCACTTCTCCTGCAGAGAGGTGCTTAAACCGAGACAGTGGCCACACAATGAAAGTGCACTTTGCGGTCAAAAGTCCTAGGGAAACTGGCCCAAATTCGTTCGAGTCCAAAGAGCGGCCGGAGTTGTCACCCTCGACCCAGCAGTGTCCCTTTGGCACTCGGAGAAGAGGTTTCTTGTAGCGCTTGGTGACGACGAGGTCTCCTTCGAGAGCGACGACGCGTTTGATCAGCACGTCTCGGGGGTTCTTGGGCGAAATGAGCGACACGACGTCTCCTCGTTCGATGCTGTAGTTGCGAAGCGGCAGTCTGTCCAAATAGACAAAGTCTGAAGATCCTTCTGTGTCAGGGTTAAAGGTCGGCTGCATAGACACACCTTCGACCCGGGCCACGTATCCGATGGAGTCGAAAAAGGTCACTCCGATCGGAATTCCTAGAAGCACCGACCGCAAGAGACTTGACTTTAGCATTAGGTGCCCTGAATAATAACACCGCGGGCCCGATGAATAGTGGAAGTTCAAGCAAAACTTATTGAGATGACCTTTCGAACTTCTCTTGTTGAATCTCGGATCGATGATGTCTGCGCCTCTGCAATCATAAAATTCAATTGAAAGAGTCTATATAAGTTTTCTAGCTCTATAAATATCATTAGATCATACGTTTGTTGAGTAATTCAAGCACAGCCACAGTACAACAAAATCAAAATAATTAATTTTTATTTATTTCTGTACAACAGTTGTAGTTTACTGCGACCTTTAATAAATATGATTGCTATTATATAAAATTTACGTTAGAAAAATAGATGCAAGTGTTTAAAATTAACAAAATTAAATTTTTGCTAGAGAAAATGATAAAAAAAAGTATGTAACTAGTTTATTAATTTAATTATTTAAAATGATTTGTAAAAGTTTCTGAGTCTTTTTAGATCCTTTCCATACCACCCTGTTCGCTAATCCTATGTCTTGCACGCCCCCCTTTTCTGCCAAATCGCGAATCGCGCAAGAACAAAAAGTACCAACCCCTGATAGGCTCTTTGCATGGAAAATAGCACACTCATCAGCATGTGTCTGTTCCCACGACCCCTGTTCGCTAGAGCACCTTTTGCTTGCATGTCCTCGACTAGCTCCTGCAAGAAAAAATCTGATGAGCTGCCTTAAACAGCTCCATCTTAACTCCTCTATCAATCTGTCTACAATCCTCTTAACAAATAATAGACAAATCTATTTTGCATTGCATGCCCTGTTTCAGGTCATCTTTCCTAAATGTAAATACAACTAGTAAAAATTAAACCAACATAAATAAGACCTGGCTAAATGGTATTAACTATAGCCAATTAAATCAAAATACAACAACAACAACAACAAAAAGTAGCAAAAGACGTGTGTGTGCGTGCGCCAGTTTGTTTTTGTTGTGTTTGGTTGATTCCTGTTTTATTGCGGTACGAAGGAATTATGACGTGATACGAAGTCGCACGAAAACGATGCACTTCTTGTCTTTGGTGCTCGGATCTATTCTTCTAGTGCTTATTTGCGTCGCCGGGGACCAAATTTGCCGACTGTCAGTGCTTCAGTCCAGCAAATGGGCACTTTTGCGAGCCCTTGCAGACAATGTGACCCATGGTGCGGTCGGCGGTCTCTCGTGGTGGCTGCTCATTGGCATCCAGTGGCCCTTGCTGCCCGCTTCATCACGAATTCTGCAGTCCATCTGGGTGGCCTTTATCGCTTCTGCAATCGATCTGGACCACTTCGTGGCTGCTGGATCTCTTAATATTCACGTAAGTACATTTTGAATGTTAATTTATGAAATATTTTTCATAATTATTTTTTCTTGCTTTAATCGTTTTGTCATCACGAGCACTGCCACTAATTAGATCTTCTATGCCCTAAGAATTTCTAAATTGTGTTTGTGTAAGGCATCATCGTTTCATTGCTACAAAATGTATTTAAAAAAGAAAAAAAATAATGATTTATATATAAATGAACATTAAATTTGAGTTCTACTTGCTGCAACAATTTTATAGATCAAGCAGCTACATATTTTTAAGCAATTTCACATGCAAGTTATTTGTAACTTTTTTTGGTTATCTTCTTCTTTAAATTTGTAGTTGCACAAAAATTAACAAAATGAAAAAAAAACTAGTTTAACCTTGAATATTTTCAATTTTTTATTTTTATTATTTTCTGCAAAATTTATGTGTTTTTGGCTTCATTTGTTTTAAAATTGCATCATCATTTATTTTGGTGTCTATGTATTTTGCACAGTTTCGTACTCTCCAGGTTTTGTTTTCTGATTAATTCCTCATTTCAACACTCTGCTTTACACACCTTTATTTCTTTTTGGTTTTTGCTGTTTGTCATCTCCATCCATCAGTTTTCTGAAAGAAATTGACCATTTTGGGTCTTGTTGGTGAATTTGCAGGACGTGGTGCGTCTGCCCCACCGCCCTCCTCTCCACTGCACAGGACTGTGCGTCCTGGCGCTGGCCGCCCTGACGGTGTGCGCCGTTTTCTACCCTGGGATGCGGCTTCTGCCCTGCCAGTGGCTGCTCGCCTTCGCCACACACCACGTTCGCGACGCCACTCGCAGGGGCCTTTGGCTCATTCCTGGCCTCTGGTCGACCCGACCTTTGCCCTACTGGCTCTATCTTGCCCTCGAAGTTGCCGCCGCGCCACTCGTGGCCTTAGTCCTGCCGCTGGACTTCAAAACTCCTGTGATCAGTGTGGTGAACAGTCTTACTGATACTTCATTCGTTTGAAGTGAAAACTCGAATATAAAAGCTATATTTTAAGGAGTGCCTTATGCTGCAAATTATTATAAAAAACCAAATTTTTAAACTTAAATACTCTGATTATTTATTTATTTATTAATTCTTGCTAGATTTTTTTTTATAAAATACGTACAATCCTCATTCCAAACACAATTTTTATTTTCAACGGGCTTTAAATAATTTGATTTATTCATGTGTGCTGCAAAATACAAGTTAACTCGACGATCCTTCTTAGTTTTCAGTGCTTGTACCTCCCAAAATCTGAAATTCAGTAAATTCCAATTTAAGAAAACCACCAAGGAAAAATTAATTTGGGTAGAATGGATAAAATCATGATTTTTTTTTCTAATTTTATAATAATTAAATTATTACGTACCCAAGCAATGAACAAAATTATTACTGGACTGAAGACGACGGAATAAAACACTGTCAGGATAGAAAATACCGCTATCGATTTTTCCCTCGTAGACTTTGCCTTCAAAAAGTATTTTGCCACAAATAGCTTGAACCCATTCAAGGGAGGATATTTAACCCTGTTGACAAAACAAAAGATACAATTAATTGCGATAAAAGAAATTAACATAAATTTCACGTACATACCTATCTGTGTATTGATTGAACCAGTTCAGTTTTTTCCTGTGGACGCCCTTCTGATTTGTGAAGGTCAAGAAGGTGCTTTGGCCGTGGTACTTTGGGCCGATGCCACTTTCGCCCACACCTCCGAAGGGCAAGTCCTCGATGGCCGAGTAGGTGATGCAGTCGTTGATGCTCACCCCTCCACTCGAGGTTTGGGTCACAAAGAGGTCCTGCGTCGCCCTGTCATTGCTGAAAACGTACACCGCCAGTGGTTTTCCTCTTGTCCTGATCAGTTCGACTGCTTTTGCCGGACCGTCGACCACAACCACCGGCAGGATGGGACCGAATATTTCCTCTTTCATCAGGATGTCGTCAGGGTGCACATCTACCACCAAGGTGGGAGAGACCCACAGGTCCTTTTTGTCCACCGTGCCTCCATAAACGATCTTCCCATTGGTACTTCTAATTAAATTTTCCAGTCTCCTAAATTTGAAAAGAAAAAAGGAGAAAAGTTTTAATAATTTTTTTAATTTTTTAATTTACTTATCTTTTTTTACAATTGAATGAGTTTTTTTTAATAAAAAAAATTGCCATTTCTTAAAGTAATGATACCAATTGTTACGATCAAACAAAAAGTCTGTCTTAAAATTAAAATTTCTTTTTTAAATTATGTTGTCTTTTAAAAACGTTTTCGTTATTTAAACCATTGATTTCAAGTTTTTACTTCACGTGCTCCAGATTGACAAGTCTTCCAAGCGTTGTTGATTTTTGCACATTTTCCCCGTGCAAGGACTTGAGCGTCTTTTCAAAAATTGCAACAAGCTGTTGTTGCGCCTTGGGTGTGCAGATGACGTAGTCGGGCGCCATGCACATTTGTCCGAGGTTAACGTATTTGTTGAAAATCACTTTGGTCACGGCCCTATCGAAATTTCCTCCCAAATTTTCGTCGAGGTAGACGGGACACTTGCTGCCCATCTGAATCGAGGTCGGTGTCATTTGACGGGCCGCAGCCTCCGCCACCACGCGACCTGTTGCCGCCGAGCATGTGGCGAAGATGTAGTCGAATTTCTGCTTCAGCAGTAATTTTGTCTCGCTCGGATCAGCAAGCACCACTTTAAAGCACTCCTTAGAATTTTTTATTATAATTAAAAAAAAAATAATAAAACTTAAAGACCAGAATTATACTTTATCCAAGTATTTTGGCACCAGTTTTGCAAGAAGCGTTGAACATTGCGGAGTCAGGTGCGAGGGTTTCATGATCACACAATTTCCAGCAGCAATCGCTCCGTGTAATGGGATGGATATTAATTTGATTGGGTAGTTGTAAGGCCCGATAATGAGCACCACCCCCAGCGGCTCGGGAACTACTTTTACATCATCCAAGTGGTACATCAGGTTTTTGTAAGGCTGAAATTTAATATTCATCAAATTTTCTGTGATTTAAAATAAAAAATAAAAACTAAAACTTCAAGATCATAATTTAAAAAAAATCAAACTTTTCAGGTCAAATCATTTGGATTTCAAAATTTAAAAAATCATACTTTTGGTGGGTTCATCCATTTGTGCATTTTGATTAGCGTCGATTTGAGTTCATTTTTAATGTACTCAAGCTCAAATAATAACGCCTCGTGGAAACATTTGCTCAGGTCGGCCATCAGTGCCTCCAGAATAGCCTTTGAATTCTCTTCGTACAGACGAAGCAGTTGCTGCAAGTTGCGCCTCCGAAACTCTGCACTGAAAGTGCGTCCGCTGGCAAATGCATCTCGCGCCTCGCCGACCAACTTTGAGAAAAAAAAAAACTGAAAATAAATAATAAAAATTCGCATGCGAAAATTTCTTACCTGCGTGTAGTCCGGTCGCATGATTTACACTAGCTACTGCGATTTAAGAAAGCTGCGAATAGCTTTCATCTCTCTATAATTTTCAATAGGTCAAGCAAGCATTTTTCCATGCGTGTTTGAAAGCAGTGGGCCTTGGAACAAGAGCAATTTAATGCTTGGTCTATGCTTTTTTCAATCCATTTCAAAGCAAACCGCTTTCAAATTCAACATCTAGTCATTTCTAAATAAATGCGTTTTACATTTTTATTTTAAATAGCTGCCAGATGCATTAATGTTGTATATTTATTATTATTTTTAATAAAAAACTAACAAATTTGATCTGTAAATTTTTTCCGTCCTGTTTTTAGAACATATATTTAATTTAGCTTTTGCTGTTTTTTATAATAAATATATAATTAATATAAATCATCGGTATTTTATGGAACGAAAATACGATCATATTGGTATATATTCCCTGTATATTTTGTTACAAAAAATACTCATAAACATTATATAATCACAACGTAGAGAGACATGTGTAGTAAGTAGAAGATGGTTAACACAGTAATAGGCTGAAACAGCTGTTTTATAGTTGCAACTCCACAAAATCCTTTGGTCGCCTCCAGATTTAAAACGGCATTTTATTATTCTCTCTGGAATCACTCGCTGTCGCCATTGGTTGCCTGCAAAAAACAACCAAATTTAGAGCGCTCAGCTTTTTTGCTCCAAGCACACGTAGAACACACCTCGGTAACCATTTTTGTATCTTTTTACGCGTGATTTAATTACTTTTTAAAATCTTTTACTAAAGCGAATACTGTCCTCAACGTAAGGCCGCGCTATAAAAAACGCAATAAGCTCCGATTTTAAATTTCAAACTTGACCTACCCTGACTACGGCCTGCACGGCCAGGACAGACGCAGCTCCTAGGGCAAACAAGGCCACCTTTGGCAGGTATTTAAACACTCCAAAAAATGTCCTCTTTTTCATCAGCATGTTCAAGCCCTGGATTTTGCTATCGGAATAGGGTGGGTAACGGAATCTGAATAGAAAAAATGCCATTAAAATGTAAAAATTTAAAGCATTTTTGAAAACTTACGCTCCCAAAGTTTCTCCAATGTACCCAAAGTCTCGGACCAAACATCCCTTGATGTGCGAAAACTCGTCGAAACTGACTTTGCCGTGATACTGGCCGATGCCGCTGTTGCCGACGCCGCCGAAAGGCAGGTTTTCGACTCCCAAGTGCATAACAACGTCATTGCAGCAAACGCCGCCGCTTGATGTGTTGTTCAGGATCAACTGACGCTCTTTCGTATTTTCTGTAAAAATGTACAGGGCGAGTGGTTTTTCCCTGCTGTTGATGAACTTGATGGCCTCGTAAGTGTTCTCAACGTTCACAATGGGTAGGATGGGGCCGAAAATCTCTTCCTAAATAAACAAAGAAAAACAAAATTTAATATGATACAGTCAATTTTTTACTGCAAATGACAATCAAGTTGTTTTACATAACAACATTTGGGCCAAACTTTTCAACAAATATTTAAAATTATATTTTATATATCATTTGATTCAATTCAATTTAAAAATGTGGCACAAAATCTAAAATTAATTTATATTCTTACAATATAAATTAAAACTTTTATTAGTATATTATTCTTTTCAAATTCAAGAAAAATGTTTTCTGCCTTTTATCATGTAAATTTTGTATTTTTACCTGCATGATGGGGTCAGTGGCTGCAACGTCAGCAATGACGGTGGGTGGAATGAATTTGTCGTCAGCGATCGCTTCACCTCCGATGACCACTCGGCCAGTGGAGTTCTTGATGAGGCCCTGCAGCCTCTGGAAGTGGCGGTCGCTGACGATGCGGCCCAAATCTGGCGACTCGCTGGGCCTGTCGCCAAACCAAAGGGGCAAAATGCGCTTGGCAGTGGCGATGAACGCTTCTTGCACTTGCTTTGTGCACAAAAGGTAGTCGGGCGCGATGCAAGTTTGACCGACATTGATCAGTTTGCCCCACAAAATGCGTTTAGTCGCAATCTCAATGTCACAGGTGCTGTCCAAGTAAACGGGACTGGAATTTGAATGGTTGAAATGGTTTTAAAATGGTGTTGGCAAAATTTAAATAAATTTATTAAAAAACTTCTAGATTATTTACATTGGAATTAAAAATAACGATGTTTGCAATGATTTGTTCACTTCAAAGATGATAATAACCGCTGCGATAATATCTTATCATTATCTAATATTGTTATTCAATAACCTTGAAATGGAGCAAAGCAAAGTCTGTTTTTGAACAATTATCGTTTGCAACCGGTTCGGTCGCATTGCAATTAAATTATTATTACCTTTTTCCACCCAATTCCAGCGTCACCGGCGTCAAGTGCTGGTTTGCTGCGTCTCGAACAATTTTTCCAACGGACGTGGATCCCGTGTAGAAAATGTAGTCAAAGCGCTCCTTCAAAAGTAGAGTCGTTTCAGGAACTCCGCCCAAAACTACTTGGTAGCATTCCTAATTCACAAACTCTAGTCATCTTTGTTTCAAAATTTAAAATTAATAAATATACCTGGTCCAGGTACTTGGGAATAAGCTCAGCGATGAGCTTGGCGGAATGTGGAGAAATTTCTGATGGTTTCAAAACAACGCAATTTCCTGCGGCGACGGCGCCGTGCATGGGCAGAAGGGTGAGCTGTAGGGGGTAGTTCCACGCGCCCATTACCAGGGCAACGCCGTATGGCTCCTTGTACAGGTACACCTGGTCCAACATGTTGACCAGTCCTTTCGATGGCTAAATGAAAACACACAGAAAAACAAAAATTGTTAATGTATTGTATTTCTCTACAAAGTTCGTTGTAAAAATTATCTCTATCAATACAGAAATGATTTCCATTCTATATTTTCTCATATAAAAATTATTTGGTTAATCAGAAAGCAAGCTCATTTGAAATTTATATTTAAATGAATCATCATTTTCTTGTATTGTGAATGAGAATGAGCCGAGCCTACTTGCTGATGCTGACAGAGCAGCTATTTTATTCCATTGACTGTTTTTAATTTCTTTGGTAATTATGGCAGGTTAGAAATTCTAAAATAAAAAGCTAAAAAAAATATTCACCAGAATTTAAATCGCAAAATCTTCAAAGAATTACTGACTGGCGCAGTTTTTCTGCCTTTTTAGTTACGCCCCCTTTTTCCAAGTTTATCTTTTTAGCAAAAACCTTTCAAACAATACCTTCTCAGGCTTAACCCAGTCGTCCAGGTGGGCCAGACAGGACCTGATATCATTCTTCAGGTATTCGACCTCGAGCACCGTAGCCTCCTGTTTGCTCTGCGTGCAAAAAAAAAAAAAAATCACAGTCATGTTTTAGAGCAAAAGTGACAAATCAACCCACCTTGCGGAGGTCTTTGTTGAGAACCTCGAGCATTTCATTTGTGTTTTCCTCGTACATCCTGAGCATCTGCTTGAGAGTGCGTCTGCGGAATTCGACATCGCGCGTTCGGCCCGACTGGAAAGCATTGTGGGCCCTCTGAACCACCTAAAAAGTCGTGTGTCGCAACACCAGCCTTGTAAAACTCGAATCATTTCTCAGCGAAAAAAACTCACGCTGGAAAACGTTGACATGGCAGCAGCTGGGTTCTCGGGGGCTCCTGAAATACCAGAGTGAAGTTTAGAGTCCAGTTTTAGTGTCAACGTGATAACCGAGGGGACATGATAAGAGAAAAGAGCCAGTCATCAGCGGCGCCGAATGCAGTTCGCTGCTGGCGAATCGAAAGTGGGTTTTGCGCAAGCGAGCAGCGCATCCGAGAGAAACCACACAGGCCCCTCTTTTTTTGTGCAGCGCCAAACCGCTGCCGATAAAAAACACACAGCCCCGTTTCGTGCCGTATTATTTTAATTAAATTTATATTGATCGTGCCGGTGTGGAGAGTCGGAGAAAAAACAAACCGTCAGTCGCCGATCTCAAGTGCTCTGATTATTTTATTGCACTGACAAGAAAAATTATGGAAAAAAAGATACCTCTTGATCCAGTCGCAGCTGAAAGGTTGCACTAGAAAGTGTGCGTCTATCTCAGAGCTAAATTACATTGAACCAAAGGCTACGGTTTATTTTTCATCTCGCATAGTCAAGTTGTGCAGGTGTTGCGCAATTTTAACTAGTCGTAACGTGTTATTTTATTTTCATGTCCTATAATAGAGGCGCTTATAGCCGCGATTTGCATTATATGCTACGCTTTTCAAGGCAAAGTTTTATGTAGATTCAAATTATTGTTTATTCCACTGGAGCCTAGTGTTGAAAATTAAGGATTTGAGGTAAACAATGAATTTATAAAAAACAAATTGTTTATTTTTATATGCCGAGTTTTGCAGGTTGTTTGCTTTTGAATATTTTATTTTTCTTAAATTTTTGTTGTAATCAAGAATGATTCTTGTTCATCTATTGGTAAGCTTAATTTACTGTGTTTCAGCAGTTTTAATTTTAACTAATTTATTCAATTCAGTTTATTTTATGCTTCTTCAAAGAAGTGAAAAAACCCGTTTATAAATCTAAAATATTAATTGTTGGGGAGTAATAAAATCTCACTGAAGCTCATAGGCGCGTATTTATACAGCAGTGGCCGCACTCGCCTCGCTGCATAGCCTAAACTGCGACAAGAAGAAAAATTAATTAAATAATCCGACGTTTTCCTCGTCCTTCACATTAATCTGCAAAACCTGCTCCTCCTAGTAAGCCAAAAAGCGCTGCTGCTAATATATCACGCAGTTGTATTGAAAAAAATAATTTTTTTTCCCTACAATTGTTACAAATATGTATTATAAGTTAGAATATTCCAAAATTCCTATTGTTGGAAGAGACATTAAATTGTTGGGAAAAAAATTAAGAAAAAACACATTATTTACTTAATCTTTTTGCAGCTGTAAATATTTGAATCACTAAAATATTAAATTACATAAATACTTTTGCAAAGTTGATGAAATTATAGAATTTTGTGCTAAGCATGGTTCCTTGCCTGGCGCGCTCTAGACCTTCTCAATGCCATTATTTCCTAATTAGAGTTGGCATCCTTTGACCGTTTAACACTAACAAGGCCAGCATTTTTTAGCATTCATTATGTGCCATATTTTTCATGGCGATTTGACTCACACACAACTATTCACATTTTTATTGATTTTTTCTACTTTTGAAGAAGTTGAGGTTAACACTCGAGGAGATGATCATGGAAATGAAAAAGTTCGGCTATTCAAAAATTGTTTTTTTTTTTTATTAAAAAAACAAATTGCTCTACCAGTTTCGGTCACGGTCTGCGACCCTATTTCATGAGTAAGAAAAATAAAAAAAAATCAGCAAAATTTAATTATTATATGTGAAAATGTGGTGTTTTTCAATTTTGCTGATTTTTTTTGTATTAATCTTGCTCGTGAAATAGGGTCGCAGACCGTGACCGAAACTGGTATTTGTTAAAAAAAAAAAAAAAATACCACAAGGAACAGCCCCCTAACTTCCTGTTTTTTTTTTCTTTTTGCATAATGTAAATTCTGATTATATATTTTTAAGAACAAAAAGGATCAAAATTAAAATATCTTTTCCCCCTTTCTTCATGTCTGAACTGGTCTGAACAAAGACATAAATATTTCTATTGTAATTATATATTGATTTAACTATAAAATCTTACTTGAGACAACGCTTTGGAGATCCGCCATTGAAATTCTCCTGCTCATCAGCAACTTCCACAAAGCTGAAAAATCCTATATCTGGACAAGTGATTTCAATGACTGCACCAGAGGCAAACCAAAAGAGATTTGCTCAGCAATTTCGGCCACGAAAGGAGGTTCTTATTTTTTTGCCTCGCTTTATTCCGAATCCACAACTCACGGTCATCAGGAAGAAAACGTGATTTTTTGCTAATTACAGGGGGCCGCTTCGTCATTGCTATTTTTTTTTGCATAAATTGCGTCGTGTCGCAAGGAATACTTCTTCGCATTGTTTTGCTTATTTGAATTTTGCAACAACTCAAGCGAACTGTAAATCGAGGGGCGAAATTCCCCCAGGTTTTGAGCCTCACCTGCATGACTGTCGCTGAGAATGCCGGTGCTGTTATCGTCGGACTCGACTCGGACTTCTTCAAGGTCACCAGACATGGTTACCTCGTGAATTGACGCTCCACAACTGCACTCGTTGCCGATGAGCACTCGCGAGCGTGGTGCCCTGGTGCACACGCTATGGGAGGCGGGGAACAATTGTTGTTGTGAGCTTTTCCATTAGCCTTTGTTAGTTCCAGCTAACACACTGAACCGATTTTGTGCGCTGAATATTAATGAGGCGTGATAAGATAACTAATTATTTTTTCTACTTGAGCTTCTGCTTAAGAATTTACTTTTTTTTTGAATAATAATAATAAAACAGAAAGAAATCAAATATAAAAATAGGAAGAAATGGTGAAAATTAATAAAAATTAAACTATTTTTGTTAAAACTTCCAATTATTTAATTTAATTTGTAGTAATATTAAATTAAACGGAATCTGAAATTAAAAAATGTCAGTCAGATTTTGGTGTTATATTTAATCGTTTTTTAACGTGGTAATTAATCAAATAAATTTATTAATTTCAATTTCAATTTTTTTTTTATAAATATAAAATGAAAAATTTAGAAATATTACAGAAGAAAAATCGTTTCCTTTTTTTTTGTACTAGAATAATATTATTGAATAATATTTTATTATCACTAAAATTAAAATTGCTTTTCATGAAATTCCATAATATCACCCCAAATAATATTTTCATTCGGAGCGCAGTGGACAGCAAACGCAAAGTCTACTCAAGCTCGGAGCAGCTTTTTGTGATTTACTGCCGTGAATAACATTTCAACTTCCTTTGAGCCAAAGTAGAATACATGCCTATTGGAATTCAAATTTCGTCCATGAATCGCCTCTTTTGTGCACATAGACCGTTCAACTTTGCCTTGTCTGCTGGCGAGTCTTTTTATACTTGACGCGGCCAAGTCAAAAGTGTTTTGCAAGTTAAAGAGCGGCGTCCTATAAAGAATTGGGTTTGTTCACAATTTATTTGTTTTCCAGCGACGTGAGCTGCATTAATTTTTGTAAACCGGACATAGACAAATGGAGATGTGCACGTGTCTAACTGCGATAATATGTCAAGGAGCAAAGCGGCTGAAAATAACGAGTCGTCGGAGAACATGAATCATAAAAATGTAGTTGACAATTATGCCGTAGCATGATTTATTTTGTCGTGGTTGAGCATGCGTTGCAGTGAATTTCCAAGTCTGTTAAAATTATTAACTTTTGTAAAATAAATGTATGAGCTTTTGTAACTGCTTTTAATTTTCTTTTTATAAATACAAAAATAATTACAAAATCCATAAAATTCAGGGAAGCATAAGACGTTAATTCAATCTTCCTATTTTTTTTAGTGTTATATGAAGCAAACTCTGTAAATATTAGTAAAAGTTAGTCATAGATTATGTGATATCTCTGGAGGATTAGTGGTCGCAAAGTTCGCTTCAAGACACCTGTTGGAATAACGCAGCACTGACGCCTTTGCATGTTTTCGCCGAGATGTCGGTGAAGGAAAAGAAAACGACTGCTGCTTTTTAAAGGCGCGTTCAAATTGCAGCACGACCTGTGCTTTATCGCGCTCGCAGTGGGCAAACAGACGATAAGAGCGGGGCGAAATTAAAAAAGAAAGAGAAAAGAAGTTAACAGCACACCTGACAAACAGCCACGACATCGTCGGAAATTATTTCCTTGTAGACAATTTTCTCGTCCAAAAGTCAAAATAAATAATAAGAGTGACCGAGCTTCGTCTCCACGTTTTGAACAAAAATACATTTATTTTGATATTTTTAAAATTTTTATTCCAATTTTAAGTTGATATTCGTTTTTGCACAAAGTTTCTCTGATAACATATTTTTTTTACAGTAAAATTATAAAATATTTTATTGTACACAAATTGTCAGTTTGTCTTCGAATTATTCACATGATTATTAATACAATATTAATGTCTTTTTCAATTTAATGATACTATAATTTTTGTTCTTAACTTTGCATTTTCCTAGGGCATAATTAACTAAATAATTGAACTAATTTCTCTAAGAACTTTAAGCTTAAAGTTAAAATATAAATATTTGTCCATCAAAAATTGTTTTAATTTTCCCAACTTTCTAAAATTCAAACACTATTTATCGCCTGGCAAAAAAATCAGACATTTTATTTTTTAACTTCATGTAAGAAGAATCCAGCAAATTGGATTTCACAGGTTGTATTAATATGGCTATAAAAACTTTATTTCACATTAGTTTTGTTTATTTAAGCAAATTGAGATTAAAATATTCAGTGTGAACTCGATAAATTCCGTAAATTTAAAGGTTATGACTTTCAGAATTTATTTATGGAATTTTTTAATTAAATCTCATTTTTTTTTATTAATAATCAATTGAATCAATCATTCAGAGTTCCCAGCGTTCATTTAAATAAAAAAAGTTTTGTCTCTTCCTGCAGGTGAGATTTTAAAAGATGCAACCTGCTTGACACGGCTGTCGAGATATTGCCTAAAATCGTGTTCCTCAGCGCGGTCAATGCAGCAATATCTTGACAGGCGTTTCAAAGAAGTTGCATTTTTGTAAAACTCATTGGCAGCATGGGAAAGTAAAATTATTCAAGAATAGATACAATGAACTCTTAAGGTGTTATTGGAATAAATTTAGTTAAAATGTTTCAAAGCCCACTCTGAATATTCCAAGTGCTAGATAAATTTGATTGACTTCTGAAATTACATAAGAATCACATAAAATATGAAAAAGAATATGTATAAATTGACTTAAAAAATCTACAAAAATTAAAAATCGATACAAAAAATACAATTTTAAAACAAATATTTTGCAAAAAAAAAGTGACTAATACAAGGTATGCAAAAAGAGTTGTTTGACCCAAAACTCGCGGTTTGAACAATAGACAGACTCATTATCTCTAACAAATACATCTTGCAGGCAGAAATAGAGAAACAAAACGCAGGCTTGTTACAAAAATTTCCGCGTGCCTGAAAACAAAGCAAAGAGTCGTCGAGGAGGAACAAGAGCGAAAAGCAGCGTCGCGTCGCGCGGGTGTTTGCTCAAGAGTTTAGAGCACAAGAGATGCCAGCGAGGTGTTGTCAGTGGTGATAAGGAGAGGAGGTGTTTGGTTTGAGTCGAGCCATAAAGAGAGCAACTCCATGACAGTGTGTTCTGAACTCTACTGTCGACGGATAGCTCTCTTGTAGGCACTGACTGTACTTTTCTTGCTATCAGCGGCCGGCGGCGTTTATTGCACCCATGCTGGCTCTCGCGGCAGCCACCAACGGCGACGCCAATTATCGCCACCCATTAGCGCACCACCAGCAATTGGTAAACAGCGCGCGTGGGTTGTTAGGCCCTGGGTGCGAATCAGAGGAGGAACGGCGCGCGTGTCCGTCCGTCCGTCCAACGAGTCGAACACGAGGACGCCTGCCTGCGAAACAAGCCGGGAGAAAAAAGGGTTATCAGAACATTTGCTTCAAACACGCGTGCAACTTGCTGACGTGCAGTCACGTGTACATTTTCTGAAGAAATTGTTTTTGACAAAAAAAAAATGCTATTTAAAAAAAAGATGAGACCAGGAAGTGACAGAGATAAAGAAATCAGCAATTTTTATCTAAATTATTTTTACCCACTGCACCCATTAAGTAGAAATATTAGCTTTTTGCTTCTTGTTCAATATTTTCATAAGAGAAATAAAATTTATATTGAAGGGACTGAAAAAAAATGTTATCGTACTTTCGCAGGACTGAGAGCGTTTAAGCTGGAAAACTCTAAGCCTGTATAATTACACAGATATATAATTTACATATCGCGGTGTAAAGCCTGCAGGTATTATGCACGCAGAGTGTGTGTGCACAGCATGTGTCATAAATGCGCTGTAAACAAGCACCAGATGAATAATAAAATCTACTGTCTCTCTTAAAAGTGTTTTCCGCTTTGAAAGGTGCAGTTTCGTCACTTTTATAATGTCTATTTGTTTCCCAAGCAAACTCAAAAGTCTCAGATTTTAAATGAAAACAAAAATTCCGCCGTTCACTTGTATTAAAATATTTTTCTGGTCGCAAAAATCGTCAAAAATATAGAAAATGAACAATAAATAAGATATAGGTTAATAGAAAAATTGCCATTTTAGATTTTACCAGTTCGAAGTTCCATGTTGAATGTGAAGGTTGTGTGTGAGGCAGATGAGCTGGCGATGGCACGTTACTGTCAAAGCTGCGTCTCGTGGAGTGACCTGCGCTTCACCTGGCCCGCCTTATATACTGCGGGTGTGACGTTCTGCTTGTCTTATCAGTACCTTAGGGCGCCCTCACTGCCGGGAGTCTCAGCGGGACGGAAGAGCTCTGATATTCTGCTTGCAAGCTGGGACAACCGACGACTCGAAAGAGACAGACGAATTTTGACAATTCTTTTTTATTTCTGGTCTGGATTCCCGGAACGGCTCGACTTGAAATCAGTCGAATGCTGTTTTGATTAGAAATTTATTTTTCCGTTACTTATTTTTCTTTACTAAAATTTGGGTGTAACTGGCCAAGGATGGCCCGCATGCACAATACAAGAGTGTGGGAATTTTGAAGATAAAGTGGCAATACTCGGCGATAACTCTTAAAACAGTATTTTTCGGGAGCGCCTTATCAAGCTCAGTGGTCTGCGTCCATCCGAGCTTTGCTGGACACCTGGAGACATTTCACTCACCGCGCGTCTCTTTTTATCTCTTGTGAAAATTGTTGTTTCAAAACGGCTGGATTTCACACGTGCGTTCGCATAGAGGTGCCGTTCCATCAGCTTAGAGAGTTGTAATTATCGCTTTTGACCACAGGAAAAAGTCCCTGGGGTGCTGCGGCTCTACTTTTAGTTTTTACTGCTGATAGGGCTGCACGCTGTCTAATTACTGCAGCAAATAATGACGCCAAGGCACAAAACGCCGCATATAGTTCATTTTCATCGAATACATTTAATCCAAATTGTGAGAAATTATATTTAAATAAAGCCGAAAAGCAGAATTTGGCGTGAAAAAATTTTAGTTGTCTTTTGTAGGATCGAAATTGTCTACAAGTAGTTCTTCAAATTTTTGTTAGTATTACAAAGTGTTTATTATTTAATTATTAATTTTAGTATTTAGTTGTTAGGGAATTATTTCTTCACGGAAGAACAGTTGAATCAGTTTTAATATTTTATTATCACGTGTAATTTAATTTAAAATGAGATCTCTATCAATATAAACAAGGTAGGGTTTTAAGAAATATAAAAACTGTTTATTTCGTATAATATAGAATGTGTTGAAAGTGGCAGTAAATAACATCAACAAAAAAGCAAACGTAACCTTAATAGTAATTAATCATTATTTGACAAATATCACCGCATGTATGTAAACTACAACTCATAATTTAGGAATATCCACAGAGAGAAAGGACTAGTCAATTGAGGATATCAAAAGAAATATATGATGTCTGTCTGGAAATGGCCCAACAAGGTAACAGTCAGCTTCTTCAGCGGCGCTGCCTCGACCGCCACACGGCCACAGCTGCGTGCACAACCAGCGGCCACAAAACAATAATCATCGCCGTGCGGGGTGAAACGTCGTTCAATGGCCAGAATCCCCTCGGAGCTATTTCCTCCTGAAATAATATCAAATTTAATATAAAAAAAGCATTGTGAAATTAAATCTTTTATAAAAAAGCTGCAAATCATAAAAACCAAAAAGCATTGCATTTTACAAACTAGTCATAATTTTATGGTCAACACAGGAGATAATTTAATTTTAAACATAAATAAGAATGTTAAAAGAAAAATTTAAAGAAATTATTAAGTTTTTAGTGATTTTAATGAAAATTTGAGAATAATTACCATCATTATTTGTTGAAATTTTGAAAATAAAAATTAAGCAAGAAAAGAAAAATTTTGAAGATTCAAGGATATTTTTAAATTTTTATAAAAAGTATTTTTTTTTTTTTTTGCTATGCCCATGATACAAAAGGGCCTCTGCCACCATTCCCAAGAGGAATAGACAAGCTAATAGCGGAAAATCAATAGGTCGCTTGACCTCGGAATTCATCTTGCTTTCACCAACATTGGAAATTAATAAAAACTGAAACAATGCCCTCAAATCTGTGAATTTATGCACCTTGGGCTGATTGTTTTTGTCCTCAAGTTTTCTAACTCGGGAGTTCAATCGATCCAGGTCTCTCTGGAGTTGACGTGTTGTTTCTCGTAGTTGTTCGGCAACCTGCTGATCGAGGCTTTTTTGGTTCATGGTGGAAATCCTAGTGGCAAGTTCTGTGGCATCTTCAGCTGGTTTAATTGCGTGTCCGTTCTCTGAAAATTTTTAATCAGGTTTAACGTAAATTATGAAAGTCTAATACTGACTTTTAGCTGATGATTTGTGTTGCACTCCTTCAATGTCTTCTTGCCTCACCTGGGAAAAATTTAAGTAATAAATAAAGATTATTTTAGGAATTTTTATGTTCACCTCGACTAAGGAATCTTTAAAGTCGTCGTACTCATCTTCGTCGTCGTCTACAGGCTCGGGAGCTTGGCTCAGGTTATATTTTGATGGCGACTTAGTGGAATGGGTCGGGCTTGTGTCTCTGCTGCTCACTCGCTCAATTATGTCACCAACAGCCAGTTGCAAATCTTCTTGAGGAACAGCCTCGTAGAATGAGCCAAGGGAGCCCAGGAACTCGGCCACGTTCTCATTGTAAGACATCGTTTCCACGATCTATTGATGAAAAAAAATTGAATCAGTACAATTTAAAAATGGTAAAAAAAATTTGGAAAATATCTCATGTAAAACATAATCAAAATAATGAAGATGACCTTCTTGATCTCTTATCTTCTATTTTGAAACTTCCAGATTTTGATAATCACGTTAAGAGATATAATGTGTTTTTACCAATTTTGTATAATCTCCATTAGAATTGTCAAACTCCATCAAATTTGATAACAAAGGTTGAATTTAAACTAACATTGGTTCTGATTAAAGCATTGATTGTTTTAAAAAATCCAATAAATAGATGTACAAAAAAAATATAAAATGAGGTAGTCAAAGAATCTAATTGCGCTTTGCTGACCAAAGCCGGTTGATCGTTAAAGAGTAATCAGCAGCAGAGCAAGCGTTGCAAGTGGTGCAAACAAATAATGGCCATCGGAAGGAGATTACCAAACGTCACTATGCTTTTTGCAACACTTTTAACAAAAGCGTAGAAAATTTGTCGAATCACCGCAGTGTGAAACGGCAATTCTCCTTTCAAGAGTGTCAATATAATAGGCGTGTGACCTTCTTGAGCTCCTCGACGTAGCTCTCCATGGCGTGCTCCTTGGGCATGTTGCCCAGTTTCTTCCAGGCCTCCCATTTCTTCCTGCGGACCACTTCCCAGAAGGCCGGTTGCGACTCGGAGCAGGAGCCCTCAGTGGCCTGCTTGAAGTACGAGTAGAATCGCAGCTGCAGTTCGTACGACGGCTGGTACGAGCCTGGAAAATTCACACACACAAAGTCAGACAAGCATGACTGGCAATGCAACAAAGTAATCATTGTTATTTGAAAAGAGCGAGCCGTGACTTAGCAAAGTGTGCATTATGAAGAGAAGAGAAAGTGTGGCAAATCCAATGACGCGGGCCCCGCTCAGACCTTGGACTCCGGGGTACCTCGTTAGACCCCTGATAAGTGTCCGTCTCAACGCCAGATAAGACAAGAAACATTAAAAGTTGCCAACGCGAAAGATGATTTTCGCGCGGCCTGCATATTAATGCAGTTTTTGGGGCTCGAGTCGGGCCCTGATTTGCCCTGATTCGTGGCACGTACCGTTCTTGGGCAGGCTGCGGATGACGTTGACGGCCGCCCGGAACTTCTCCTCGGTGCTCATGGCCGAAAGTGCGGCCGAAATGTCAGGCGAGAGGATGTTGTGTTCGTCTCGGCTGTTTCGGCACAGCTGCCTGCTGAGATCTTTCGCTGCGCCTGGCCTGGCCCACCGTCCAAAACAAACGACGACGACTGCTGGAGCAGTGGTCACGTGACCGCGGTCACGTGGGAGAGGAGGGAGTGGAGAGCAACCGACGTAGCTTAGGCGAAGGCGCCGCCGAGAATGAGCACCGCGAACACCAACACGGTAAATTTACCTGACAATAATTAGCCGACGACCCTGAGAGCGTCTTAGGATTTTGCAAACCTACGTGTCATGAAGAAGAATGCCTTGCAATCTTGCAGGCAAAAAATAGAAATGAATTGTACAAAGCGAAGGTGGTTTGCAAAAAATTGAAAAAATTAACGCAGGTATGGAGGACAGGGAAATAAATAATTTATGTGGCGTGAATTGTGATTTCCCTTTATATGATTAATTTTTCAAAGCGTTTTTTGAGAGTCGAAGTAAATATCAGGAATATTAAAATATGCTCATTATGGCAGTAAATTTCTGAAAAGTAAAAATGTAACTGTCGTGTATATTTTGCAAATAATTTTTGTTTGGTACGCCAGCAAATATTGTGGGTTTGCAATGTAATTTACATCTTTTTATAAAAATTAATAGTTTTCAATTAATTATTGAAAAATTTTAATCATTAAATTTGCCCCCAAAATTTGAATTACTTAAAAGCAACTCAAACGTATCTGTTAAAATTCATTTTTATTATTATTCTTCTCGGTCAATTTAAAATTGGTAAAAAAGAGAGAGAAGAACCAATACCAATAAAAATATGTGTGCAAACTGCTATTAAAAATGCATGTTCGAATGGGTAAAAATATAATAATGCAATTCATGGCTAAAAAATGTAAATATTTTGACTCCTAATTATTAATTGTTGTGAATTTATCAAATCACTTTATCACTTAGTTTTATTGATTTTTTTTTAAATAATTTGTTTGAAAAAGGAATCGTTGTACACAACGGCACCACCACTAGCAAGGATTTTGCTAAAACTTTAGAGATCAAAAAGATTTACTGAATATATAATATGAATATTCAAATGAATACTTGCCACCAATTTTTTGCAAATATTCATGTTACGATTATTTTCCAATCTTCTCTAATCAAGTTGAAATTGATAAAATTAAACTTCAAAATAATCAAACGCTCGTTTTTTAGATTTTTTACGGAAAGCATTGTAATTTTTAATATGCCACCTTTTTTGTATTATTTAAATAATTCCTCGGTGTTCGTCAAAAGTTCATGTTTCGTAAAATGTTATTTAATTAGTTTCTAGGCTTAATTTTTATTTTCTGCTTATGACAGTAGAAGTTTTTAGAAAGACCATCTTGCTCTGATGGTGCTCAAACAGACCAGAAACAACTCAACGGCAGTTGTGCAGAAAGAATAATGAGCAGCGACAGCCAGCAATTGTTAACTTCTAATTGAATCCGCGCAGCTAATTTACCGCGAATAAAATCAAAAGTTATGGCCATTAATTTTTTTTAATTCTTTGATTAAATTCTTCATGCTTATTATTTTGAAATTTAATTTGAAAAAACAGAGTAACATGTTATCAAATTGGTGATTTCTGTGCTGCCGACGACCGCACTAATTGTTTGTGCTGGTTTGGCGCGTTTGAATGCTAATTAGCATCATTGTGCATCAAAACAAGATGCGCCGCAAGAGTCGTTGGCCTTTGAATGCTTGGGCGCGCTTCCCCTTTTTTCGAGAGCGCGAGGAATTTTTCTCTAAAACACACACGCAGGAAATCGCACTTGAAGAGTTTTGCTTATCGCACGTTGAACTCGGAATCTGCTTTTTGCATTATTTTAGTGGAATTCCCAAACAAGCGCTGGGAAAATCAGTTTTGAAAACAATCCATCTTAAATGTTTACATTTATTTATGCTCAAGGGTAATAATAGACCCTTTTTGCCTTTATTTATTTTAGAAGCATTTGTCATTACGTCAAGATTTGTATCATAAATAGGCCTTAGTGAGAATTTGCTGCCTTTTCCTCTTTTTATATGAATCATCAAAAGGTGTTGTAATTGATTTAAGTCTGACTTACTCTCACGAATGTTTTATGCCTTTGGAATGCGTCAGTATTTTCTCCACAAGAATCACCAGAAGAAATAAAATTAATAAATTTGGTTTACTTTTAAATTAAAGTTACAAAGCAATCAAGCCATGATTATAATTTTTTATTTGACGTTATTATCTGAATGGCTTTCTTGTCACAAATTACCTTTGCGTGTCTGATTGATTTCTTGGTGTGTTTCTGAATGATTTCGTTATCCATGCTCTCGGGCAATGCGCCGATGCGCGACACTGACTTTGTGTCTATTTCTTTTCAAACTTGAGCGACTGCCAAAGCGCATTTACAGAAATGAAAGTGACTCGTAATTTGAACAACAAAAGCTTCGGCAGGTAGTCAGTCCTATGTGCGATTTTGTGCTCCTGACAATGAGCCAAAGCGTGCTGGCTCTCGTCCCATTGTTTTGTCTTTTTGTCGCGCTTTCTTCGCCAACACATCGCCGCTAATCAGCACAAACTGTAGATTCATTCAATTAGCGCGACGTTAAGAGGGCAAAACGCAAATCACAAAATGTTCTATGGATCCAATAGTTTAATACGTCCATAATGCAGAACCATGTCGTTGAACTCACAAAGTATATTTTCAAATATAAATGTAAATTTAGGTTGCAAAAATGTTTAATCTACTTTTATTGGTTTTTAAAATAAATTTGCAAGGGTTAAATGTGCGAAAGTAAAATTTTAAATGGAAACTAAATTTTTGTTGAGATTTAAAATTTAAGTAATTAAAACTCCTTATTTTTTTTTTAACGAAAAATGCAGCTTAATAAAATTAATTACTTAAAATTTCAAACTAATATTTAAAAATGAGGAATGCTATGAGATCGGTTTCAAAAATTAAAATTCATTTAGAGATAAAAATTAGGCCGTATTTTCAAAAATTATTTGTAGCAAAGAATTAATTATGTATTAATTAGTAACAATAATTTATCTAAAAAAAATGCTTCCAACCGTTATACATTTAATTATATTATTTTGTTTTTTATTTTCTCTTATTTGATCTTAACCTGGAGAAACATAATTTGTGAGTTGTGTAAGTCTCTCATTACCGGTCTTTATAGTTTATTTTGTCTTTAGTTGGACAAAACGTCATTCGCCGAGTCCTGTTACTTTTTACTTGTCGTTCCAGGTTCAAATTTTAGAGGCTTCCCGGTAGAAATCAATACTTTGCCGGATTCGAATGCAGGCTAGCGAAATTTCCTCGCGTCGTGAGAAGACTTGCATCCAGACGAGTCAGTCAGCGGTGCGGCGAGGCGGTTCGCCAGGTGCACGCGGGAGGGGGGTTTACCTGGCTGGCAGGTTGCTCATCTCGCTTGCTCAGGCTCAGTGAGAGAATAGAGAGCAGCAGCCATGGCGAGAAGCAAGCGGGATTTCTTTTCGTGAGCAGTGAAAAGCGAAGCAAAACCGCCCCGAAATGTGGACCAAATCAGTGTTTGTGACTTTGGGTGTTCTTGTGTTCGCGGCGGGACTCGCAGCGTCCCAGCAACAGTCCAGTTCCGGTGAGATTTTATTTAAAAATTATTTTTATTCATAAATATTTAGTTTGATCTTTGAAATGGTGTTTAGTTAAATTCTAATTAATTTGTAAAAATTAAATATTTATGTTTAATTTTTTGTTTAAAATTAAGTGAAAGGAGTTGAAGTGACTGATTGTGAGGCGGAGAGAGGAGGAAAAGCCGCCACGAGTTACCGCTTTTCTCTTCTCTCTTTTGCTCTCGCCAGCTGCAAAGAGATTTCAACTCATTCCAAGCATCCCTTTATTGAAAATTTTCAACCGATTCTGAGAATAAATGGCTTCAAAGATCAGGAAGTGTTATAAAAAATGACGCTGCATCGGCCTCAGGGTATAAATTCCTTTTTTCCACCCCTCGCCGACCGATCAGTTTTTATCAGATGGGAAAAAATAATCCCTCGAAAAGCAGCCCTGAACAAACAGGCAAGGGGAAGAAGTTAGGCAGTTTGTGGATTTATTTATTACACTGAATCAATCGCATCGCGGGCTCATTGTAGTCGTCAGTCGGCGGAGACTAAATACGGCTCTCTTACAGTTATAACGGCACTTGCTATCCCCACCTAGTGCGATCACCGACATTTTTCTTCCGTGGTATTGCGCGCACCCTTTTTGACCTCTTGCGATTCCGAATTTCCTTTCTGAAAGAGCAGGAATGCGAGAGGGATGCGTCGGGGGGAGGAAGCAGGGATGATTTATTTTTTTTCTCACAAAAAAGATGCGTCTTTTTGTGACAAGGGGCATCGCTTTTGTGAGGCAGGTCGCTGCTTTTTCCGAGAACCGCTGCTAATGCCTCACTTTGCTTTTCTGGTCGCAGGCAATTTGTCAGAAAATAACCTGCATGGGTTTACTTTTATTGAGGCGTGTTATTGTTGTCGGAGTAAAGGTGCAGGGAAATCATGAAGCAGCTCGTAACTGGGTTAGCAATACACGTACCACCGATTATTACACCGAGAGCAGCGTCGAGTTTCACGGCTGCATCTTCAAATATTCGCCGCGGGCCGTATTTTCGTTGTTTGTGTGATTATTGTAATACGAGAATAAATGGGACAACGACCGGTTCAGGGCTCATCGCGTTGCTTTTCATCAGATCGATTTCAATAATGACCGTAACATAAATCCTTGATCTCGACCTTTGCGATTGAGAATTAAATAGATGTTTAAATTTATTTGAATAAGACTTGGATTAAAATAACTAATTTTTTAAGTTATAGAAGTGCAAAAGATAAAAGGGATGAAAGCATTCCAGCTTGCAAGGGAAAAAAATTCACCTTTAAAATCAACAAATATCATGTAATTTTTTTATAAATCTATTTTGTCGTGAAAGATAAAAAAAAATACTAAATTAAAAAAAAAATTATTCGAAACTTAATATTTAATATTTTTTGCTAAATTAAATTCTGACTCCTTTGTTTTTTTATTATGAACATTAATAATGTATTATTTAAATTTCTAAGATAAATTTAGCGTGGATTGAGCGGATTGAGCGAGAAAACCAAAGCTCAGAAAACGAATTTATAATATCAAATTTCATCCTTGATTGTAAATCTCAGCTTTCTCACAGCAGATTAAATTAAATAGGTTTTAAAAAAATTAATCATTCCATTTAAAGCTTACAAAATCTAGGTTTCCAGTTCATCGTCCTTTCTTTTTATTTTTTTTGCACGGTTTTTACACGTCAATCAATAATATTTTCGCCAGTTTCAATATATTTCTTATGATATAATACAGAAAATTATTTTAATTTCTGAACAAAATTAGAAAATAAAAATAAGTTCCAGGTGAGAGCGAAAGCTTTTTATCCTCGATAACAAAACAGTCAGTGGCATTTTTTTTTATTGACGCAATGCAGGATCTGTCTGTGTGCTTTAGATGCAAATAATCGCGGTAATCGTTTTCCAGGGAACCCCCCGCATGCCTCACTTTCATATCCTGCTGGGAGAAAGTGTTGGTATGCTTGTGAAATATGAATCACCCTGTTCGGAAAGCACCGCCCACGCCCATTGATGGGCCTCTCGGCGGCCCAAAGGTGGCACCTTCGCGGCACCCACTTGGCCAAAAGGTTACGCGCGAGAACGAAATCAAATAACGGCGACCAGAAATGCTTCGGTGCCGAAAACTAACTGCGTGCGCCTCCGTGATTATTTCGCACACAAAAGTTCTCCCATTCTTGAGAGCAGGAGCAGCAATTTTGTTTATTGCGACACGCGCGCGGGTCTCACAGTGACACAGTTCACAATACGTGATTAATTAAATTGCTGGTTTCGGCTTTTTTTTCTTGACGATGAGACTCGCTCAGTCAGAAACGTGATTTTTCCGTTTCCTTTTTTACGTTGCCAATACCGTTCGTTTTCTTTCTTTAACAACGATGCCTGCAAATGGATTATTAAAAGTTATTTTTAAAATTATATTAAAAAAAGAGAATAATAATATATTTTAAGAAATACAAGATTGTCATAATTATCTTAAGGATAAATCAGGGTGATGTTTTGTTTATATTAAACACAGAAATGTAAACATTAACTTACTAAAAAAAGGGGAAATAAATATTTGATTAAAATAATTTTACTCTACTTCAATATAAATATAAATTAATATAATTATATTTATATATTATTATACATATATGCATAAATATATTTTTTAATTTGGACATTAAAATATTGAAAACTCCTTCCCATAAAAACAAGTCGGCAGCGCATCAAAGGCAATTTTTTATTCATTAATTAATGTAATATTTTATCGTTTCCTATAATGTGAGTTTTCTGTATCCATTCAAGCCCATTATTATTACTTTTCCTCTTTCAAATCATTCGAATTATTGCTTTATTACACTGTACGTGTATGTCAGACCTCAATTGCTGCTGCTGCCGCGTTCAAAGCAAAATTCAGGTCGCAGCACTTAACAATTAGTAGCTCAATAAAATGAGTTGTTTGCACGAGACATTCTTATTTACTCACTCACTTTTCAATGTAAACCATCTCATCTTCCGGTGTTTGGAAATTTAACACTTCGTTTATTATAAACAAAATAAAAGCAGTTAAAAATGTTTTTGATTTAGAAAATACGCGTCAATGGCAGAATAGGTTATTTCTATTATCATTCCTTTATTATTAAAAATGTGTTTGCTTTCTATATGCATATTTTTTTATAATAATCTGGGCAACAATAATATTTTATACTTCTTAAAGAAGTATTCTCAGTGTGCAATTTTTATTTTTTCACAACTTTCAAAATATCAGTGATTTTAACGCCTGCAATTGCTTATTTTTGTTCACAGAGAGCTGGAAACTGGAATCATCCGCAAAACTATCCCAAGACCCCCCATTTGTGCTGCCCTCCCCGAGCTCCTCTTTCTCAGCGCCCTCAGAGGCTCCCAGCTTTTCCTCCACGTCCCAAGCAGCGGCCTCCAGCTTACCCTCGGACGAAGAGGTCAGACCACCGGTCATCAATGAGCTGCCGACGCGGCACTCTGACGAGGCCCTGGTGAGGGCCACGCGCACCCTTCCCGCGGAAGAATCCGTCGTTCCGAAGCAGACGGCGGCGGGCGAAATGCCATATCAGGCGACGGCCGTGCGGGCGGCGCGGTCGATCGAGGCGGCGGCGACCTCGAAGCAGTTGGTCGAGCCGTCGGGGGAAGGACGGAGGGCTCCACGGGTTGGTGTGACCGCAGTGGGGCCCCTGAACAACAATGCGGGGCGCCGTAGCGAGCCCCAGATCACTGACATCCTGGGCGGCATCGTCAAACTATTCGGGGGCGGCGGCCCGGCCCCGCTGCCCGCCGTCGTCGCCACCATGCCCATGTCCAGACCCATCAGGCCCCAGGGCACGCGAATCAACAACCGCGGCCCTCCCAGGATCACGGACGTCGTCCTGCTCAACGCCAGCACGCCCGACCCTCCGCCCTTCCCTTTTGAGAAGCCCATATCCGGCATGGGGCCTCCGCCGCCCCCTCGCAGGCCCGTCCAGCCCGGCCGAAGGCCCATCTTCCCCGACGGGCCCATCGACCTGCCGGAAAGGCCGGTGGAAAAGGAGCAGGAAACTTCAACAACCACCGAAGCCACGACCACCACCACTGCTTCTTCCACCACCGAGGCCACCACCAGACGCCCGACTACGCACAAGCCAAAACCCACCACGGAAGTTTCCAAATCAACCCCGAAGGCGGCCACTGAAGCTCCCCCTCCGGCTTCTCTGCCAACCGAAGCGCCCATTCTCGAGTCGTCCATCGTGGATGTGGTCAACGCGGCGCCACCGACTGCTTCGACGCCACTGCCGGTGCCAATCAGGTATGATTAATTTAATTTTTAATTTTCTATGTCATAAAATAGATATTTTAGCTGCCCTGAAATGGGTTGGGGTTTCAGTCAGTGGAAAGCTGTGGTTGTTATTTAATAATTGGCCAATTATACTTTATTTTTCAAAATAATTATTATCATTGATAAAAACAAAAGTTTAAGCTATATAAATAACATCTCAGAATGATTTGTTTTTCTTATGAAAACTTAAATTGATTTATTTCAAGAAGAAGAAAAACGAGATGAGGTTTTTTCTTGTTTTTTTTTTTTTTAACTCTTTCATATTTTTTTTTCTTCATGAGAAAATCCTTTTTTGATTGAAAATTAATCAATAAATTCAAAATTTCTTGCACATCTAGGTTTGCCCCACGTCCAGGTTTGGTTCTGGATGACCCTGAGTTCAAACCGGGTGCCGCTGGACAGCCTCCGCCAATCATCACAGCTCCCGTCCGTCGACCCCCCGGTCACGGGGAGGTCTTTGACGTGACGGTTTCTGCCATCCAGGGTCCAGGCCAGGTGCAAGGAGGGCCGCAGATCGTGACGCGGCCGCAGTTCAACTCGGACGACGAGGTGTCCATCGACGGCCGAAAAACGTACATCAACCTGCTACCAACAGAGACCTCTGACGAGGTCGTCCCCACCTCCAGCCCGGCGACCACCCCTGCTCAGCGACCTTCCGATCCGGTGACCGGGCAGGGCGTGGCCGTGCCCAGCGGAGGCCCTCCGAGCTCGCCACCGAGACGACCGGCGCCGCCTAAGAGGCCGCCAGTCAGAATCGACACTTGCATCGTCGGCGACTCGAACACCTGCGACGCCGCGCAGAACGAGGCGTGCAGAACCGAGGCAGGGGTCAGTTCGTGTCACTGCAAACCGGGACACAGCAGACGCAAACATCGCGAGCCGTGTAGACGTGAGTATAAATTTCAACACAAATAATACCATTAATAAATTAATAAATAATTCATGATTAAATACAAATTTTAATTTATTCATTTAGACGTGTTCTTGATAGTCATTTTTTTGTTCAAAATTAATGAAGTTGTTAACAAGATTGTTTGATCTCTAATTTAAATGGAATAAATATCTACGTTTTACAGTTAGAATCCTTAATATTCCTAATTTCATGGTTGAGTTTGTGCAATAATTTTTTCTTTTTAATCTTGCAGGGATCGTTTCCCTGGCGTTGAACCTGAGGATTGATCGCGTGTATGAAAAACGCATGGCCTGGAACAAGGCACTGGCCGACGTCGACTCTGATGAATTCCAGACTCTCTCGTGGGAAGCTGTTCGAGCGGTAAGAAGCGCCATAAAATAGTGTAAAACATAGAAAAATACTAGAAATTCTTATTATTAATTAATACCATGTTTAAATATTTTTTGTGCTTCTATATATTTTTTTTATGAAAAATATTACAAAACTTTAAATAAATTTTATGCATGGATTTATTTTGCAATAGCATTTATTTATTTATTTATCAATCATAATATAATTTAAACTTTCATTCCAGGTTGATTCAGCCATGGGGATGACACCGTTTTCAGACGACTTCATGGGCGCCAAGGTGAACGCCTTCAGTGCTGGACCCCCACTCGTAGCCAACATGACCCTTCAACTTGCTGAAACCGCCGAGACCATCCGTCCCGCTGTTCGCAATGACATCCAACGCCACCTGCTCGGCGCCATCACCCGTCGCAACAACAACGTCGGCGACAGCGCCGTCTGGGTGGACAAAGTGGCCGGCGCTGTGTCCGGACTGACCGACTTGGACGAGTGCATCAATCCAGAGCTTAACGACTGCCACGCCAAAGCAACATGCACCAACATTTTCGGCACCTTCAGATGCGCCTGTCCTGCAGGGCTGCGCGACCCCTGGGCTGGAAATGTGCAACGAAGCGGCCGGCAATGTGAGGCTTGCACGGCAGACTTTTGCAACAACAGGGGCCAGTGCAGCTTTGGGGCAGGCGGAGAACGGCTCTGTTCTTGCAATGGAAACTTCTTCGGAAGCCAATGCGAAATGGATGGAGAGGTAAATTAATTGGAGAACTAAAAAAAATGTTTTTATTAAAAATTTGCAATTTAATTATTTGTTTTAGGTATTGGGCGTTGCAATTGGTGCCGCGGTTGCTGCCGTCCTCATTATCGGACTGACTCTCTATGGCCTATGCATGTGGAGCCGAAAGTGGAACCGCGAACAGCAGAAGGTTGAAATGCTCTCCACGCGCACAGGCATCACCTCGCCAGTGTTCAGCTACATGGCGGCCGCTGCGGCCGCCTCGTCAGCGGCCTCTGTCAAGAGTGGCATGCCCCCGACCACCCCTGCTGCGTACGTGTCTGTAGAGGACAGGCTTCGGTGGGCGCACATAGCAGACGTAATCGCACAAAACCATTATGCGGTAAGTTCATTTTTATTCTGGAATTGCTTGAAATTTAATTGAAGTCAAAACATCATCAGCCGGAGCCCAATATGTGCTCCACCAGACCTTCATCAGCAGTATTCTACCCCAGTCTTCCTGTTCTCTATCAGCAAGCTAGACCGCCTCCTCCTCCGACCAATGGGCCGCCAGACAGTAGTGACGAGGAGGACAATCAAGGCCTGTTGGGCCGAAACTTCCACGTACCCAGACCGAGAAGTCGAGCGGCCTCTATTGCTGTAAGTGCCTCACATTATCAAGGTTTTAGTAGGTAAATAAAACATTTATTTAATTCCAGAATCAGAGTGCAATTTACTATGACCTCGACTATGATACGAGGCCAGCGCCTGTGCCAGCTCCTAGGTCAACTCTGCCGAGGCCGCCCGCAATCCCGATGGCAACGTACGGCCAATTTTATAGAGGCTGATGGCGACTAATTGATTGATAGATTGCTCACCCTTTGGACTGGAATTAAATAATTTCACCTCTATGATATTTATGATGCTAAGCTACAAGCATGAATGTCCGACTGATAACAAACGTGTTAGTGAAAGTGCCTGCATGACTGGAGTGTATATTTTTAATTTATACAGAATAAATAGTTCATGAAACTGTCAATACAATTAATGACTTAGTTTAATTGAATATGTTATATTACATCAAGTTATTGGGCATCAAAAATCTGTGGAAGTCAAACATTGAGAGACAGATAAATTTTTCATTTAAATTGTTATTTTTATTAAAATAAAGTCAATAGGTCAATACAAATGCATTCATAATATCCTATGATAATAAACAGAGGTAATTCAATATGACAATATTTGTTTCCATGGATTTGTAAAATCAAATAATATAGTACATAAATAAAAGCAGTCTTGACTAAGAAGGGAAAATTGTTCATGAATTATAGTCAGACGCAAGTTTCTTGTTTGCTGGTGTCTGACTCGTTTCCCAGTTCTTCAGTTTTTCGTCGCCGTTTCCTTCTTGTTCTGTGTCGGCGGCGTTTCTCCTGTTCCAAGTTATCCGCACTATGCGCTCTTGATAAGTACCTGCTCTTCTGATGTCGAGCTTCAGATATGCTGCTCATTGGTGAATGAGCTCCTAATAAATTATTTTTTATTACAATAAGAACGCAGATAAAGTAATATTAGCTTACTTGGAGGCTCAAAAAAGTTTTTATGAACCGACAGCTCCACATTCATCATGTTCGGATGGAGATTGATTCTGTTATTCAGCTTCGGTGGGTGAATATTTGTGTTGTTAACTTTGGAGCCGCCACTAAACAGACTCTCAGCGTCTGAATTTTGACGCAATCGCTGCCTTCTAAAGAATTTTCTGGCCACTCCAAGCTGTCTTGGATCGTAAAAGGTGTCCTCAGACACAACGGTGGTTGCAGGCGGTGGGAGAACTACAGAGCGCAAGCTTGCAATCTTTCGAAGCAGTTCAGCTTCATCTTCTGTAATTTATTATTACTATTTTTTAGACAACATTTTTGTTAAATATTAATTTAATTACCAGGCTCTTCTTCAGTTTGAACTTCATTTTTCTCAATAATCGTCATAGTGGTTTGATCTGTCATTGTCATTGTTATTTGCTCAGTCACCATTTCCATGTCAGCAACTGTTTGACCATGGCAATGTTCTGAATCAAAAAGATTATGAGGTATTTTTAATAAATAAATAATTATAAGAAAGACAAACCTGAAGTAGGCACTATCCACTGCCTAGGGTCAGCAAAAGCTTTCCACTCAGCCGCAACATCTCCTCGGCCAGCACAAAAATATAGTAGAACCGTGGTGCCCAGGGCTGTGCAAACAGCCACATGGACGCAAGAGAGAATAGTCGAAAATGGGGAAATGACCACTATGGAAGCAGCGGCAGTTCCCCAAGCTGCTAAAAATAGTAATAAAATGGCCAAGTGGGCCAAAAGCTGCGACCTGTAACGATTTTAATTTAGACTTGGTTTGTGAAATATTTAAGACGGCAAACCTTGGAGTGCGTTCTTGGTCAAGGGACGCAGAAGAGGCAGAAGGAGGTGGGTCGTTGGCCCTTCGCTGAACTGCAAAATGGGCCATAATCCAGGTCAGGCCAAAGACCATTAGCACGATTAGGCCGGGCACCAAGGCAGCCGTTACGGCAGATGAGGGCGGTAGGAAGCAATAATACGGGGTTGTGTATCGATGGACAGCACCAGAAATTCCACATATGATGAGGCCCACGCCCCACCCTACCAGGTACAACCCTAGGAGAGGTTTGGGTCCAGAGGGAATGGTATCTTCTTCTTCGTCTTCGTCAATAATTTTCTCATGGGCAGTGAGTCTGCTATGAAGATCACTGGAGGGAAAATTAAAAATTAATTAAACCATGTCCTATCATGACAAATCGCCAAACTGACCTGATAGTTACAGTCATCCAGAGGAGGCAACTCATGGTTAGATAATGTAGCAAAAGTCCTACCGAGTGACAGACGATAGCGTCTCCGGTCAAGTGGACGCCGCAGCTGAAAACCACAGAAAGCAAAACGATGGCCAACCACGTGTTGGCCAGCGAGTGCCTGGTGGAGGCTGGCATTGATAGGGGTGACGCAACGTAGGTGACAACGGCCACGAGAAGGCAAGTGCCTAGCACAAGACAGGCAGCATAAGCTGCTGCTGGGGATAGGCGGGAGGGAAGGGGAGGTGGCAACGTTGGAAGGGCAGGAATGGCTTCGTGACGGAGGCCAAAGTATCCTAATGAGTTGCAGTGGAAAAGCACCAAAGGGCCAAGCAGGCGGCCAACAGCACAGCCAACCTCATTCCACCGGCCGTTCACCCAGGCTACAGGCATGGACTCGAGTGGAGCTTTGGCTGTGACCCACACTGGAGTTGAATCAAGAGGCTCCGTCAAAGATTCTCCAACTAGAATTTGAAAAAAAAATTATTATAATACAAATTGCTATTGTTAATCAGAGGCGGATTTTCAAAATGTGTTTAGGAATTTCACCACATCAGCTGAGTGTTTAGAAATTTCACCACATCAGCCGAGTGTTTAGGAATTTCCCCACATCAGCCGAGTGTTTAGAAATTTCACCACATCAGCCGAGTGTTTAGGAATTTCACCACATCAGCCGAGTGTTTAGAAATTTAGGCACTAAATCTGCCACTGTTGTTAATTTTTTTTTATAAAAAATAAGGATAAATTAAGGAAAATTTATTAAAAAGAGTCAGACACTTACTTAATTTACATCCGATTACTGGAGAATTTATAGTACTGTTGTCTGGGAATAGGCTGGCACTTTCCATAACAACCACCATCAGCGTTGCTGACAGCCGATTGCTTTTTGGCATGTGGAGAAAGAGTGATGCTGGCACCTCAATGGCAGCAATAACCTCCTGTGATGATTAAAAATTATGAATAAAGCAATGCAATGAACATTTTAATTCACACCTTTTCCATAGTGTGGTGCTCTGAACCACAGTCAAGATGCCTCTTCCCTCCTTTTTCTTCATACCAGGCACACCACAGTCCTTTAAAAGTGTCTCTGTTCACTCGGAAAGACTGAACGGCTATCGCATCTAATGATACGGCACTTAGTTCGGCAACAGCTTCCGACGCCTCTACCATTTTTGTACAAGATTTATCCTACGGTTAAAAACATTTTTAGCTTGGAATTTATCTGAATAAATAAAAAACTACCTCAATTTCTGCCTCCTGCAGAAGGTCATTGGGCAGCTTGACTGCTCCAGCCACAGTGCTCAAAACTAAGGGGGCGGTCGTTGGGTCCAGAGCACTGAGGTGGTTCGTTAAAGTCCTCGCCAGGTAGACGATGTCTCTTGATGAGCTCAGAGCCCCGACATCTCCTGTGAACCTGAGCAGCCTGGAAAGGGCGTCGGCTGCTTCTTTGGGTCTCGAAGGACTCAACTGGGCAAACTGCTGAAGCGCCCTGGTGATGTTGCTCAAGTAAGGACAGGGTCCAGAGTCCCAGGGGCCCCAGCGTCCTCCGTCGAGGCAGGCTCGAGCTGCTCGGGCACCCAAAAGGGCCGGACAGGGCACCACGGCAACTTCTCCAGAAAGAGTGGCCGGCCAGCTGTACCGACCTCTTGGGTCCTCAGACACGGTTGCGTTGCACACCGTTGACTCAGGGGTGAGGACGGTGAGCCGAAGCGCCTGGCTTAGGTTGCCCCAGAAGCAGCGCCATGGCCCTGAGTGGATGGGCCGCAGCTCGGAGATGGAAAGGGAGCTGACGGTCATTGCTTGGTGTGGCAAAAAGTGGGTGGTGGGGCGGATGTCGGTCAGCTGCTGTCCGCGCCATGTCCAGGACACCTGTGCCTCTTTAGAGGGCCCGACCAGCAGGCAAGAGAGGCGCAACGAGTCTCCCTGGAAGACAAGCTGGTCTGTGTCTGGCAGTATCTCTAGGCTCACCTGAGGGAAGTGAAAGTTTGTTTCAAAATGTCATTAAATCACTATTTTTTTTTCTTAAATTAAATTTTAAAAGCCAAACGGCAACCAGAAAATGATTGTATTAAATTGTCATTAAATAATATTAAATCGTCTTAAAAATAAGTTTTGATTTTACCTGGGAAGGTGGTCGACAAACAAGTCCTGAAAGCCCGGCTAACTCATGGCCTTTCAGGTGAGGTGGAGAAAGACACGCCGACCCTGAAGCAACACTCACAGACTCATTGCCCAGCCAGTCCACAAGCCAAGCCAAGTGACAGTCGCATATCAGTGGATTAGAACTTAAATCCCTGAATAAAAAAAAAAAAAATATTTAAATCTCAGGAACAATTAATGCAATATTTTTTCCTTACAGTGACTTCAATGCTATGAGGTCGTCAAATGTGCCCTCTGCAATGCTCGTCAATTCATTGCGGCTAATTTTTCTGAAATAATTTAATTTCGATTTCAATGTAAAGAGACATTTGAATAATAAAAATCCTTACAAAGAGTTCAAACGCTCCAGACCTAAGAACACAGGACCACTGATCCTGGATAACTTGTTGCCGGACAAGTCGAGTCTCCTTAAATTTGTTAAGTTTGAAAATGCCTCTTGCGCCAAATATCTGATCAAGTTGTCTTTCAAATCCAATTTTTGTAGCTGAGGTAAATGTGCAAACGCTGCCTTTGATATTTCAGTCAACAAATTACTTGAGAGGTCACTGAAATGTTAAAAAAAAAATGTTAAAATTAAGACATCGCAATTAATGATTCAACCTACAGATGAGTGACGTTCTTAGGAAAAAGTGACGGGTCCAGTTCACTGATCGCAGAAACCTTTCCCAATCCCGGTTCACCGCATCGAACTTTGACTGCACTTTGCTGTCTGACATTTGCAGAGCTAACAGTTTTGTTATTGGGTCGGGTGTTTAGCTGGCATCGGCAGGTGGATGGACATGGCGTTACTTCCTGGGCCCAGGCGTGGGCCACAAAGAGACCCAACAGCAGCAAAGCCCTCATCATTTTAGGTCAGGATTCTGCTGTGACAAAAGTTAATTTCAAGTTGCATGTTTTGCTTCGGTTTGAAAGAAAACTTAATAAATTGTTGAATGAAAGATTTTTACAAACCATTATTGACCTCGTCGTGCCTAATAACTGCACTAATATTTTTACTTTAAAGACTTCTACTTGCTAGAATTTTTTTAAGAAGTCGAAAGCAAGCTACATTATTTACCACACCATCTTGAAATCCCACCCTCCTTTCAGTGCCCTCGCCCTTTTTTGCGTGCCGCGCGATCGTGCTGCCACCGACGTAGGATAAAGGAAATAATTGCGTGCGAAAGAAAAAGTAAACAAAACAAATTACTTCAGGCAGTTCAGGCTGCTGTCAGCGGACGTAGAAGACCAACTTTGATTTTATTTTTCATCTACTGCCTTCAAGATTTTATGATTGAACGATAAAGAAATCAAATTTATAATCTCAGTTGCAAAAGGAAATCGATCATTTATGCTGATTTCCAAAGGAAAATCCTTAAAAATGAAGAAATTAGAGGTGAGTTTTTATCAGCTTAATATTAATGGAATTTTGCAAATTTAAAATATTATTCACAGATTCAATAAATATTTGTTTTTAATTAAATTTTTTTAAATAATTATTTAGTTCTTCTTGTGTTCGTTATTTAAATTTATTTTTATAGCAATTAAAAAAAAAAACTGAAATCTTATTCTCTTTTTGTAGGCATTTTGACACTTTTTGTGTCCTGGTCATAATACGCTATGAAGAAGAAAAAAGATGAGGCGGTCAATGCAGTTCCTGAAGATCAAGGAGTTGCCCGTACAAATAAACAAACGAGTAAAAAGAAAACTAAAGAGGAGGCACCGTGAGTGTTTGTTTATTTTTTTTCTTAAAATGGGTTGAATTAAGAACCAATGTTTTATTTCCAGGCGATATCGAAATTGGGAAAAAGATCGCCGTGACCGCTTAAATGTTGCTTTCAATGATTTAGCAATAATCATATGCGAGTCGATGCCCCCAGTGAAAAAAATTGAAATTGTAACCAAGGCAAGCGAGTGCATTCGACAACTACGAGATGAAATCGAGCAAATAAAAAAGGTTAGCGGGCTCGATCAATCTTTACTAGGTAATTTATAAACTTTAAAATTTTACTTGAACTAACTTTTGGATAACAGATCGAGAAACTGATAAACTGAAGGCCCAGATGGAGGAGCTGAATAAAAGAATCGAGCGTCTAGTCATGTACCTGGAAGAATTGGGAGGTGAAAGGCCGGTGTGGGTTTCGCTGCCCCCAACTACTCCTGCACCACCTGATCTTGGAAAGCGTCCTTTGCAGTATTCGAATAAATTGAATCCAGCAAAAGTCAAAGAGCTGTTGAATGTACCAAAGAAAAGTAAAGAAACAAAACTGATTTTGTAAATTGTAATCTTAACTTTTTTAATTTGATTTTAGAGGTTACAAAAAGGTTGCAGAATGCTAAGAAGAGGGCGCTGAGTAAAAAATCAGCCATGGTGCGGAAGAAGAGATTGGTGCCTAAGGTGACGAGTATGAGTCAATTGCCTGCAGGAATACTTCTTTTCAAGAGCTGTCTGCCGGAGAACACGCCAAAAGTTGTCATCGTGCCTCCACCTCCGCCATCACAAACCCTAGCTCCACCGGTTATTCTTTTGCAACCTCCACAAAAGACCCAATTGATCCTGTCAAAGCCTCCAACTGACAAGGTCATCATTGCACCAAACGTTGTCCAGAAAAAGGTTGTTGCAAAGAAGACAAAGAAAGCTCTGACCCCGAAAAACGTCAAGACCATTAGGCACAGCATTGATGCCCTTTGCAAAAAGCAGCAGTCAAACGAAGTACCTTCGAAAGAAGCTGCACAACCTGTGATACTTTCTCAGCCTGAAAACAATGCAGCGGCAAAAACACCACAGGCAGAAACTCAGCAGCCAAGCAATCCTCCCAACAAGGAGAATGAATTTGTGATCAGGCCTGAATCGGCCAAGAATCTGAGCGAGCCCAGTCCCCAGAGCCAAAGCGAATCGACCCTTCCTCAAAGCAAACAATTGGCACCACCTGCTGAGAGTCAAAGTGTCCAGCCCCCTCCAGCAACGTCTTTGCCGCAACAGATTCCCTGTCCCGATTTGCAAAAGTCGGCGCCTGCGATTCCGATAATCCCCACCTCGGAATATCAGCAGTCGGCAACAACCTCAACCCAGAACAAGCCGAGCCACAATGACCCTGTCACAAGTGCAAGGAGCTTCGTCAACACTCAAACCACCTTCACCCACCTCAATCAGACGCAAACACACTTCCATTCTCCGCTGCAACCCCTAAACCAGGTCAACCAACCTAAAGAACAGGAGCAGGTGTTCAGAAAGAGCATTCCGTTCACCCACGAGGCTCCTCTGCCTCCGACGACAATGAATTCTTCACAGTCTGAGACATTTACCCATCTGCGCACCAACATCCTTCCCACCTTCTCGACCTTTGGGGAAATCTCAGGTCCCCACTGCAACCAGACATTTACCACTATTGCGACTCCCTCTTCTGATGCTTTGCACAAGATGACGTTCACTAACGAAATTTTTTCGCACCAAGTTCCAAAATCAATGCCCTTCAGTCAGAGCCAGAATTTTGCGCCCAAGTCGACACTGACCAGCACCACTTTCTCCCATGAAAAGTCCATAACTCAGACGCAACAGGTGATGGGAAAAACGCCTCAGTTTCATCAGCAGCAACAAGAGCAGCGGCCGTTTTTCCTTGACCCGACAAGAACTCCCGAGTTTCCCTCGGCGGATCCCATTTTCATTGGCCCGCAGCCTCCGATGGCCACCATCGTGGAGCAGCCGAAGGACACAACCTCTTTGTATCCGTACAGGGGAGACGAGCTCTCTGACAGTGGGCAGCGAAATGAGACTCTCAACACAAGCACCTTTTCAAGCGACATATTTGCCTCCCTTCATGTTCCGTCAGGCCATCCCGAGTCGATTTCGCCGACTGCAGCCTTCCTTCACACGTTCCCGCTTGTCTCATCAGGGCGAAACGAAAACGCCGAAAGAGGAGACGGTACAGCCAGCACTTTGCTTCAGTTAGGCTCTTTGGATGAAGGCAACCAGCAGATGGAACTTGGCACGCTAATTCCTTCCATCGAACAGGAAAAGCAGCAGCAGTCGGCTAACAAGAGATCGAACAAGAGCTTTCCAGTCGACCTTTATCAAATCGAGTCAGAGTATGACGCAGAGATTAGTTCCATTATGTCTTCAAATGCTTCCACCCCCAAGAGACAAAACAAGCCAAATCCATTCCAACAGCAAAACAAACAGCAGAATTTCAATTTCTACCAACAGCAACAACCGCAGTTTAAGAAAAGGGCCATGGCTGCACCGCAAAAACCTGTGCAGAAAGAAGCGAACCGCCCCAGAGACCAGATTTCTTACAAGTCCAACCAATGCCCTACCTACTACCAACCTGATCATCCACCTCCTTCGGTGCCACTGAACCTTCCTGTCCCTCAAACGACAACAAATTTTATGCCATGGAATAATATTGAACCTCAGCAATCTCAGAGGTAACGATGCTCTATTTTACCTTTTTTTATTTTTTCATTCCTTAATTTGCTTGTGTTTTTCAGCCGAGGGTTGCAACAAAACTTCAGCTGCAACAATAGACAGTCTCAGCAAGCAGCCCCACAACAGCAGCAGCAGCAAAAGGAGGTTCAACGACCTCCTGTCAACTGGATGACCAATGACGTCCGACATGATGACAGCGCAGCAAACATTTTTGACTTTGATTGGAACAAGCAAGCGCCCCTTCCCACTTTGATTGGAGATCTCGCTCTGGGTCCAACTCCACCAACGCCCAGGAAAAAGGACAGCGCCTGCAAGTACAGCGGTCAAAACTTCCTCTCCGTCAGCCAACTCGTCGAAGTGCCAAAAGAAAAGGCCAAACGGCGCCTTGTCAACAAAGTCAGTTTTTTATTTAATATTATTAGTCATTGATTTTATTTGGCAATATATTTAGCAGAACGGGAATTCAGCACCTGCTCGGAGAGTTGAGAGAAACCCTAAGCAAACAGGCGTCAACCAGCAGCAGCAGCAGCAGCACCAAGTCTGTCCAGACTATCACAGCATCACCAACTGGCCTGCGCCAAAGCCGTCTTGCAAAACTGTGCCAAGCAGCTATTCAGCTGAATCTCTTATTGGACCTCAAGACAATGCTGAAAAAACAGACAAGTAAATTTTTGCACAACTCTTTTTGTTACTTCCTAACTTGCAATTTAATAAACAGCAGGTACAGCCAGCGCATGTCACGAAATTATCCACCCCCTGAGCAGAACAACTTCTTCCCTGCTGAACAGCAGTTTGATTACCATCAGCCTCAGTACGACTGCAGTTCGATGTATCAACCAAACACCTCATTTGCCAGCATAGGTAATAATTGATTTACAAACTAAGAGTTTTAGCACGATTATTTTTTATTTTTCAGTCACATCATCAAGTTCTGCAAACTCGATTGTACCAACGTTTGGCCAAGAACTGAATCTGTTTTCCTCGTCGCCGCAAAAGAGCTCGGCTGTCAATAACAAGAGAAGAAACGACAATTTTTATGTCGCAGAGTGCAACAGAAGGTCCACACAGCAATATGTTCAGCAAAGTAGACCAAGTCAGCAACTGAATGTGGCCCCAAGTGCCGCTTCAAGCTCCTCCTTGACAAACTTCAACTTAAGCACCATATTCCCAGAAATCAACAAGGTTTGTTGAAGCCATTAAAAAATTTTGATAATTAAGTTATAAAAGTAAAGATATGAGTGCCTCCTGCAAGCTCATTAAAGGGCTTGGGGCAATAAAATTTGGCCTGGCCCTATCCTAAAGTAGCTAATAAAAAACATAAAAATTGTTAAATATTTGTTTGCAGCCTGCCATTGCACCGCCTTTGACACCCTTCATAGGGGCCAAATCTCAGAATTCAGACTATGTTATCCCGCCGCCCCCAGTTTCTTTCAACAATTTACTGATGACGCAAACACCACCTCAGGTATTTAATTATATTCTCGGTTGTTTCATTCTTTTAACTATGTGTATGCTTTTTAAGGTGACTTTTCCAGCACCAAACTTCACAATGGGTGCGGGCATTCAATTCCCAGTGCAACACGAGAACTGAATAATTTAAAATATGTGATATTTATGTAATTTAAAGAATAGAACTTCAAAATTTCATTCTTCTTTAATCCGTTGTCATCTTTTTGTACATGTATAATAAAATTATTATGGAACTACAAAATGACTAAGGCATTTGACTGAGAAATGAGTTTTTTCACAAATTGGTTGTAAACAAGTCTGAATTCAGTAAGTACATCATCTTTAAATAAAATAAAAGAAAAATAAACTTTGCTTCCGTATCACTTGGAAATGATGATGAAAGTTCCATATTAGAGTCAAACATTCACAGACTAGATGCATGGCATTCCGACACAATGTGATGCAATGATCTACAGCTACGAGATAGTTTCCGAGCGAGCTGTGGTGGCTCGGTTCGTTTGATGCACATGACCCGTAATGCCGTACGGTCGCAAGTGGTAAATCAAGTACTCCAATACGTACATCAGATTTGGGCTGACGTAATGAAAGGAAACAGCAGAATCAGAACAACATCCCATTCCCTGCAAAATTTTGTTGGAAAAATTTCCTTTTCTCGTAATGAATTCAGATACCTCCTCACTGGGGTAGTAAATATATTTCCAGTACCAAAAGTCTTTATTTGTATGGCCAGGTATGAGGTGGTGCTCGGGAACAAACGGGAAAAACCGTCCTCGCCCCAATGAGTCTCGAGTGTCCTTTGCTTGCACACCCACCCTTTCTAAACATTTCCCTGAAAATAGGAATTATTTTCAGTAAGATATAAGCACAGATAAATATGGAAATTACCCATTTCCACATCCTCGGCGCCATCGTGATCTTGTCTGCACTTAGCTTTATTTGGAATGCCTTCAACGACAAATTTCTTGAGCGCCTCTTTGCTTAAAACATACCCTGTTAAAAAAAAAAAAAAATGATTAGATTATACCAGTGTTATTATGTTCATAACATTTTTGCACAAACCTGCCCCACCACTCATGTAGCCTTGCTTCACATATGGCTTGAAGCGACAGCCGAAGTACAATGGCTCTGCTGCGTTGTAAGAAGACAGCATGTAACGTAAATTTTCCACTACAACGTACCTGAAAAAAAGAATTTAAATCATTCAGTGCTAAATCATAGTCAAATGATAAATTTAAAATAAAAATTTACTTTTTTTGAAGAATTTTGTTAATTGAAACTGAAAGATTTTTTTAATTGGGTATTTATTGTTACTTTGTAGCAAAATAAATAAATAAATAAAACTTACGTATCATCGTCTGCCTTCATAAACCAGTCAGCTTTATCATAATAATTTTCATAAACATATCGAAAAGCTTCCTTCGTTTTGGCCCACAAATTATTTCGCCCCTCGGACACAGGCAAAGCTACTGCTGGCAGAGACGAATCTGCAAAAATTGGCACTTAAATTTTCCAAACAAATTTTTATCGACAACAAACCATTCTCGGAACTCATGAAGAGCAAGATGTTGCACCTCTTGCCCCATGTTGCCTTCACGTGCTTCGCCTTTTTCTTATGATTACTTGGGTTAGTCATCACCCAGCACAAGACCCTCACTTCTTTCGCAAGTTTTTTGGCTTCGTCATCTCCGCCTGCCAATTAATAAATTATAAATTTTCCTAAAAAAATAATCAAGTTTAAATCAAACCTTGGTGAAATTCCTCATCTCCATCGTGCGAGCCGACTTCCATATTGGGCCCGTCGAGCATGCTTTCCGCGTCCTGGTGGTTGTGAGGGTCGTGGCGCATCACACCATCTTCAGAGTAGCGGCCTCCGAGGAACAGCAGGTCGCCTCCCTGGGACACCGACAACATGAGGTAGGCTGACATGAAGCCAAACGCAACCCCCAGTGAGAGGGCGAAGAAGAATTTCTGGCCCCCGGTGCCTCGACGGAATCCTGGAAGAGTTTCAAACTGTACAGGCGGCATAATATGAAATTGCAATGTGCCGTTGCAATTTAGTAACACATTGTCAGCTTTCGAGGGGTTGGAGGATTAAAAATATTAATTATTAACAACGCCATTGAGTAGGGGACTAGACTCTAAACAGCGGAAGTCAGAATTATCGCGTGCGTTTTATGTTTTTATCTCTCGTCGAGGATTAAGTAACACCAACTGGCGTCGTTTTGCGTAGGCTGCGAACGTAATGTGTCAAAATTAATATCAATTTTGAACTGCTCAACTTTTTTTTCCTCGTAAGAAAAAGAGAGTATTTTCTTTACAAATTTATCTGCACCGTTTCATGTTCACACGCAAAAGAGTCATGTTTGCATATCACACGGCGTTTGTTGAACTTTACAATTTGACCGACTCCAAGCCTTGCATATTTTTCTATCAACGCGCTTATCACGTTGAAGATAAAAGGCGAGCACAAGGGGGAGCCGGAATATTGTCTGGAGAGCGAGAATTCTGACAGTGATTTCATTGTTTGCACAATATATTGAGAGCACAAAAAATTATCATCGGTGTTAAGAAGAGCAGCGAAAATGTCAAAAATTATAATGAGTGAGTCACTAGTGCTTAAAAAAATTTATATATTGTGCTTCTTTGGCAAATTGTTATTGCAAATTAAACCGATACAATGTTAAAGATTGTGAAAATTAATATTCTGGTCTGCTGTAAGAAATTATTAATTTACTACATCTATTCCTTGAACATTTTAAATTAATTTAATAATTTCTCATTTAAAAAAAAAAAAAAATTGTAGAAATTTTTAAATTTAAATAATGGAGGTTAAATATGCTTGAAAGTTTATTAAAAGTTTGTTTAAAGAATTTCATTAAATTACATTTACATTCAGTAATTTAATTGTGTTATTACATAAAATGAAATCAAAACCACTGGAAGAGCAAGAAATTTGTCTGCTTTAAGTTCTTTCAACCTGATCAATGTCCAACAATGACATTATGTCTTAATGAATTCTCATCATTTTATTTTTTTCAGTATTATTTTGCAAAAAATGTTTTTTTTTTAAATTTTAAGCATGGTTAAATCCAGAATGACTAAAATATATTTTCTGCTTTTTTATGCAATTCTTGGCAAACTTCAAAATGACAGGATTTTTCGGAGGGGGTTGCTTACAAGAGGGAAAATCAAAATTTGCTTACTCAGCCGTCAGCAACCTCAGCCGCCGCACAAAATATTGCTGCCGAGACTTCTAATTTAAATATTTTTTGAAGTAAATGTTTCCTTTGTTATAAACGTATTAAAGGTGATAAAAAGTGTAATTAAAGTGTAATTAAATTTTAAGATCTATATACAATTTTTTATCTCGGTGCATTTGTTTGCTTTCTATTTGTTGTGTGCATAGCGCGCGTGTAGATAGATATTTGATAAAAAAAACCTGCGTCTATATGTTGCTGTGGTTGCGAATGGTAGATTTGAATAATATCGCAATTAATTAGTTAATTTTTCATCGGAAAAATAATTCAATTTAAGAATCTGCAACTCCATAAATGATCAAATAGAGTGGCTAATTTTCGAAAATTGAGGCCACAATAATTAGCATATATTTACCATCTAATAGGTGCACCATGTTTGACTAGAATGCGGCAATGTCTTAGCAAGAGTGTGAAACCCGAGGCTCTATGGCATCGCTCTGGTTGTATGCGTTGGGCTGCAAAGTAACGAAAAAATAATGAGTAAAAATAAATAAATAGAGAGTGTGTAATGATATCAAAAATAAACTCACGGAAATATTGCGTTGAAAGTAATCACTCAGCAAAAAGGCAGCGACATTGCACGGTGTCTCGATGGTTAGCGCGGCGATTGCTAAAAGCGTTGTAAATGGACCTTATTAATTATAATGTTGCTTCATCCTTTGTATTAAGTCGCGTTCCGCACTTCGGCATACATCTGCAGCAAAAAGGTGCAGAAGGTCCAAGCTCGGGGTTTAAGAACGCAGGCGGGGGCGTCACCGGCTATTTAATTATTATTTGCAATTTGGTACGCCATATCTGCCATCTCTCGGAGCTATTTGAAACCAAAAAGTCGTTTCAAAAGGTAAAAAACGTCCTCTGTAGCAGAAATAAGGAACTAACAAAGCTGCGCAAAGTGTCAACTCGTCAAAGAAGAGAGACCGCAAGGTTGCAATTTTGCTCTCTGCTGAAGCTTGCCGTGGACCATTTCAGACCTAACCGAACGCAAACGACCAAAATTTCCTTAGGACCTTCGATCCTCTGCCACTCATTCCGAACGTGAGTTAATTTCTCTCATTGGATTCACTTAATTTATGTAGCATTCAAACAACGGTAAAAATTCCACTACTCGTGTCATATTTCCAGTTTCTTGCCCGAGCCGACACGTCAAAACAAATTTAGCAAAACATGTCTCTCGCCGACCCAGTCTCGTTTGCCAAGGATTTCATCGCCGGTGGTGTGTCTGCTGCCATCTCCAAGACGGCCGTGGCGCCGATCGAGCGAGTCAAGCTGTTGCTGCAGGTCCAGCATGCGTCCAAGCAGATCGCCGCCGACCAGCAGTACAAGGGCATGGTCGACTGCTTCACCCGCATCCCTAAGGAGCAGGGATTCCTCAGCTTCTGGCGCGGAAATTTGGCCAACGTCATCCGCTACTTCCCCACGCAGGCCTTGAACTTTGCCTTCAAGGACAAATACAAGCAGGTGCGTTGGTTCCAAAAAGTGAAAATATTTGGGGGGAAAAACTTTTTAGATTTTTCTTTTCTTGGAACATCAATTTTTTTTACTTATCATGAATTTATTATCAACCGCACCTTTATTAGTTTCAATCTCATTAAAAATATTTCTACTGTAAAGAGAAAAAAAAATGTTATCACTCTTTCGGTATTAATTGAAATCTAATCTCCATTATTTGCCAGGTCTTCCTTGGAGGAGTGGACAAGAAGACTCAATTCTGGCGCTACTTTGCCGGCAACCTGGCGTCAGGTGGTGCCGCTGGAGCCACGTCCCTCTGCTTCGTGTACCCCTTGGACTTCGCCCGAACACGTCTTGCCGCCGACATTGGCAAAAGTGGCGCCGAGCGCGAATTCTCCGGCCTCGGCAACTGCCTGGCCAAGATCTTCAAGTCTGATGGCCTTGCAGGTCTCTACAGGGGCTTCGGTGTCTCTGTTCAGGGCATCATCATCTACCGAGCCGCCTACTTCGGCTTCTTCGATACTGCCAAGGGAATGCTCCCAGATCCCAAAAACACGCCTTTCCTTGTCTCGTGGGCCATTGCCCAGGTCAGTGATAAGATTATAATTAGCAATCGTAGCACAATATGTGAAGCATTAAAAAAAAATCAAATATACGAAATAATTTTTGTTTTAAAATAACTTAATTTGGTTCTATTAAGTTTTAACTCATATTTTATGGTTTTTTATAAAGCTGATTTTTTTCCATTTTAATTCGAGAAGCTGCAACAAGTAGTTGAACACTTAATTCTTTTGTACATTGAGGATTGAGCGAAACAACTGTTGCACAACTTATTGCTATATATGGGGAGAAAGAAGCCCTATGTTTTCAGCCTCTTCACGTAAATTCCCCATTTTTCCCCTCTCAATGAGGCTTTAAATCACTTTAAATTTTTTATGGGGACGATTAATTTTTTTTAGTTCTCTTGCATATAATTGTACTGCCTTTTTTATAGCATTTTGAATTAAAAAAAATAATAATTGCTTTCAGACGGTGACAACTGTGGCCGGCATTGTGTCCTATCCCTTTGACACTGTGCGTCGTCGCATGATGATGCAGTCTGGCCGAGCCAAGGGTGATATTATGTACAAGAGCACCATGCATTGCTGGTCGACCATTGCCAAGAATGAAGGCACCGGCGCCTTCTTCAAGGGCGCCTTCTCCAACGTCCTTCGAGGCACTGGAGGCGCTCTTGTGCTTGTTCTCTACGACGAGATCAAGGCGCTCCTCTAAGTAGACAAGTCTGCACTTTTTTTTTGTAGGATGAAAGAAGCAATCAATTATTCGTGTTGATTAATTTAGCATGAAGTCGAAGATATGAGCGCGCACTTTGTTGTTCTCAATGCATTCCTATGAATTTTCCTGTTGCCTGTGCAGCGTTTGACACGTTGAGCATTCCCAGTAAAATTATATTGATTCCAAGTTATTGTCGAATATTTTCCATCCCATGCTGAATTGTAATACGTTTGTTGTATTACTCACAAATTGCTCATGAAAATAAATCAATCATGGCCTCAAATTACACTGGTATTAATTTATTTCCAGTTTAAAGATCTTTATAATCAAATTTTGACGTGATTCAGCCTCTTCTGTTACACACTGTTAATTAGTGTAATAAGTGATGCATTTAGAAATTTCACTTTAATGAATGTCAGAATAAATGAGTATGTAGCAGCCATCATAAATTAATAGCACTTGATGGTTATAAATCAGAAAAAAAATGCTTCATCATGAATGATTATAAAAGGAGCCGAAAATTTAAGTACCAAACTTCTTTATCTCGACTCTGCCCTATCATAAAAGTTTGATGTACCTGCCGCTCCTTATCTCTCGATCGTGGCAGTGGTAGGGCGCATATTATATATTAGATTCCATTTTCTAGATTGCTCTCTTTTTTATTAAAGTCGTTCCAAGGACAAAACCTCTGCCCAGCCAGATTTAGCAATGGCCCCTGCTAAATTCACATACTTCAACGTCACAGGACTTGGTGAGACCATTAGGTACCTGCTTTCTTATGGCGGGGTCGAGTTTGAAGATGTTCGGGTCACAGGAGAAACTTTCGCCACCATGAAAGAGAGTATGCGTTTGATAATTTTTTTTAACTATTTATATTTATATAATCATATTCTGGAAATGTGCGTGAAGAACTCCCACTTGGTCAGCTCCCTATTCTGGAGTTTGAGGGAAAAACCCTCTTCCAGTCTATTTCCATTGCGCGTTTCTTGGCCAACCGATTCAACCTCGCTGGTAAGGACGAGTGGGACAAGGGAACCTGCGATGTTGCTGTCGACACAATCATGGATTTGCGAAATGGTATTACAAAATAAAATTTAAAAATTAAAATAAATTAACTCATTTCAACAGCTCTTCACGGGTTCGCCTATGAAAAGGACGAAGCGGTCAAGAAGCAGAAGCGCGGTGACGCGATCACCAAGGCAAATTACTTGGTCGGAAAACTTGAAGGATTCCTTGCCAAAAACGGAGGTCATTTCTTGAAAGATGAACAGGTATAATTATATTTAAAATTGGTATTTTAATTTTCTGATGTCTAATGCCTATGCATATTTTTCTTGCCGATAGCTGTCTTGGGCTGATATTCACCTTGCAGCATTCGCTGGCTACTTGAACCACATGGCCGGAGAAGATTTGTTTAGTGCCGCTCCCAAAATCAAGGCGCTGAAGGCCAAAATTGATGCTCTTCCTGCTATCAGCAAGTACTTGGAAAAGAGGCCTGCTGTGTCATTTTAAATTTTGCAGATAAAAAAATAATAAACTCTTCGTAATCATACATTAAAAATGTATTAAATTTTTTATTTCAAAAAGTAACATAATTTATTTTTAAAATAAATAATAATAAACTTTCTTTCTTATCAAAACCTCTATAATAAGGCTGTTTATGTAAACTATAAACTTAATCTGACTTAATCTATGACTTTTTAAAGGTGTGGAAGGAAATTAACAAAAGGGCAATATACTCAACAAGAAAATATGAGATAACACAACACCAAAAATAATTTCGGTTTACTATATTTCCTATATTTTGTACCATGGCCGACTCGTGCGTTTAGCGCTCAAGATTAAAATTAGAAGGTGTGTCTGGTGTTGCGTCCACGTTGGAGACGCTCATTGGTTTGTTATTAATTGTGTCATGTGACTTGCGAGCAATTCGCAATATTGCAGAACGTTCTGGAAGCGAACAGCAACTTTGCAAAAAGCCGGCAATTAATTGAATCTCACGTTTATTTGTAAGTACAAAAAATATTTAAGGTTTTAAATGTTTTTTGATGTTTTAAAAATATTAAAAATTTATACAATTCGTTTAAAAACAGTAAAATGCTTCCATACATAAAATAATAAGTGATTAAATATTGAATTATTTCTCGCAGCCCAAAAATGGCCCCAACTAAACTGATTTATTTCGACGTGACCGCCCTTGGCGAGCCCATCCGCTACATCCTTCACTACAGTGGCACAGAGTTTGAGGACGAGCGCCTCACGAGTGAGCAGTTTGCTCCAAGAAAGCCAAGTATGTGAAAATTGAAAATGTTTTAATTGCATTATATTTATTTATTATCCATTATCTTGTGCAGCATTCCCCTTCGGAAAATTGCCGGTGCTGGAGATCGATGGCAAAACCCTTCACCAGTCTGTGGCTATTTGCCGATACTTGGCGAAGAAGGCTGGACTTGCTGGAAAGGACGAATCTGATGCGCTGCAATGCGACATTATTGTCGACACCATTGGAGATATGAGGACCGGTAAAAAAAATATGGCCTTATTTGGAAGTATATTTTAATTTATTACATCTCCAGCTATGGCCGGATTCCACTACGAGGCCAACGAGGAGGCCAAAGTTGCCAAAAAGGAGCTGGCTTTGAACACCACGGTTCCGTACTATTTGGAGAAGTTTGAAACTATTCTCAAGGAAAATGGTGGTTACTTCGTAAATGGACAGGTAAAATAAATAACTAAAATTAACCCCAATTTAAAAACTCTGAAATATCTCTTATAGCTGACCTGGGTCGACTTCTGGTTCGCTGGCCTGGTTGACTATCTGAACTACATGGCAGGCACTGACATTTTGGCCTCTAGCCCAGGACTCCAGGCTCTGAAGGCCAAGGTCGAGGACCTGCCTGCTATCAAAAAATACTTGGCATCCCGCCCTGCTGTTCGCTTCTAAAGCAGCATCTTGTGCGTCATGTTTTTGGCCAGCTAATTAGTCACTTGAAACCAATTATTATTTTTCTACCAAAACAATCAAATTGTATTGAATCTCAAAAAATAAAACTTACTTTTTAAAAGCCATTTTGAAAGCGTAAATGAAACAAGTTTTTTTTTTATAAAATATCGCCAGAGATGTATTTTTAGTGATGGTGGTTACATAAAATTAAAAAATAACTTTGCATTTATCTTCGTCATTTTAAAATCCTTCTAGTGATTAGTGCACTATATGACTATTAAGAGAAAAATTACGAGTAAATTTAGTACAATACAGTAGCAATCGATCACATTTGTGGTGTTGTTAATCAAAAATAAAAATGGTGAAAGCTGGTGACAATTAAGCAGAATACTGCTTGAAATAAGTAACTTCATTTAAGGAATGTCAAAAAAATGACTTGGCAAATAAAAAAATGGCCGCCGACCTTAAAGAGAAAAAAATGGCTATGAAAAAAAAATGCAATTTGAGAGCGACCTGGAGTTTTGTCTTAAAAATTAGGCACACCTATAACTACCTGCATGGCTACACAAAAAAGGAGCCTTGATACTAAGGACTTCAATCCAAAGACTTGTGAGTTGCGCACTCCCATAATACATCATGCTTGCCGTGGGGGCTGATTGATAAAAAATGAACGGGAGACAGCATATTAATACTGAAAAGATTAAAAATAAATGATTTTTGCTATTTAGTTTGTGTGCATAATAAATTGTCATTTAAATATTGCTCACCTCTTTTGGCAATAATTGCACCATCGATCGGTTAGCCTATTCATCTTCAAGGTTCTTGTGCTTCGTTTTCATGTGCACAGCTAAGGCATTGCGTTTCATGAAGTACTTGAGGCAAAGGTTGCACTTCAGAGCTGTACTGTCCGAGTGCTCCTTGTTGCGGTGGGTTTCCAGGGCAGTGTCGGAGGGAAACGTCTGCGAGCAGTCGACACAAGGAAACTTCTGGCATTTGTGAGCTGCCTTTTCCTTTAGGCTGGTGAACTGCTGCTTGCACCTGCTGCACCGATGCACCTTGTAGGTGAGCGAAGTGTGGATCTTGAGATGAGTTCGTAGAGCAGAGGACGTCACAAACTTCCGATTGCAGAACTGACACTCATCCTTGCTCGAGTGCTCGTCCATCATGTGGCTCTCAAAGTCCTCCTGGCTCCTCAAAGACACTTTGCAATACCTACAAGAATGGCGGTCTTTTACGTGATGGTCCAACTCTGACCGAGATTTGAGTTTCTGGTCACAGAAATTGCACTCAAAACCACTGGACTTTTCTGCAGGCGAATGCACCTTCGGTTCCTTTGCATGAGAACTATTTGATCTAAAAATTGAAAAATTATTTTCCTTAAGAATTTAAGAAAATAAGGTAGGGTAATTTACCCTTTCTCGTTCTTTTCATTCAGAGATGAATTGTAATGGTCCTTAGAGGGCGAAGCGTCTGGAGATGCTATGGGGTGGCAATCGTGCTGCTTGAGTTTAATCTCGGACCGAAATCTGAGTCCACATTTTATGCACTTGAAGGCCGGGTACCTTTGAAAGTGAAAGAATCATAAATATTTTAGTGAATATGGAGTTTAAAAATTATATTTTACCTTAACGAAGTGTGAGACTTGAGATGGTAAATGAGATTGGTCGTTGAGGGTAACTTTACTCCGCAAAACTGGCAGGCCGTTTCGGAGCAGTGGAGTCGCATCATGTGCACTTCAAACTCATTTCTGGTCCTCAGAGGCTTTTGGCAAAGCTTGCAGGTGTTTGCATGACAAGTGTGAGGCGACAAAGGAGATAATTCTTGTTTGCACGTCTTACAGTTTCTGGGCATGTCCCCTGATAAAAAACGACTTTAATTGTTACAACAACAAAAATATCCACTAGATTCATACTTGCTGGCTTTCGCACACTTCTAATCTCGGGCCGTTTTAAAGCTAATTGTGTGTGAGTCCGGACATGCTCCACAAGGCGCGCCCTGGATCTGAAGCTGATCATGCAGAAGCCGCACAGGGCACCAATCGTGTGGTCCTCAAGAATGTGGCTAGTGAAGGCCTCTATGCTCGGCGAAGACATCTTGCACACCCTACACACCTGCACTTCCCTAAAATGCTGATTTAGTGATCGAAGATTTTTGTACGACTTGTCGCAGTGGTGGCACTTGTATCGTTCTTGGCAGTTGCTGCTGAATGAATGCGCGTCCTCGTAGAAGTCGATTTTCTTGCCGTCCTCGCCAAAACCGTTCTCACCAAATCCGTTCACCTTCAATACTGTAAATAATCACAATATCGCATGAGTCAGAATTTACTCTGCGGTGAGTCATTCATCATTTCTGAGCGTATCATACCACCATTCTTTTCCTCCTCAAAATCTTCTTCCTCGTCGTCGCTGCCTATGTCTTTGGCGGGATCGTTGTCAGTGTCGAAATCCTCACTTTTTGCACCGTCTGCTGACATTTTTATTGATCCTGCAAACCGACATTGGACTAAAAAACGGACATTTATAGTCAATCGACGCGCAGCGGCTCGGATCGCATTCCATTTCATGCACGATTTTGCTTCTGCAAAACAAAGCTGCTGCGAACAAGCTACTCATTGCGCAATTTTACGACGCGCCATTGAATGGATAAAACTCACCAGTTTGATGCGTTGAAGAAAACTAAAAGTGATCTATGACATTAAAATCTGATCGAACACATTTTGGTCCATAATATGGGCCAAAATTTGAACACAAACATTCACTAACGAGAAAACAAAGTTTGTAGTGAAGGTCAGTCAGATGTTTGTGAAACTAAGCGCGGCAAACTTAAAAAAACCTCTCTTCCCTCATTGGCGGCCGCCTTTGCCAACACTGGATTTGTATTTATCCTCTATTTTCTCATTATTTTTAATTTTTGCAGATTATTTATTTTATTTTGGCAAATAAAAAATATTTTTAAACTGTAGAATGTTTAATATGAAGTGCATACTTTACAAAATAAAGAATACAGACGGCGCCCATTCAATTCATTGCAGGGCCTCCCATATAATTTCACTGCAATTTATCATACACCTTTATATTACATGTTGACCTATGGCGTTCACAGGCTTGACATTGTAAAGCATGCCTTTCAGTTCTTCATACATGTGCTGTCTGTCAAATGCTCCTCGTGACTTATTAATTTCAGCTTTGTTTAAAGTAATACATGGTCGTGCAACTGCATAATAATTCAAGACAATAATCATCTATTTTTTTCAAATTAATTGCACTAGAAGAAATAGTGAACCAAGGGTGTTGACGTAGGCAAGAACAAAAGACAAAGTAATGAACCTGCATTATTTTTCGTCAATCAGTAATGCACAAGACTGGAAAATGAAGATTAAGTAAAACCAGATTGCTCAGCGAAATAATTGAGACTACTGAGAGAGCCTCCATCTCAGCAGGACTCCTTGCCTATAGAAAATTAATGGCGCGTCACAGGATTCAATGAAATGAGGAAACTATACAACACCAAAGGCTGTTCTGGGCTCAACTATTGATTCAGCCGAGCAGCAAAACTCGGGGGTCTTCGACGGCCGCCTTGATTTTGCGCAGGAAGGTCACAGCCTCACGGCCATCAACAAGCCTGTGATCGTACGTGAGAGCCACATACATCATGGGTCGAATCACCACCTACAAGAAAAGGTTCAATGATACGTTTCAAAATTCTTTTGAAATTCCTCACCTGTCCCTTGATGGCTACAGGCCTTTCTTGAATCGAGTGCATGCCCAGGATGGCAGACTGAGGAGGGTTGATGATGGGGGTGCCTAGGAGGGACCCAAACACTCCTCCATTGCTGATGGTAAAGGTGCCTCCATCCATGTCTTCAACAGCCAAAGCACCAGACCTGGCCTTTTCTCCGAGAGCAGCAATTGCTTTTTCAATGTCGGCATAATTCATGCCCTCCACATTCCTCAGGACAGGAACAACCAAACCCTTATAAATTTGAGAAAATTAAATCATAAAAAACTTTGCTTGTTTTTAATACCTTAGGGGTTGCCACAGCCACGGAGATGTCAACGTAATCGCGGTAGACAATGTCGCTGGCATCAATGACGGCATTCACAACAGGCTGATCTTGAAGGGCATAAGCACTAGCTTTGACAAAGGCTGACATGAAGCCCAGTTTGAGATTGTGTTTCTTCTGGAAGGCATCCAAGTTGGCTTTACGGAATTCCATCAAATTGCTGCAGCAAAATAATAGCTCAAGATCTATGACCTTATTATGTATTTGGGTCTGCACCTCATGTCGATTTCATTGAAAGTGGTGAGCATAGCGTTCGTATTCTGAGCCTCCTTCAGACGCTGAGCAATCCTCAGCCGCATCCTGTTCATCTTGACACGCTGCTCGGATCGAGTTCCAGTGATCTCTGTGGTCGGATCGGCAGGTGGCAACTTAACAGTGGCTGCTTCGATGGCCTGTTGGAATTTTTAGTAATATGTATTCATTTAATTTACAATTGGCCTCACCTGAGCATGTCTGATGGCAGCAACAGGGATCGAGGTCATGGGTCCAGCAGGGGCAGCAGCTGGCCTTGGTGGAGGCGGTGCAGATGGGGCGGCAGCAACCGGGGGTGGAGGAGGAGGGGCAGCGGCGGAAGGAGCAGCTGCTGCAGCAGGAGCCTCGGCTGCGGCGGGCTTTGCAGCCGGCTTCGCTCCTCCAGCTCCAGTGATCTTGATTCTGAACAACTTCTGACCGGCTTTCACAGTCGTTCCATCTTCAACAAACCTCTCTTCAATGATACCCACTCCTGGTGAAGGCACCGGGATAGAGGTCTAAATAATTCCAAACAGTAAATTAATTCAGGTTTTATCCGATATGTATTTTAAAATATTTACCTTGTCAGTTTCAATCTCAGCAACAACTTCATCCTCAACAACAGAGTCACCAACAGCTATTATCAGAGTAGGAATTTCAGTCAAGGAAATGAAATTAATAAAAATTTAATTTGTACCTTTTTCCCACCTGACGTCACCCTCAGAGATTGAGTCAGCAAAAGGAGGTACATTCACAATTTTAACGTCATCCCCTAATAAGAATAATTTCAATTAATTTTCAGAACTTGAAATGCAATTTAATTACATAGAATCCTGGACGAGTGAAAACTTCTGGATGGAACTAACCATTGCTGACTTGTCAGAGTTTGACTGCAACAAAGATTTTATTTTTTTTACTCGTTCTTTAAGGGCCTATAGTTTTTTTAATTAAAAATACCTGTTAGGTGATGTTGTCTGGTTAAGAAGCGCCCAAGTTGCAGCTCTATGCCTTGATCCAGCTAAACGCACAATAGAATAAGACATTACGATAAAAACAAAAAATGATTAAAACATTATCATGGAAAAATTGCAGTATTTTATAGTTTCCTTACCCAAACTGCTCTGCAAACGAGATTTCGGCACCTGAAAATTGTAAAAATAAATCATGAGAACAGATAGAATCATCGTGTTTTTCCCCATTACATTTTAATCAGCTAATATTAGATTTTGGTGCAACATTTTATGCACTGGCGAGATGCCCATTGCAAAAATAACTATACACAAAACTTGTTTTAACGGTAAGAAACAGAGAAGATAAGAAATGCAGAAGATGCTACATTTGTTGGGTGAGAGAGTCCACACCCTATTTAACCGATATTATTTATAGTTAAAAGATAAAATACGGCCTTTCAGCGCTTGCACTTTGCAGGTCAAATTTTTGCAAATCGGGAACCGACATTTTCACGGGCGGCTCGCCGCTTTTTTAAAAGCAAGATGAACCAAAAATTGGTGGTAAAACACACCCTGCATGTCGAGTTTCGCTTGCCCAACAGCCGAAGGGCCAAGCTCGACGAAGATCTCGAGGAACAGGCGAATATTCCAGCCATGTCCTAGCTAGAATTCAGGTCCGGCCCTTGTTTCCTTGCAGCTGTGAGGAGCTCGGAGAACGGAGCTGCTGCCAAAAAGTGGAGGAAAAGCGGAACTAATCGGGAATCGGGCCAATGAGAACGCGGCACCGAGTGGATGGTGGCACCCTCGGACGGTGGTTGCAGCAACTGATCGACATGTCAAATCCAGCTGGAGCCGCGCAGATGCATCAATCGCGTGGTAACACTTTCCGGGACTGGAGGAATATCGGCGAACAGGACTTTGATATCGCTTCTTCACAAGGATGAACGTGGCTGTCCAGGCCGAAGGCCATACGGTGGCCACTCCAGAGCGGCCGTCTCATTTTCCCGCTTCTTTTGACACGGACGGAGACGAAATAATTGGCTGCAGGCCTTCAGGAGAACGTTCGACCGAAGATGATGGTAGGTACCCTTCTGGAGGCCGGGGGCGTGGTTTAAAATGTCAAATTTATCGACCCCCTTGTTGACCTCAAGTTCGAGTAATTTTTAGTTACCAAATTACGCAATCGAGTATGTACAGAAATTTTAAAAACAATTAATAAGTAAAAATAAATTTTTACATATAATTAAATATTCATTAAAATTAAAACTACATATATTATTAAAATTACAGTAAATAAAGCTCACGTTATCATTAAACTTGTATTATGATATTGAGTACGTCAATGTTTAATGAAAACAATAATGAACGAAAGCAATCGTACATAATTGGAAGACAACAAAAATGTGCACACACAAAAAACAGTGCTTATAAAAATATATTTGATAACTTTAACACTTTTCAAATATTATATAATTTGTTCCATACTATAATATTTTAGCTTTTGATAATTGCTATTGAAATAAAGAAAATGTTCAGCTTTTGAAAGCGGCTGTAGTTCATGCATCCGCATTTCATGTAAAAGACAGCTATAGGCGTATTTTATTGCTCAAAAATAAAATCCATACGAATATAACTGTGAAAGCAGTTTATCTTGTTTATGCTATTTTAAGAAAACTATACTTGCGGAAGAAGAAGTTGACTGTGACACAATTTTTATTATCTGATCTATTTAATTATTTTTTTGCAAGGAAGCGTTATACTTGCTGTTTTTGCTACATCATAAATTTAGCAAAACTTTTTTTGTAGTTTGTGTTACTGTAGAGCAAGATAATTTTGTTTAGTTAGTAAAACGTAAATGACGTTTAGAAAAAAAAGGTTTTTTCATGAAAATGATTGTCTAATTTTTATACATCTAATTAAATTATTAAGATCCATTTAAAATTAAAATAATTTTCTTTGGTATAACATGTTAATTCATTTTTAATAATGATTTAAAATTTACTCGAAACCTAACTGCAAATTAAGAAAAATGGTTTTTGCCAGTCGAAGGTTCTAGAAATTTTGCACACATAATCCTTTGCAATCCTTTGCTTGACACCTTTGAAGTGCCGCCTATCATAGATTGTGTTGCTCTCGAACATACTATTTCCGTGCTCTGTAAAGCAAACACAGAGATAAAAATATTTTTTATCATTAAGGAAGGTTTTAATAAGTCGCACGCTTAATTTTGAATTTTATAACTTGGAGTTCATGTATTTAATTTTTGGTGATTTGAATTTAAAGTCGGCTTTTCCTAGATGGGTTTTGTGAGTTGTTTATTGTTTAAGAAAAAACAATATCCTGCTCTACATGTTTCGGCTGCAGCCATAATTCATGAGCTGTGGAATTATTTTGACAAGAATTAGTACAAAAATCAATATTTTTTTTAAGTGGTTTTTTTCTTTCAAAATATCAATTTTCCTTTTAAAATTATTTAAAGCTACATTTTTTACCTGAAAAACCGTAAACCAACCGAAAAATAATTTAGTCTTCTCTCAACCACCACAGAGATAGGTTCGCTGAAAACTCACGTTTCAATATCCTGACCAAAATCATTATAAAAATTGATTAGTTTGAAAAAAATTTCGGAATTCAATGTCGAATTTTATGTTAAAAATTGTTTTGCGGGAAAAATGTAACTGAATAATTTTTCACGGAAAACTCTTATTTAAAACTCTATATTAAACAGATTAATTTTTTATACTAATTCTTGTCAGAATGATTTCACAGCTCATGAATTATGGCTGCAGCCGAAACATGTAGAGCAGGATATAGTTTTCTCTTCAACAAAAAACAAGTCACAAAACCCATCGAGGAAAAGCTGACTTTAAATTCAAATCACCACGAATCAACCCTCGCTCGTGAATATTAATTTTCATTCTCAATTCAATGCTCGTCATGCATCTAATATTTGCATCTGAAGTTGACGTAAATAAAACTTTATTTTATTTATATAAATTTTGAATGTTTTTTCATCAGGTTAATCTGTGCAATGGAAACAACTCTCCCAACGCTAGCGTTTTTTTTATCTTTTATCCAGGATGCCTCTTCGAGATATTATTATTTGTTAACTTACTCTTAATTTGACCTTAAATAATTATTTATAATTGTGCTCCTTTTCAGATGTGTTGCCACAGGAAAAATAAATTTTACACATTTAATGATAAATTTTGATTCAATATTAATTCCAGAAATTTAAAGAAATTATGAACCTTTGATTCTTTCAAAAAGAATTGCATTTTGTAGTTGACTTTTAATTTTTTTTATAATTTATGTTTAAAAATAAAAGGCCTTTTGTCCTGGCAACGGGGAAACACGGGCCGAAAAATGTCCCTTCAATCGGGGAAAAAATACAAGTTCAATGTTCAAAGATTTGATCTTATCCGATATTCCACTGAACCAGGTCCATTTATACGGTGCTTGATAATTTCTTTTTATCAATTTCGCAGCCACTTGAAATGGGTACAATTGAAATTTAATCAGAATAAATTCGGAATTCACCACTTGATCCTCACAACCTCAATTGACCTTAACCATTAATTAACTCGGTTTGGCGCATTGCAGACAAAATAATTTGGCAAGACGCACAACACGCGGCGGTCGATCCGTTTTTTCCTCGCTCGACTTTTGCCAATGCTGCTGTGGCATGTTGGGACAGTTTCCAGGGATATTTCTGGAACTTGTTATTTTGGCGACGATCAGTCACCGATGAGGACAAACTTTTTCGCACCTCGAGGGAAAGCGTGTTTAGCGAGCCGGCTCGTTATTTGTTGATTAGGAGCGGCGCGCAGGCCGAAAATAGCATTCTTTCTTAGCAGGCGGCCTCTTGTTGCTCGCCGCGGCCATTGTTTGTTGCAGTCCGAGTGTGGCCAGCACTGCTTTCGCACACGCCAGCTCTTCTTCTTCTTCTTCCCTTAATTGTACCTCCAAGAAGTCTTTTCTGCTTGGCCAGGTCGTTTCTTCACAATGTGTTCGCGGGGGATCGTAGTGGGTGGCGATCAGTCCTCAGGGTCCGAGGACGACCACCCGACCAAAAACAAGAACCCTGGCTATCTTTTGGTGGTCTCTTCATTTGTCGACACCGACGTTCCTGCAGGTTCAGTATTTGTTGTTCCTTTAACCAAATCTGAAAAAAAGGGAAATTAAAAATTGCATTTATTTCTGACAGGAGCTTTTAAATTAAATCAGGAAATTAAGCGACTTTTCTGTAAATTTAAATATCTTGTAACAAAAAGGTCATATCGCCAAAAATTTATTGATAATAAGATTTTTTTGCTTTTCACATTTTTTTATTTTAGATGAAATTATTTCTAAAAATTTTATGTTTTTTTGCTGCCATCTACAAAAATTAACATTTGTAAGATTTGGCAAATGACAAATTTTGCAATCAAATTTTTTGCAAGATGAAAAAATTAAAGTGTAAAAAATAATTTATCCACAAAAGTAGTTAATTTAATAAAAGTATCAGCACAAATTTTCATAATACAAACCTCAAACTAAAACTTCTGCAAAATATCGGAAATTTTAATTCTGCTAGAGAACAAGAATTGAACGAAGTCAAAAATTAGAGCCGGTTTTACAACTAATATTGGCAGCAGAAAGTCTGCCAAAAAAATAAACAGTAGTAAAATAAATTACTTTTTAACTAACGACTAAACAGTGGCTTTTGATGTGGCGACAAGCGAATCTAGGACTCTAGAAGAATTTTGCTCAATTATAGGACGGCGCGCAAATAAAAGATTAAGGGCGTCTGCCGGGCACTGAAAGATATTTGGCTTGAATTGGCAGATTGCATTTTTTTCTGGGTCTTGGCACCGAACTTGGCGTCGCAAAAGCCCTCCTCTCTAGACGGACTGGGTTTCTAGAATCCATTTCTCTGCTAAATTTAGCTCTGCGCATGTTTATCATGGTGCGGAGTAAAAGATTATTCCGTCAAATGTTTACCCAGGTCAGGCCGACAGTTTTCTTGCCGACCCTCGCGTATGTATTAAAAGAGTGTCGCTCTGCACGTGCAGCTAATGTATGGTGTCGTTCGCATGTCTTGGGAAATAGGCGTGTTTACCATGAGAAAGCGTTTATGTCGGCTTTTTGCAGCGTTCAAAATTTTCAATGCGTGAACGCAAATTATTTTTAACTTAAACCCTTCAATTATTTCACTCATTTCATAGACTCCGGTTTTACTTTTCTACACGCTTCAATATTTAGCTGAAAATTACATTTTCCGGTAAAAATTCAACTTGATGTTTTTATTTACACCATGCAGGAAAACCCAATGCCGGTTGCAATGTTGAGTTTTGCAATGTTAGTGAGGAAACACGTAAAAAAACTTTGCTGGTTAAATCCAGCGAGTGATAACGGGATTTGGAATTTCTTTAGTCACTTTAAATTGCGTTGGATTGTTTTCTTTTATGCTGAAAATTTAATTTATTTTGCTACAAAAATTCAAACATTTTAGAAATAATTACTGAAATTATTTAAAATGAGAAAAAATATTTTAAATTTCTGAAAAATTTCATTGTCAAATGTATCGGAGTGAGGCGAAGAGGCGAATGAAATTGAATTGATTAGGGAAGGATTAATAAATAAAAGGAACTTGAGAAACGTTTCAAAGCATGAAAACATTGTGCATGATGTCCTGATGATGTCCAAGTATATAACTCACAAATAAAATTATTTGGCTACGAAAAATTATAAACTTTGCAAATTATTAATTATTTTCAGTAAATTTTAATTCAGGATTAAAATTGATTTTGATCTACGATTTTTTGAGCTTGTTTACTATTTTTAACCGCCTGTAACGCATATTAGAGCAGATAATTTTAAAAATGTTGCTTGCTTGCTTGTAAATATCAACTTGCTCACTATCGCAACTATTGCGCACTTGACCGAATCAACAACTAACAATAAGATTGGCGAGATTCCCCATGTTGATTCAAGTTTTTACCGCTCTTGTTTCGTATCTTAAAATTTCAACACATATTTTTAACTTCGCGTTTGTGAAAATATTTACAACTAGCTAATATGTTTTAAATTTACAATTGGAGGAAAAGGAAACTTAAATCACGTGCCTGAGTGGTTGAGAGGGGGAGATTTTCCTCGTCTTTCGCCATCCTCAATTGATAACAAGAACATATCGTTTTTATATGTTGAGACCCCTTTTGATAAATATTTAACTATCCCCGTTATCGTGTTTACTCGTTCGGTCTCTCACTGCTCATTATTCAGCGACTGGCGCAGTTTTTGAGAGCGCTCGCGATCGTCGAGAGCCTCTTTTGTTCTTGGGACAAATGGCGCATTGCGGGCAGCGAGTGCAATAATATAAGATTTTGCTGTGCGTCGTTCGGGGTTGAGTAGTTTTCGCTGGACCCGTGCCAGACTTTCGCACCCCCTTGGAGGAAAACACACTTTCATTATTCACCTGTGGCTCGATCTGACGGAGAATAATAATGTGTTGGTGACTTTCTCTCAATTTATTCTTGACAAGTTCTTTGTTTCTCATTGTGTTGAAGAGGTGAATGGAAATGTAATTGCGTGACGACAAAGTGCAGACGCGACGGCTCCAACACGAAGGGGGTTCTTTAAAATTTTAAATTATTGTCCCTAGCGTGTTAGGAAATTTTCTAGAGTGCCAAGATTTTTATGGATTTATCACGGTTAATTCTATTTATTATTAAAAGTTGAAAAAGACCAGGGAGAATATCACTAATTTCTGCTAAAACTTATAAAAATAAATAAACAAATAAATGCATAATCTTCCTCCGTAAACTAGCCCTACTTAATTTAATATATTACGGAACAGTTTTTAAAAATTATACCACAAATAATACTAAAATGAAACTTGAGAAAATTGTCATTTTTTAATTGCTATACGAATCGTCATTCTTTATCAGCTTTAAAATGGTATAATAATTACTTATTTCTTTAAAGTAGATAAGATTAGATAATTTTCTTAAGTTTTTAAGCAAACATGTTTTTGAAAACTGAGATTGTGGTACAAGGTGACCTTTCATTAAATCCGTTAATTTAACTCTAATGCAAGAACAGGACTTCAAATTATCTGATACAAAAATTTTATTTGTTTTGGATAAATCAATTTTCACGAAAATTCTGAATTCGTCAAAAGCTTTTTCAATTGACCTTTTTTATTTATGAGAGGTATATGAGACTTAATAATTTTTTTTTTTATTATTTATTGTTTTTAAATATTCTGTTTTTGTCTGTTTTCAGCTTGTGAAAGCCCAAACGCGTTCAACAGCCCTACGGCTTTTGGCATTCCTCGGGTCCTAGGCGAGGCTGGTGACTCGATCTCGCGCTCACAGGACCTCCCTAATGAACTGTCTGCGCCGTATGAGGTGCCCCAGTTCCCTATTGAACAGCTTGAAACAAAATTACTTATCCAGCGTCAACTCTCAAGGTAAATTAGAAAAATTAATTGATATATCTGGATTTTTTCTGCCAGATTGCTTCTCACTTACACTTTATTTTCATGATTAAAATTCGAGCTCGTAATCAATCGTCATTAAATTAAAATAAATTGTGGAACGAATATTTTGGCACAGACTTATTATTTTTTAATATTTTTTACTATTTGTTGAAAATTTTGCTCTCCCACTTGTGAGGATTGCTGGTTATGCAACCGTTCGGACCGCAGGGATTAGCTGGTTGCCTACCCGACACCTGCAAGGGGCGGTGTTATTTTTTTGCAAACGCCGCGTTGCGCGACCTTGTCCCGTGCATATAGCAGCTTGATTTTGATAAAGGGGGTTGTCGACGGCTGAAAATCACGTGGCCAGCGACGGTGGTAGGAAAATGAAATGAATCGGCGCGTTGGTTGGCTGAGTGCCGCGATCGATGTCGGAGGGTGAGGATCAGGTAGCCGACTTGTGGTGCACCTGTCTCAGTCATGTTTTGGTTGGCTGAGGACTCGAAACGCTCCTCGAAAGAAATTGTCGACGCACTCAGGTCTTGAATATTAATTTATTTAAAACAGGTTTCGTCATGTGAGAACATTTTTGACCCAATTTATTTTTTGTTTACTTTTTTAAATGATCATTTCCTTATTTGGTATGAAAATACCTCACAAATCGGGGAATTTCCCGCCTTTTTAATCCATCTAAATTATTCATAAGAAAATTATTCAGTTTTTTTCTTTTACAAAATTTGTATTTTTGGTTGTAGAGTTGCCCGTGACTTGGAGGACCGCAGAAGTCAGTACGAACCTTCGGTTGGAGTCGTCCCTGACGATGGTGATCACGCCTTCAAGCTGGACGAACATGACTTTGTGCCCCATTTCCAGAGGGTTTCGATCAGCGGCGAAGATACAAGTGGCGTAAGTTTCGGATTAGCGGCAGAAGTAATGACATTTGCGCACAGACCAAGAAATAAGTGGAAGGCCACAGTGAAGCCTCTCATGTTCAAATCTGCACCACAAATGTCATTTTCCTATTGCGTGCTTAATATTATATCGTCAAATCTCTATTAAAGTAAATCCGATTAAAGACTTTTTATCTCTCTCAGCAAATAAAAACTCACAATTATTGGAATTAATTGATTTATTACTGCAATTATAAAATATAAGTTTTTTAAATTTATTTGTTTGCATATTATGATCATGCTAATTTTTTTCAAATATATTTTTGATCAAGATATGAGTGATATTGGGTATTGCTTTGAGCAATCTTCTTGGTAAGGTTATCCAGTTGCGTTTGGTTTGAGGTTATGCAACCAGCGGCGGCTCCCTTGAGACGCCCTGCGCCGGGAAGCTCTTCTGCTTTGTGTGGTTTCTAGAAAAGCTGCACACACGCAAGCAGCAAAGAATGATAAACCAAGGAAAAATGCTGCAACCTTCCATATTTTCTGCTCTTTTCATATAATACCAATTATACAAATTAAATTTTCAATTTAATTTTTCTAATGCACATTAGCTTTTCAATTAATTGTGTTTTGTAACAGGTGCCACTGGAAGATTTGCACCACGCATCGCTGTTGCTGGTGCAGGCACTGCGCATCAGAGAGCGTTACATAGCAATCTCGAACCAGAGCTTTCCAACAATAACTTCTCGGTTCCTTCGGTCCATGGACGGAAGCACCTCCAACCCGCCAACACATCATGACTACAGTCAAGATATCATTACGCACGATGACAGAAAAACCATTGCAGGTATTAACAAATATTTATTTCCGAACTGAGCATTGTCCAAGTTTTGCTTTTTATATTCACAATTTGGAAGTCATTTTAATTTTCACATTAATTTTTTTATCTTAATGTGTTGTCATAAATGCTGTTTAAATTATCCGTCAGTACCAGACAAGATAATTTATGATTGAAAATCATGTAAATATTACTTTTTCCTTTATAAAGTAAATAAAATTTTATCAGTATCCTACATCATTTTGTCTGCTATGAATAAAAGTGAATTTAAAAAAAAAACTTTCAGAACAACCAGTGCACGCACCCTCTCAAATTGACCCGTGGGAACTTGAATATCCCGAGGACAAGAATTATGTGATCCAACCACTCCGTGGTGTTTTTCATGTCTACGATGACGAGGCAAATGCAGCAAGTGGAAATGCTCGCAACTACCCTTATTATGATTTGGCAAACTTTGTTAGTGACATGAATATGTTGTGCGCTATGATTGCTGATGGACCATTGTGAGATTAAGAAAATTAACTCATTGTTGTTAAAATTATCAGTCATTGCTCTCCAACAGGAAATCCTTTTGCTACCGCAGGTTGACGTACTTATCTTCGAAATATCAACTGCATGTGCTTCTCAATGAGCTAAGGGAGCTGGCAGCTCAAAAAGCCGTTCCTCACAGAGACTTTTACAACATCAGAAAAGTAATTATTCTGCAGATTTTTATGAGCATATTAAACAAAAAAATGTCAATTCAGGTGGACACCCATATCCACGCAGCCTCTTGTATGAACCAGAAGCACCTGTTGCGCTTCATTAAGAAAACCTTGAAAAATCATGCTGACGAAGTCGTCACCATCACTCGTGCGGGGGAGAAAATGACTCTGGAGGAGGTGTTTCAATCCATGAACCTCACCCCCTTCGATTTGACTGTGGACATGCTCGATGTCCATGCTGACCGCAACACCTTCCACCGTTTTGACAAGTTCAATGCAAAATACAACCCTATTGGTGAAAGTAGACTGAGAGAAGTTTTCCTAAAAACCGACAATTATCTGAATGGCACATATTTTGCCAGGATTATTAAGGTTGATTATTTGTAATTTTGATAGTTTCAACTTTTTTTATTGAAACTTTCATATTTCAGGAGGTTGCATCGGACCTGGAGGAAAGCAAATACCAAAACTCTGAGTTACGTCTCTCTATTTACGGCAAAAGCCCTGACGAGTGGGAAAAACTGGCCAAGTGGGCCGTTTTGAACGACGTTTATTCCGACAATGTTCGCTGGCTCATTCAAGTGCCAAGACTTTAGTAAGCAACTTTTATTTTTTGCTTTGTTTTATCTAATCTTTTAATTTTATAGTGACATTTTCAAGTCAAACAAAATCATCAACAATTTCCAACAAGTCCTGAGCAATATCTTCCTTCCCTTGTTTGAGGCAACAAACAACCCTTCAAAACACCCTTATATTCACAAATTCTTGCAATACGTCATTGGACTTGACTCTGTGGATGACGAGAGTAAGCCAGAAAACCCCTTGTTCGACAAAGAAGTAAACACGCCTGAAAAATGGTCGGACGATGAGAATCCTCCCTATGCTTATTATCAGTACTACATGTGGGCAAATTTAGCTGTGCTGAACAATTTCAGAAGGTATGTCGTCGATTGAAAGGAAATCAAGTTCCTTATTTGAAAAAAATTTGGATTGCAGAGAGAGGGGTTTAAATACTTTTGTGCTACGACCTCACTGCGGAGAAGCAGGGCCTATTCAGCACCTTGTGTGCGGATTCATGATGGCTGAAAATATTTCTCACGGCCTTTTGTTGAGAAAAGTAAGATTCAGCCCTCTATTGCCAACTAATTTTTCATGCAAAATCTTTATATCAATTCTAGGTTCCAGTGCTGCAATATCTCTACTACTTGGCTCAGATTGGAATTGCCATGTCTCCACTTAGCAACAATTCACTTTTCCTCAACTACCATCGCAACCCGTTGCCCGAATACTTGGCAAGAGGTTTATGTGTCAGTCTCTCTACAGACGATCCTCTCCAATTTCATTTTACGAAAGTAAGTACATGACGTATTTTGTATACCTTCACTCTCTAACGTAAATAACTTTTCAGGAACCTTTAATGGAGGAGTACAGTATTGCAGCCCAAGTGTGGAAACTAAGCAGCTGTGACATGTGTGAATTGGCCAGAAATAGCGTTGTCATGAGCGGATTCCCTCACAGGGTATGTGAAAATAGATTTGATTTTATTTTGTCTTGACGTATTCATTTTATAATTTAGGTGAAGCAGTTTTGGCTTGGCCCTAACTATACCAAGGAAGGTGTAGCTGGAAACGACATCACACGCACCAATGTTCCCGACATAAGGGTGGCCTATCGCAATGAGACTCTTATTGAAGAGCTGTCCAACATCTTCAAGGTGCACGTAATCTGAGGGTGTCATGCCTCGGTCCAAACTCCTGCTCCTCTCTATTTCATAAGCGATTGCAGGATCTAGATGTCACACGCGGAGGGCTCAAATAAAAGCGTAGTTCTATCGTGATCGGTTCTGTCCATTGAAATAAGTTAAGTCACTGGTAACTGTGTGGCAGTCGTTGCTACCAAGGAATCAAAGACGTAATAATGGTAAATAGGGAAAATGATTCAAAAGATTATATGGCGCCTTGAAAATTAAACAAATTTCCTACATTTTTTAAAAATTTCTTTATAGTAGTAAATTTTTTATTTGAAAAAAAACCCAGCACAAATCTTACTTTTTATCTTTAAGTATTTTCGATAATTTTTGTTTCTTGCGTTCTTGATTGCTATGGCACCAACGACAAAATAACGGTGACATAAAATCTCATATACGAGTCTGAGAGAAACCGATCGAGCTTGGTAGTAACACTGCATTTTTATGAGGACCGTCTCATAAATATTCTGATGTGACATGTCTAGATAAAAAAAAAATGATTGCCAAAATTTATTTCGACATCAAACCCTTATAGTTTTTAAATAGTGATGTAGCTTTTGTGATGTAGGGATCGTGCAGAATTTTAACTCCCAAAATTATTGTGATCAATCAAAACAAGCTAAAACAGCATAACATTTACAAGGAATATTTTATGAGGGTTTATTAGAATCAAAATTCGCTTAGAGTTAAAATTGCAAATGATATGTGAAGTAAAATGTGATATAAAATCCACGTGATCACTCACTTAACGATCGTATTATCTCCACGTCAATATTTTTATTATTTGGTGACAGAAGCCCATGTTCATAAGTACTATTTTTCAATATTTTTTTCAAGTTGCTTTTTATATTTTTCAACCTGTATTCCATTTTTAAATTTTCGTACCATTTTTATAGATTATTAGGCTAATGATGCAGTTTTTTTTTCTCAAGATTCATTAGTTAACAATTTTCCTGCCAAGTATAATCAGTTGTTATAACTTTACACTTCCGCGCAATTAAGTTTTGGTGCAGCTCAAAGACAGTGGACCATATGATTGAAAAATTATACTTTTTGAGAAAATTTGTAGTGTAAAATAGCACAATGTATGTATAACCCAGCAGGCTCTGGAGTAGTTAGAAAATATACAAAATGTATATTGGGAACGAAAATTTTGCAAACAATCGTTTGTAAAATCTTACAGGGTGGATCCAGGAATGATTTGGGTGTGATTGTTGATGAAAAGTTACCATTTTGAAATTCATGTATGATGTTGGGGTTGGAAAAAGGTGCTTCCTCCTAAATTTTCAGCTAAAAATATTGGGTGCTTTTCCGGGAAATCAGATTTTTCCAAAAACACTAAAATACAAATATCTCTGCTGCTACTAAGAATAAATGTATGCTGTTTTCACATTCAGACGTAACTTTTTACGCCCGACAACTTTGCCATTGACGAATTTTGCGTAGGTCAAAGGTCAAGGTCACTAAATTGCAAATTTCACTTTTAAACGCAATTTTCGCAAAGAAGCACCCCTCAGATTTTTTTTGCAGTATGGAAAAAAATGTAGCCCTAAGTGTGTAGAACAAAATACTTGATTTTCAGAATGGTAACTTTTACCATTTAATTTATAATAATAACTGAATATTAAAAAACAGTGAAAAATCACTTTTCCGCAATAGAAATTAATTTTCAACCAGCGATAACTTTGTTTCTGTTACAGAAACGACAAAATGTGTAATGACAAAAAGTTTTTGTCTTGACTTTCTGCATCCAACCATGTATCAATCAAGAAGGTCAGGTCACCTAAGGTCATTGACCTCGGTGACCTGTGACCTTGGAATACAATTTTGCAATTTTTCTGTGCAGAAAATAATAGCGCGTAATAAGTTTATGAAAAATAATTTTAAAAAATTGCAAAACTGTATTCCAAGGTCACAGGTCACCGAGGTCAATGACCTTAGGTGACCTGACCTTCTTGATTGATACATGGTTGGATGCAGAAAGTCAAGACAAAAACTTTTTGTCATTACACATTTTGTCGTTTCTGTAACAGAAACAAAGTTATCGCTGGTTGAAAATTAATTTCTATTGCGGAAAAGTGATTTTTCACTGTTTTTTAATATTCAGTTATTATTATAAATTAAATGGTAAAAGTTACCATTCTGAAAATCAAGTATTTTGTTCTACACACTTAGGGCTACATTTTTTTCCATACTGCAAAAAAAATCTGAGGGGTGCTTCTTTGCGAAAATTGCGTTTAAAAGTGAAATTTGCAATTTAGTGACCTTGACCTTTGACCTACGCAAAATTCGTCAATGGCAAAGTTGTCGGGCGTAAAAAGTTACGTCTGAATGTGAAAACAGCATACATTTATTCTTAGTAGCAGCAGAGATATTTGTATTTTAGTGTTTTTGGAAAAATCTGATTTCCCGGAAAAGCACCCAATATTTTTAGCTGAAAATTTAGGAGGAAGCACCTTTTTCCAACCCCAACATCATACATGAATTTCAAAATGGTAACTTTTCATCAACAATCACACCCAAATCATTCCTGGATCCACCCTACAAAATTTTAAAATTGATATAATGTCTCTCTTTTTATGCAATATTTTAGAAAAAACTATGTAAAATGCTAATTAGTGCTGAAGTGCAAAGCCTCTGGTTATTTTGAAAGCCTGCACTGTTATTAATGTGCTGTGTGTGCATGCGTGATTGATTGAACTGACCACGCTATTAATCATTATAAAATCCAATGTAAAAATCGTAAAAATCCTTTAAATTTTTGCTGTGAACATTGTAAACACGAATTATATGGAAATTTATCAAAATGTTAATCAAAATAAAAGGAGGAAAAAAATAATTAATATCTAATTACCGTTTTATGCGTTTTATTTCAAAACACACTTGAATGTATTTGGCGTTGAAAATACACTAACCCATATGGCAGAAAATGGAAGACGGCAATTTAGTTTTGTGTAGGACTATATAACAGGGTTTAACTTTCCATCTGCTGCAGTACATTATGCAAATAATTAAATCCGGAAACAAATCAAAATGTTAAAATGAAAAATAAGGAGTTCATGGTTGGGACAAGATGCAAGACGGTATCATCAGCAATAACCAGCTTCTCAAGGCAGTGATGGACAAAAGGAGAGGGAGGTAACTTCATTATAATCTCAAAAACACAATAAACATCTTTTTAGATAGTTAGACATTACATCACAGACAGAAATTACGATACTCTTGGGAGGTCCCGGCCATAAAAACAAATTAAAGACTTCCCATTGTCATTTTTTTTCTCAAAAGCTAAGATTTGCAATTTCAAAAAGCAAACTATACTATACTACCTTAATCTAGGCTGAGACCTCCAGTAAAGCGCACACAAGTTAAAGGTCACTTTTATCGTTGAGAATTTCTGTTTCGGCAGAATTCTCTGCTCTCTGCTTTTGATCATTTTTTTGTCTATGCGTACTTTTCTTTGCAGTCCAAGACGGAGTTTCACTTATCGGCTCAACTGCGTCAGTCTGAGAAGATGCATCAGCAGTAGGTATTTTGGGCTCTTCTATCACCTCATCTAAGGGAACGGTAGAGCTGTTAAGCAACTTCTCTAGCTTTTCGAGTCCGATTTTTTCATTTTCCAAAACTGAGGTGTAGTTGTCGTTTCTCTTGAGAATAAAAATTTGAGGCCGGGTCTTAATCTCCATTGGAGGGAAATAATTGTAATTGAAGGTCACATGCCAGAAGCCCTCCACAATGTCCATAGTGGTATGGGTAAAGGCATATGGCCGCAGGCTTAGAGAATACTTGCTTCTAGCCTCGATCAGCAAGTGAGAAAACTGCATCAGGCCTTCTCGACCCATGTTCTCTGTCTTGTCATATCTGCACAAAAACATTAAAAAAAAAATATTTAAACAGTAAAAAATTATCAGTTTTTCAATTCTTTTAAAAAAAAATGGACGTTTATTCAATTTAAGTTTAGTTAAAAGAAACAATTAAAAAAAATTAAGATATCAATTATTAGTCACTTTTCAAAGGAGGTCATTAGCCTTAATTTTTCTTAACTTTGCAACTGATCTGAATTCTTTGGTATTTTAAATAAATAAAAGTAAAATATTCACCTCCACTTGGGATACAGTTGGGTGAATCTGGACACCCCAGTCTGAGCAGCAAGATTGTCAATGTGAAGAGTAACATTTGTATTTGCACTTTCAAGCTGATGGATCCTTGCGATGGCTGCGCCTCCGGGATAGTTTGTCCTGGCAATGCTGAGCATAAATATGCTGAACATCAGGTTCAGGAGAATGTGACAAGCACAGCCAACAGCTAAGAGATTTTGCCACCAGGACTTGTCTCTGTTGCTCCACCTTTGCAAAAGTTTGTTAAAATTTTCAACTCTCTATGTAAACGAATAATATTACAATCTATGGGCGGCTGAGGCAACTGCTAAATTGAGCGCAGGAAAAACGTAAATGATGAAACGAAGCTCTTTGTGGGGTAGAAATGAGTAGAGGAAGACAAAGAGTAGTGCAGGAACAGCCAGCTGTCTGCTCCTTGGTTCCAGCCACAGACCGAGTGGCAGGAAAAAGATCGACGAAGCCATTCCTCTGGGAATTGCAGAGTAGAAGTACCACAGGAAAGGAGACGTCTGCAAATTAATAAAATTAATCGTCAAAGGAGAGAATGTCAAAAAAATTTTTACCCCGTATTCATGACTCCTGTTGAGAACTGTGTTGAACCACAAAACCTCTCCCTCTGGCCACAAAACACGACCCCAGAAGATCGAATCGATAAAAACAGTTAGGGCAAGACAACCTAAACCGCTGATGGCGCCAACTTTTAAGAGTCTACAAATTTTCTCCGTGAATTATTTTCAGTACAAAAATTAAAACCTCTTACTCTGAAAAGGTTATCCTCTTCAGTGCTAAATCGTGAAAAAGTAGAATGCCCAGGAGAAGTGTTAGTTCGCCTCTGAACACTATGATCGCAGCAGCTGATACGATGATGAATCGTCGGGGTTGCTTGCTCAACCAGAAGTGAAAGGCAAGAAGCACTGAAATTTTAAATTTCAATTTTTAGCGTATTTTTTTTACAAAAAGTATGTACCTAATGGTAAAGCCATGATATTGGGTAAGGGCCTGCTGAGATAGTACATGAAGTGGTACTGAGAAGCGCTGACCATGGTGAACCAGGCGGCCACAGCAGCACCAAACTCTTTTTTGATGGAGCTCAAGAGTTTGGAAAATGATCCAATTGTCACAAGGCCTAGGACAATCCTGACTGGAATTAATAAGAATCAGCGTCAAAGCAAAATCTTAAAAAAAAACTTGCAAAGTTTGACCTACCTACATACTGCATGATAAATTTGTTAAAATCGAAAAAGCTGATTATCATCATCACTGGGCTTGATAAGAGTGAAATAAAAAGTGGTCCGAGAAAGGTTCTCGGGACCACTCCTGGAAACTCCAAGTGGTCGTACTAAAATAATAAAATAATTCTCATCAATGAAGATAAAATTAAGACGAACTTGCAAAACATACTTCTGATAAATTAAACCGTAAGTATAATATGTCGTGCATTGCTTGCAAGTTGAAGCTCTCCTCCACTTTTGTATAGGGACAAACGAACAGGTGAACGACGGCGACCAAAGTCAGCCACTTAACGCCCTGTAGAAAATATTTAATTTTATAATTTAATGTTATTTTTGTTATCAATAATGCACTCACCCTTATCATGATTGCTTGAATGAAAGTTATTAGTCCGGCACTGAAAAATATGCAAACGTCGTCGCTGCCAAGTATGTATCTGAAAAATAGCATTTTCATATCAGGTAAATCCTTCTGATTTTATATTGCTTTTGAAGGATTTTAGACAAGTGGTAATTATGTATTATAATGTGTATTATTCAAATTAGATAAATAACATAAAAACTTAAATATGAAGCTATTAAATTTCTACCTTCATTTTTTTACGAAATTATAGTAATAATAAATTAATGTTTGAGAGATTTGTGTAATAATATTTTAAAGCCGGCAATGATTTTACAAAAATTAAGCAGACCTATTTTAATTTGCGGCTAGGTAATTTCCAAGGCTTCTTCCTTCTCCTCAAGCATCACTTACCACTGTTATCTCGTCAAATTAGTCTCCTTACACCCCCTGTTGGCCTTTTATGTTCATTGTTTTTGTCATTAATATTTTCTTGACCAACATTCGACATTCGGGAGGCTAAATTGTTGCTCAAAATCATCCCAGCCAGCCAGCAATCGGCCTGGGCCAGCTGTGTGACCTTCACTGCCACCTGACGGTGCTGAAAACAAACCAGACACGTTCGAGGGGAAATTTTTGTTCTTTTGTCACGTCGTAAATATGGCAACATTGCGAGCAGTGCGATTTTAGTGAGTAAAGTTGGAGTTTGGATTTGGAGTCGGTCGGTCCGCTGACGGGCTGATATCGGCTCCCGTTTTAACTTTGGTTCCGTTTTGCACAACACCGAGATCGAAATTTGAAGTTTGCAAAGTCGAATTTGCGGCCCGTTTTCGGCGCTTTTGGTAAGAAAGTAAAGAAGTTCTTTGCCTGCCTTATGCTTGCCATCATCGCCTTGCGAAATGCGAGTTTTCATTTTACAAAGGATGTCTATGTATTTATTTTTAATCATAAATAGCTGTAAAAAAATTCTACGCAATATGAAAATTATAATTAGCTTTTGTTCTTTATCGTAATTTATTTCAATTATTGACTTTTTAATTTTGTTTCATGCAGGCCGATCCAGAAGAGATGTAATAAATAAACAAAAATCGATCATTCACCATGATGGCAGCGCCTTTAGCTGGCAAAGCAGAGGCCGCGAAGGTGCCACTTCCCAAACCCCCAGTTCCAGCAGGCACAAGTACATATGATACATTTTAGAAATGTACTTTTGAAATCATTATTTACTGACCTAAAAATCTTACGTATTTTAAAAGGTGCTGGAACTGCTGGGGCAGGACACGCCAAAAAATGGCAGATGGAAATGCTGATGGAAAAACTTCGGTCAAAAACCAGCCAGTATAAATCGTTCACCGACAGCGCCAAGTCGCTCAAGCTGTGCCTCCTCGACAAGCGCTATCCGATGGATCTTATGGAGAGGCAGCAGCTCCAAAAGTGCCTGGACACCTTACAGCACTCGTTTAAGGTCACCTCATTGCAGTCGATGGTCGAAAGATTGGGCAGTGTTACCAGACAACTTGAGTTAGTTGCTAACATAAACGCCAACACTTTTAAAAATTGTATTGAAATTATTTCCAGGCTTAAATTCATGGCTGGCCTTTCTGGGACTGACTGGTTTATTTCGTCCGACATGTTCTACTTGGAGGTAGTTTTGGAGCAGAGTGGTTGTGTGAAGGATGTCAAAATTCATCATGAAGGAAAAGTTGAACAGCAGGTATTGATTCATAAAGAATGATTATTAATTAATTATAAAAGTTTTTAATTTGCTAATAATGGTTTTCAGAGTTGTGAAGAGTTGGTCAATTGTCTGGCAAGAGGAGATTTTGCCGACTTTGCCAAACAGCTGGAGAACTTGGCTGCCATTTACCAAATCAACGCAGACAAAAAGCAGAAGGGTAAGGTTTTCCAGGCTCTGCAAAGCCTTGAAACCGACTTAATGAATTTGGCCGAAATCCAGTCATTCATTAAAGAGCCTCACAACTTAATACACAAGTCGCCAGTTGGTATTCTTGAGAATAGGAAAGGAGGTGCGTTTCAAGCAAATATCAAGTTTTATCTTTTTCTAAGTCTTAAATTTTAGGTCATCCTATGAGACTGACATTCTTTGTTTCGCCGTATGACTTATTAGATGAAAAGTTGAAAACGTCTATTCCGATGACTGTGGAGAACGTTATTTCGAAAAGGCTAGGACTGAGTGTTGAAGTTTGTAATGAAGCCAGCGCTCAATTTATTCACTACAAGTTGCCGACTAACCCACTCATCACAATCACAGCTTCGTCAAGTGGAAAGAGGTAGTGCTTAATAATATGATTTAAGATAGGAACTAATTTTATTGCTAGATCTCCTGTGTATGCAAGCCTGGGACCTCAGAACTCGGCCTCTTTGCCTGCCACATTCGTACTTCGGCTATGCAAGCCTATCGCTATGTGCACAAGTTTAGTTAAAGGCTTGCAACAAATCACAGAGGTTGAAACTGGCGATGTAAATACTCAGCATCCGATGCTCTCTCTGATCACCAAGAACTGCTCGTCTGGAGCCTTAGACAGTGCCAACAACAAAGGCCTCTTTGTCGTAAGTGGAGGAAATAATCAATGCATCAAGAAAATATCTTATACTCTATAAAATTCCAGACTCTGCCCGACCAGCAGCACTGCTATTTTTTGACAGAAAGCAAAGGAATAAATGCGATAATGATGCAAAATATCCCTTTCACGCACCCAACTCATGTGCCACAAATTTTGTCTTTGTTGAGACAACAGGCTCTTTTCAACACCTTAGTGGAAAGCTGTGTTCGACCAACAAGCAAGCAAGGTAAAAAAGAATTATTATGTTTGTAAATTAAACATATTGATTTTTTTCTGCTTTACAGAGTTCAACGATTTGATAATTTTCGAAGTGTCTGCACTCTCAAACCAACAGTTGTCTGTCTCATTTGAGCATCCTTTCGAGGAGGCAATGGCCACTGTAGAATTGGACCTCAGCGACATTTGCAACGTTCGTTGTCGGTTGTATGGACCAATCACAGACGACCAAGGCATGGCAGACTACGCCAGCAAAGTTGTGCAAAGGTAGGTCAACACTGTCAGTGAAAAAATAAATTTGAAATTCTTATCAAAATTTATTTGCAGGAGCCTTTCCATTCCAATAACCATGCGAGCGCTCATTCAGAAGTGGCAGCACCAAGCTGTTGAGCCGACAAACTCAAATTTTGGCCTCAGCCTGGGAAATTTTAACACGGACTCCATGCAGAGCAAGCTCTTGCCTGACTTTGAATGCAAGCCTGTCCCACGGCCATCAGAGTCGTCAGGTGGTGGAAGCCACAGCCACATGATGGGACACTTAGGCTATCAAGCTTCTCTCAACACGTCGCCTGAGCAATTTTTTCCATCCCAGATCACAGTAGAGCCAATAGTCGGTCAGCCAAAAACGTCTCCGCTCCTTCTGAACATGATGGGCGACCAAAAAGCAAAGAAACGCCGCAGGTCGAAGGTTGGTGATGCAGGATGGACAGGCAGGAGTCCCAAAAGAAAGTTGAGTACTGAAGAAGACGCGAGTCAGGACACTCAGGGTAGCTACGACTCTATGGGAGTCGCTCCTGCTGAGGCCATGGATTTCTTGGAAGATGCTCTCGTAGACTCTAATGTCGAGTCCTTTGTGTTTGAGGACGAGTCGCAGGCGTCGGACAGCAATGATGAGTTGCGACGCAAACTGAAACGGGCGCGTTTGGAGAGTAGAAAAAATTCAGCATCCTCGACCGATTCAAAAAACTCGTCAGATAACCACCAGGCTTTTGAAATTACTTTGGAGGGAAAATCGAGCCTGGTGGGACCCTCCGTTAGCATCACTCCGATTTCAACCCCCACCGAACCACCGATTTCGTCTGTTCTGGGAAACGTGGGGCTTGACAAGCGCTCTGGGATTGAAATTATTCCACTGAGCTCAGGAACACCTTCGCTCCCAAGCTCCATCACAATTACACCTATCAAGACGGAAGAGCGGAGTAAAGATCGGAGCAGGGATGAAAAGTCGTCAAAAAATAGAGACAAGCGACCCGACGAAAAGAGGTCTGAAAAGAAGAAAAAACGTCACAGGGACGAAGAAGGCAGTTTTGAAGCGGGAAAGTTGATGGGACCGCCGCAGGCTCCAAGCAAAGACAAATCCAAATCGGAGAGCAAATCTCCAAAGCCTCTGACTTCTCCTTCCACTTCTCCTCCTCTGCAACGCAAGTATCCGAATTCTCCAACTTCTCATTTATCACCAGGAGCAAACAACCCTCAGATATCACTTGTCAAAACTCCAACAAGTCCGACGCAGAAGAGCAAATCGCACAGCAGCAGCCCTAAGCATTCGGGCACTGGCTCAAGCTCTTCATCGCCTATCTATGGCAGTCCCAAACATTCTGCCGTCAGCCCGAAGCATTCGACTCCATCACCAAAGTCAAGCTCAGGCAAACCAAGCATGTCTGCTTTGAAAGGCACTCTTTCAAAATCCAACAGCAGTGGCAGCAGCAGCAGCAGCGACCCAAACAGGGTCAAGAAGGACAAAGACAAAAAGTCTTCCTCGTTGAGCAACAGCTCATCGAGTCCGAAGTCCAAGTCTTTGTCGTCATCCTCGTCTTTGTCTTCCAAGGTGAAGCAGGATTTTGGGTTGAGCGGAGGGGATTCGCCCCTGCCAGCGGGGCAACCACCGATGACACCTGCTCAGAAGGTGGTGGCCTCTCTCCTGGATTTGGAGCCGGCAGTGGTGATGTCCACTCACAAGCAAGGGACGCTGGCGTCCGACTACACGGCGGGGTCGCCACCACTGCAGTCGGCGCCTGGAGCAGCCAGCCTCCCAGCCACCTCCGCGCAGGACCCACAATGCTCCACCAAGTGTCCTCTGCAGGGACGCAGCCGCAAGGGCTCGCTCTCGGCTGTGATCGACAAATTGAAGTCGGCCCAAACGTCGCCGCCGCCGGACGCCGAGAGGAGGGATTCTGACAAGCCCAAGAGCTCGTCCTCCCAAAAGTCCTCAACTGACAACAAGAACGGCTTGAAAAATTCCGAATACATGGTCAAGTCGAGCTCTGAGGGCATCAAGATCACAATCAATAAAACTAAAAAGGACTCGAAATCGTCATCCAAGTCTTCTTCGCTGCCCTCTTCTCCCAAGCACACTGGGCTAAAGCCGGGGGTCATCAGTGGTCCTGCGTCAAAAAAGCCTCTTCACAAATCAAATTCTTCTTCCTCTTCGTCCTCAAATAGAACATCAAGCCCGTCAAGCAAGTCCAAAGGTAGCCTGAGTCCAAGCACTTCGAAGTCCTCCTTGTCCAAGCAGAGCTCCACCAACTCGCCAAAGTCTTCGAGCAGCAGCAGCAGCTCTTCAGACAAGCAAAGGACTAAGGACAAAATAAAAGATCGTCACTCAAGTCCTTCTACCCACCGGGAAGATGCAGACAGCGAACGAGCATTTAAAATTTTGGCTGCTCAGGCAAAACTTGAAATCGAAATGCCTAAATTGGACACTAAATTCCAAATCCCAAAGCTATCGCGCTCAGAGAGTAAGGAGGACAAAAAATCTACTGAGAAAGAAAAACTTTTAGAACCCAAAGTGGAGCTGAAAAAGCTGGAGGATCGAGAAAAGCCTCGCAGCTTTTCTCCGCTGCCTTTGAACAACTTGAAGATGGTGCCTGTTGTCGCTCTGCCCATGCTACCTTGCACTGATGTGCCAGTCAAGGTGGTGCCTGAGAAGGAGCCTGAAAAGCAAGTAGAAGCTGAGATTCCCGACCTGGGGCACCTGAGCCCCCCGAAACTACCAATTGAAACGCCTAGAGATTGCGATTCAGACGACAGCTCTCCTGGTCTTCTGATTGACTTCTCAGTGGACAAAAAAGGGCTAAAGGGGTCTCCGCCGCCTCCACCCCTTCCTCCTCTATTGATACCAGTGCAGAAGTCGCCTTTGCCAGTCCACTTGCCTCCAGTATTGTCACCGTCTGTGTCTGTGCACATTGTCAAATCCCCAGCCCCTTCGCCTATTATTTTACCCTCGCCCCACTCGTCACAACCCTCGCCATGCATCACGGATGATGAGCTGATGGATGAAGCACTTATCGGTTTAGGAAAGTGAGTTTTTTTTATTGTTCAATTGTCATCTTAAAATTTTGTTTTATGTGCAAATCTTTTTGTCTGATTAAAAACTTATTATCTATATCACATAAATTCCACTATCTTTAATCATGCAAGCAGAGGCTCGGCAACCTTCTTTTTCTTTCTGAAAAACTTTGGGATTTTAATTTTACTTTTCTGGCGCACTTTGTTTACTGCTTCTGAGGTCTCTGAAAGAACCGTTTCGCTCAAATAAGCAGAGTCGGTTGGAGAGACATCTGGTTGATCATGGGGCTTATCACTTGCAGCTTGGACAGGAATATTTCTAAATTAAAAAAAAAAAACATATATATATTAATCAGCAAATCATTAGTCCATGAATTATTACCTCAATTTTAACTGGGTAGAGGGAGGCATGTGGCCAGGTCGAACAGAATCGTAGAGCTTATCAAAAAAGTTTCCAAACAATTTTGATTTCTCATAGTCCAATCGGAAGTTAAAATTCAGTTTGCTGGGCACAGAACAGGACCCGAATGTCACTGGTATCATTTTCCTCATATTTGTTTCTGAAAAAATGATTTAAACAATTTCATTTCATTGAAAATCAAAACTTATTTAGCTCACCTATCCCAACTAACTGTGCATACGACACATGGAAATTATTCACTTTGTCATTTTGAAATAAGTGATCAGAGAAAATGACCACAATCTTGTTACATCTGTTTGCAATAAGTTCAAGAACAGCGTCAAATTCGAATACGCCAGGAATGAGGTCTCGATTTTTGTCAAAAACCTAGTCGAAAAAATAAAAGACATAGTAAATTTGGTGGCATTAAAATATAAAAAAAAATCTTACTCTGATGTGTCTTTCTTCCAAATTTTCAATAATTTCTTTGGCTCTGTGGATGTCTTGGTCTGCGTATAGCAGCATGACATCGTACTGTTGTGGAGGAAGACCTTTCTCTAAGAGATAGGTGTCATCTGGAAATAATTTATAATAAAATTTTTGTTTTGCTACAACTAGCTCCTCTTTACCGACAGTGAGTGCACCTTTCTCGCTACCGAATGGCAGAGCATCTGCTGTTCGACAGGCAAAATTTTCTGCGTCCAGTTCAAAGACTGGCGTGAGGTCATCGTGAACATCCCAACGATCCAGTTCTTTAAGCACCTCTTGCAGAGTGCCAACATTAGGAGGCAACTTTGGATCACTCAGCGCCTGCCAATATTTCAGCACTTCCGCTGTAAAATGGCACTGTGTTTTTGCATTCAATGCGTTTTGTTGAGTTGCGGTCAGCCCGACCTTTTCAGCTAGTCCTCTCCAATCCCTGTAATTGTGAAATAAAAAAGTTAAAAACACACGAAACGTTAAATTACTATTGGATATATGAGTGAGCAACTTGCAAGAAGATTATTTAGGTGTTTAATTATTATTTAATACACACACCTCAGGTATCCATCTTTGGAGCGGATGACTTTCCTCGAGTCTAGCACCAACCCTAGTTGCTCTTGAGTTGATGGTTTTAATGCCGAGAGCGGTGTTTGAAAAAGATTTTGTTTGCCCATTGCCTATGTACCTAAAAAATATAAAACGATAACTTTTTCTCATTATTCAAATATTTACATTCCGAACCTTTAGGTTTTAGGTGTTTAACAATTTCATGGACGACAGGTGAAAGCCAAGTTTTTAAAAACAATCCTCTGTTTGTTTTTAGCCCTGAAAATTATTCTCACTCCAGCAGACTTTCTACTAGTATGGTGTAAGAAATGTAAGGTCCTCGACTCTCCAGCTGTCCAGCTCGTGAACGGCGTGAGGTTTGATGATTTTCAAGTTGAGGCACCAAATGAGCACCAGTAGCAGGGCAGAAAACTACTTGTTGAATCTTGCGAAAGTTTTGGTCCGAACTTGCTGGAGTGGTTGCAAAGCTGGCAACGTTGTACCATTTTGCTTCCCGTCCTCTGATTGGTTACAATTGCAGGCACTGTCCAATCAAAATTCAGCACCAGTCAATAATGGGCGGTGGATTTTTGGGTTTGTTTTGCAGCCTTGAACCCTGGGAAGTCCTCGGGCGGGTCAACTGGATTGGATGTTCTCCTTAAAGCTTTCCACTTTATTGAGCAGCAAAGCGACAAAACTTGCTGCGACGTGGCTATCAAGACCAATTCGCGAGATAAGTGGCCAAAAATCAAAGGGAAAAATGGTATTTCATTCAGAAATATATTTTAAACTTGCTAATTATTATGCTCTTTGGTATTATTTTTTTAAAGGCTACCAAACTAGCTGGAGATGAGCGAGTGAGCGCCCTTGCGCCTCTCAAAAGTGCCGGATGGACCGAGGTCAACGACAGAGATGCGATTTACAAAGAGTTCCTTTTTAAAGACTTTAATGAGGTTCGAATAAAAAAATCAAATTAATTTTGGTTATTTAAATTTGAAATTCTTCGGATATTTAGGCTTTTGGCTTCATGAGCCGGGTCGCATGCTTGGCTGAAAAGATGGACCACCACCCTGAATGGTTCAACGTTTACAACAAAGTGCAGGTGACCTTAGCCTCCCATGATGTTAGTGGAATCAGTGGACGTGACGTACGGATGGCTACATTTATGGAGGGCATAAGCAAGAAGTGAAGATAATATTTTTTGGTAACCCCGATGAGATTGTAAAATGCATTTCCTGAAATTTTATGTAGTTGGTGTTCAAAGCAAAGGTAGAAAATAGATATCCAAGCAAAGTAAAATGTTCTTTTATTTGCTTATGTGTTGCCGCGTCCAAAAATATTTCATAATAATACAGTTGCATGCATCAAGAATAAAAGAACATTTTTTTTTCATAAATGCTCACATTGAATTTGTTCCTCATAGAAATTCTTGGCGAATCACTTCCTCGATAATCTCTGCCAGGTAGTCTGAATCCTCAGCAACTCCAGTTTTTAATACGTCTGCAATCAGTCCTTCGATGCGGCAACTAAAAGTTTTAAAATGAGAGGAGAAAAACTCGATCATAATTGGCATTTACTTATGCGAGTCTTCTAATTGGACGGCAAAATCTGCAGTTTGCGTCTCCGCTTCTCTTTGAAGAGCGTCTTCCCCTGTCTGAGTTTCAGTGTTGCTAACTCCATCATGCTTAGCCACCAAGAATCTCACATTTACTGGTTTGCTAAATTTTCAGGCATTAATATGTTTTTACCAACTTCATTATATTACGTACCTCGTCATGGTTTTCATTTGTGAAACCACATCAACCAGTGGTGCATATTTTTCAGTCATTGTGCCCTCATCTCTAAGAACACTTTGAAGTGGTGTAAGTGAGGGCTGCACTTCTCTTTGCACTATGTTTTTCTTTCCCTTTGGAGCAGTCTTTTTCTGCAAAAGAGGGAGTTGAATCCAGCACAAATTGGTGATGGTAAACTTACCATTTTTCTTGGCACAAGATTTTTAGGTGCTCCTCTTCTGTTTTTCATTGATGTGGCTTGTGTCGCAGTTGCAAATTCAAACTCTTCCGAGTGAGCAAGTTTGACACTTTCTGCAACTTGGAGTCGCAAATGTATCAGCTCGTCATCCTCCACTTCCAGGCACCTGAGGGCATCGTCGAGCTGAGATGCAAGTTCGAGAAAACTTTCCAGCAAAGTGAGGGTGGCTAAGAAATCTCGTCTCAATGCAGTTTGATTCATGTAGGTCTATAAATTCAAAAATAAGTGAAATGTGACATTTGAATAAGAAAAATATATAAATTACTTGGAGTCCTTGGTTAGCAATACTTAAGGCACGGCTCAGCATACGAAAAGCAGATTGCTTAGCTGTGTTTCTGGCAATGTTCGTGCTCATCCTTTGTATGAGAGGGTTTAGCTTGTCAACCTATACGAGATGCAAAATAATGTTAAATAAATTACATATTAAAAAGTATTACCTCTATTTTCAGGGTGTAGATGTAATTCCTTCTCATCCTGGCTCGAAACTCGGCCAGCTTGACTCTCCGTTTCTCTTCTGCCCTGGGTGAACCCAATTCAGCATTTTCAGCATCGCTTCCCTTCAGCGACTTTTCCAAAAGTGCCCTCAGCACACTCTTTAGAGCGGCCTGGGATTTCTTGATGGCCAAAACTGTTTGATGGTGATCAAATTTGGGTTTCTCAGGTTGAACAGGTGCCACGCTCCCTTTGGTTGACTTTGATTTCACGGAAACCACTTTATCACTCTGCTTTTCTTCCGAGTCTGATGCAGAATCGCTTGAATTACTACTGGTCGAGTATGTGCTTTGGTTATCACTTGAAGACAATTCTTCAGAGCTTTGATCACTTTCATAAGTGGTCGCGAGCGTTTGACCAAAAGACGGGTCAGTTTTCTTCAGATTAGACTTTGGGCTGTCTAATTTTAACTGCATGAATTGCAGCCTCAGGTCGTCCTCCTTGTCTTGACGAGCTTGTCGAACTTGCTCTATGACTTTTTCCATCTGCATCGCAGACACAAACTAAAACAAGAGATTAAGCAATATTATTGAGCACATTAAAAAAGGCCTGCTGCGTACCTTAAACTCAAAATTATCCATTTTCCTGGAGAAGTTTGACGAATTTTATTTGAAAGAAGTTTGTATAGATTTTCAAATTTCAAACAAAGAGAATTTTATCGTTGCTCTCTACTATTGTCGCTTCTTCTGCATTCCTTGTTGCTGCCCAATCATCGTGTTTGCGATCTGCAAAAAAAGAGTGTAAAGCTGTCAAAAACATACATAAACAAGAACACAACATGCCGGCGCGCTTCTTTTTTCTTGCCTCATTCTGAAAGAATAGTTTGCAATTTACGGAGTTAAATAAATGATGCACTATTTTTCCATGCAAGGTAACCTACGTAAATTCAAACACTCTAAAATTACCTCAAAAACTCGGATCCGATTTTTAATAACTGCATCCTAGCTCTTCATTCAGCTATTTCTGCTCAACGGATTGAATCAACAAGGATTGAATGGATCATAAAAATAAATAAACAAAAATTGGCCAATGGGATAAACGCTTGGGAGGCCATTGCGCTTGCTGGTTGGTCGAGCTCTCGAATCTAGCATTTTGAATTAAAAAGGTGGGAGAAGCGCGAAGCTCGACATCCACAGCAGATTAATTAAAAAAATTATTCAGATCTGAATAATGAATTTAATAAATTTCATTTAAAATAATTTTTTTAATTATAGTTTTTTGCTCAAGATTTTACGATTCATTCACAGAAATTATAGTAGTGGTTCCGCATGTGTAAAAAAATCTATTTGGATAAAATAATAGTAATGATCGACAAACGACAAAGAGATTGTTTTGTTTTTAATATTTCTAAATTAAAATTCTGTTTCGCCTTTTATCGTCTTGCATACAGTCTCTGAATAATTTCTGACATAAATATTGACGAAATAATTACCATTATCACTTTTCCAAGGTTTTTAAGAAGAACATGTTTTTTTTTTATCTATTTGTATAAATATCCAAATATTTATTATTTTCTTTTTACAATATCATAATCATGGAGAGCAAAAAGTACAGTGAATTTCAAAGGGACTTTAGTATGCGTTTATCCTAAAGAAATTATGTATATATCAACAAATTTCAAGGCATTTTTTTTGTACAGTAACATTTGAATACAGAATGAAAAGCATTTTGTTGGCACAGAGTTTAACAGTAAAATACAATATAAAATTTAGCAAATCTAAAAATATAATAATTTACATCAGTCACACTGCGGTTCTGAAGCCAATGCCTCTGGCTGGCAGAGAGTAACTTTTAATTGGTGCCTCTCGGGAATGAGAATGGGCCACAGCTATGGACAGGCACTGCACCCACTCCTCTGCATTTTTCCCATCTTTGGGCTTCAGAATTAACGAACGGTCCCCAGTGAAAATCTCAAAGGCTTTTGGAATGTTTCGAGCTCCTCTGCTTACTTTCACGCTTCGAATTTGATTCACCTCAATCGGAATTGCATCCTTGTCATTCTGTATATCATATTATATTTAAAAGGTTTGACATTAATATAAAAGTCCTTTTTACCGTTCCCCTGTAGCTAAGATGAGCGCCAGACAAAGTGAAATATCTTGTCCGCCACCGTTTAAAAATCTTCCAGCGCCCCTTCTTTTCCTTAAGCTGGCCCTCTATTACAGGTTGAGTGGTCTGCAAAAAACCTACAGCTCGCTCAGGGTGGTTGCACAAAAAGCAACCCCAAATCTGACGAGATCCATTAAATTCGAAGACGTCAAAGAAGCCGCTGTTGCGGAGCTCGTGCAACAGCATGTCTTGGTCCTTCAACAAAGAAACAATTTAAATTCTGGAAAAATCTGAAAGAATTTAGTCAAGTTACTTTTGAGCAAGGGAACGCTGACGTCACTAGCGTGAGGAATGATTTGTTTTCGCATTTAAGAATATCCCAGCAGTTCTTCAGACTGCTGACGGACGTTTCTCGAGAGCTGAGAGCCGACTGAGATTTTGCTTGCAAAGCCAAGAACATCAGGTGGATCCAAATACGAGGATTCCTTGTTCTCATAGTGAAGAAGCTGCGGCTGTATAAACAGTGTTCACCCTGGCCTTGACAAGCAAAATGCAATTTGGCCATCTTCTTTGCTTTACGCTCTAAAATTAACAAAAAAATTAAAATGTTGAATAAATCGGTTAATCAACAGAGGAAATTAGACAATATATCAAAAAAGCTTCTTATAAAAAAAATGTTACCTTCAATGGTGCACTTGGCTGGAGGGGGAATTCTTGCCTGCACCTTATCCATGTAGGTTTTTATTTTATCCAAGTGCTTTTCACAAAAATGCTGGATTGTATCTCTCATGGGAAAAGGCTCAAAAACACTAATGCGCTGAAAGGATAAATTTGATTAGAATTGTTTTATTTATAACAAAACAAAAGCTTGAAAGAAATGACCATCAATTTTCTAACCTGGGCTGCAGCAAGACCTGGAACTCCTTGTCCAATGATCGTGACGCTTGTGTTAGTTCTTCGGGTGGGGGCTGGTGCCTGCAAAGCTGCAGTAATAGCTGTTTGTGATGATGAGGTGGGCAACAAGGGTTTTGTATCAGTCAATATAGAACTAACTCCGGGATGAAGTCCTGCAGTGGAAATCACGGAAGCGCAGGAAGACAGGACGGTTCCCGACTGATGCAAGAGGCTGGTGGTTCCCGAGTGGCTCTTGGTGAGTGCAACGGCAGGTTGCGAAAGTTGAAACGGTGAGTGCAGACGAGTTCCTGATTGGGTTAGTTGTACAGCTCCCGAAGAAGTGATCACAGGGTAGAGGCACACTAAAAATAATGATTAAGGAAAGTTGAAAATTCATTACAATAAATGGTACCTGTTTCTCTTCCTGTCTGAATAAATGCTGGAGAGGTTGGCTGAATATTGTAGCTTGTTGAATAAGGAGTGGATATTGAAATAAGTCCATCTCTTTCTTCACGAAGAGCAGTTATGCTCCCACTAATAAAAACCAAAACACAATTTAACAAGAGAATCTTTTTTGACAAAAAGTTACAAAAAAATATTATAAATTTAAGAAATGAAATTAAACTAACAAATTGGATAAGATAAATGTTTACCTGATGCTTTTTGTTGGACTAACAGTACCAGAAGTTGTTGTAACTGTAACTCCGCCACTGGAAATCCTCGAGTTACTGATGAACCGAGGCATATTAGTTGGCCCCGAGTGTATAGCCGTGACGCTTTTGTTGACCGAGGGCAGGGGTACAAGAGGGGGCGCTTGGGGAACAGGCCCCAGATTAATATGCTGGCTTGAGCTGAGACGAGTAACGCTGCGATGAAGACCCATTCGACTGCCGTGTCCCCCGTTCAACTTAGTCATGCTGCGATTCATGTGCAGGGCCGAACTGAGTCTTCCAGTGCTGCGACTGTCTCCTAGCCGTGGCCGCCCAGCACCAACCGGTCGAGAAACGTAAGGCATTACACTGGTTACTGGTGGCTCCTTTTCCCCCGCTTGCTTTCCGTTTTCGACTTTGATTATGGTCACACCGCTGGAGTTGGTGACTGAACTGGCCGTTGTGAGGGTGCTTGGATTGGTGGTGGCTGTCGTTGATGCTTTTGATTCGTTGTTCTGGCGATCCGATCGATCAACCTGTCGAACTTCTGCCAGCATTTTGTCAGTGAAGAGGACGGGATAACTTGAGCAGAGAAGGGTCGCCTCCCTCAGTAAAGTGCCCTGGCTTCCTCTGTCAGCCCGGCGCAAATTTTCCAAAACAAAGTCCAACGCCTCTTGAGCACGAGCCTATGAATGAGAAAAAAATTATAAATATTTACCAAATTATTTTTATATTTTATTAAGTAGTTCTTAACTTAAACTTAATTTGTTATCAATCAATATAATTTGATGAAAACAGTTTAACTTCAAAATTACCTTGCTCAGTTTTCCCACGGACGAGATCACTTGGGCAGCAAGTCCGAGAGTGTTTGGGTGAGATTGAGCTGCTTCTTTAATGCGCTGGAGGTGGTCTACGAGCACTTGAGGTCTAGTGGCTGCCATTGCTAAGAAGACTTGCATTGTGGCAGATGCAGTGGAGGCCGGTCCAAGGTATTCACACAACTGAGGAAGACAAGGTTCCAGGAGCTAAATGATGAGGAAAAGATAAAGTTTAAGAACCCAATGAAAACTAAAAACTTACAGAAGGCTTGTCCTTGGCAATTAGACCAAAAAGACTCAAAAGAGCCAATTTGTCGGGATTTTCACAATGAGGCAAAAGAGCTGCCAGAGCCATCACATGTTCATTGATTGGTTCCTTGTTGACGGCGTAAATTTGAGGTAAGACTCTTGCAAGAGGGTAATTACCTAGTTTCAAATTATAAAAATAAGCGCTGCACAAAATTTGAAGTAATAGTCAACCTGATATAATTGAGTCGATGATTGGTTGGATGTGGAGTGCAAGAAGATCAGCATTTTCAATAGCTGCCAATGACAGATAGGAAGACATATTTCTAGACAGTTCACGGTTTCCTTTATGCAGAAATTTCACAGCCACTGGCAAGGCACGTTTCATTACTTCTTTCTTGCTATAGTTCTGTAAACAGGCAATTTAATTAGCACATCAGATGCAAAAAAATTCAAAATTTACCAAAAAGAGACACGAAATAATGTCGGAAGAAATTTTTGCGTGCGGTGGGTCTTCGTCTTTGAGAGAGGGCTTCAAATTTTGGCTCAAACAAGACTCGAGAAGTTTCACCAAAGCTTCACAGTGTTGTTCTATGGTTCCAGTTTCTCTGAAAATTAGACAAAAATTAATAATCCAATTAAAAAATATTTCTTTCTCTTCACCTAATGGCAGAGGTGACCCTTGTCACACAGATTTCAACGACACTTTGGTCATTGTTGTTGTTGAGGTAGTCCGGCATGGTGCTGATGCGGTTGATGGTTTGGATGACCTCGGTCAGGTCGTTGACAATGGCATGGTCGGACACGGAGAACAGATCGCCCGCCTGCAAATTTAATCTGTTAATTGGCCACACTCTGATTAATTTCTCAGAGGCAACAAACCTTGGAGAGATCTTTTTTTCCTAACACCTGCGTGAACAACTCGTGCATCTTGCGGCTGCGGTTCCCTCTCTCGCCGCTCTTAATCTTTTACACGTTTCTATCCGCAGAGCAGCCCATTATACTGGTTTGACTGGTTTGCTCTAAAACAAAACAATATTCACTTGACATACATACTTGCAGGTTAACTGAGAATACTGCCGTAGAAATAATATGTATTAAAATTTGTAAATTTATTAAAGAAAAATTATCTTCATACTTGACTTCATATTTTTGTTAATTTAACGAAAAATGGTCACTTGTGCTTTGCGATGTATTATTTTAGTACGAAATGAATTCATTTTCAGGGGACCATTGACCGACAGTGGCCGAGAAAATTGCGTCTCTGCGATCCGTAGCCGACGGCATCATCACACTTTTTGACTCATAAATTGATAAGATAATTCGCCTACATGCTGTGTAGCTGTTTACATCAAATTATTTACCTGCTGAAACTCCGAGGGCACATTATCTCCTCACAGAAAGGACATCTGTGTAAAGAAGGGCGGCTTCCCAATTTTCTACAAAATAATCGCCATCGCCAAGAATGCCACATCCACTCTTCTTATTTTTTCTCGTTTTCTGGTGCTGTCAATTTTCTCCTTCTTCTCTCCTCCCACTTCTCCTCCTCCGATTCCATTCACCCTTTTAACACCTGCGGCACCTGCGCCTCCACGGCTTTATTTTGGCCCATCAAGTTCCTCGTTCGTACAAGCGGCAACATTGCACCACAAGAAAATTTCTCCTTTTTACACCAAAAATGAACAAGTAATAGCAAGCAGTTAATATTAAATTGTTGCTCCTTGCAAAAACCTGCAGCCATGCAGGTGCAACCAACCACCAACTTATGGTGTGGAAATGAAATGAAATTAAAATTAACGAAATTAACTAAATTAAGAATAATTTAACCCTAGCCGGTATTATTTGAACAAAAAAGTTAAATGGAACCGGTTTAACACCGTGGAAATATTTTAAATTTATTTTCATTAATTTCCAATATTTTTAATTAAAATTTTCAGTTTTCAAACAAAAATTATAATCACTGACTTATTTCGATAATTATGGTTTTGTTTAATTCTTAAAACATATTTAATAACACTTAAATAAATTTATTTACCGGTTACATATTAAAGGAAGAATCGGTTGTGAATTGTTTTGTTTTGAATACAAAGACACGCCCCTCTATGGAAGCGACAAATAAATCTGATAAGAATTTTCTCTTTTTTGATTGTAAATCGATTTCTGTTTGCCTTCGTAATCAGCCCGACAGAAACGCATGGAAATTCTTGAATGTGTCTTTTCCACAGTGACTGGTGAGAGTCACTTTTAAAACTTGTGAAGCACGTTGATCAAAGTGAGATGACTGGAGCGACTCTTGACAAGCTCTTGCCATTATTTTTAAGAATAAGAGCAAATATGAATTTATATGGTAACGATATTTCTTCCACATTCTTTTCGTAAATTTTGTAATTTCTATCAATTTTCAGATTGACTGTTATTTTCATGGGCATTATTATGCAAATGATGCAGCATTCTGGCAGGTTTTTGGCTCATGCTGTGCCTGTGATTGTCCTCCTGGCCAGTCTGTGCTTGACCGGCACACAAGCTTCTGAGGGAGACCGGTCTTACTTTTTCCTAAGCTGCATGGACAAATGCTTGAAAGTTAATTGCTCAAATGGTATGCATAATAATAATAATGGATTATTTATTAAGCTCAATGAATTTAATTATGATGAAACATCTTTAGAAAATTCTTCAAACGGAGAACAACCACCAGTTGTTGAGCCATCCATTCTACAACTTCTCTGGTCCTGCCAAGATGAGTGCAGCTACAATTGCATGTGGGTTACCGTCAGTTCGTTCCTTGAAAAAGGGTGGGGAGTGCCTCAATTTTTCGGAAGAGTACAACAATCATTTTTTTAGATTTAGAAACATTCTCAATAAATTTGGCTTGTTTGCAGTGGCCATTTATCAGGGTACTAGGTCTTCAAGAGCCAGCGTCAGTCGTCTTCTCGATGATGAATTTGATTGCCAATTTAGTCATGCTGAACGAATTTCAATCAAAAGTACCAAAGTCTGTTCCTTGTTACTATTTATGGACTGCGCACAGCTGGGTAAATTGAAATCAAAATTATTTATAAAAAAAATAGCATTTCTTTTTATAGGTTTGTATCAACGCCTGGTTCTGGTCCACCGTATTTCACTCGCGAGACATCTCATTGACTGAAAAGATGGATTACTTTTGTGCCTTTTCTATGGTCCTGTTTTCCTTCTACAGTATGGTGATGAGGTCAGGCAGTTTTCACTTTTTCAATTCTTGAATATTTGGAATCAAACAAAATATTTTCACCTGTTTTTAGACTTCTGCATTGCCGCATCGACTGCATTTCCACATTATTTTCAATCTTGTGTGGATGCCTCATGGTCTTTCATGTTACTTACCTCTCGCTCCTTCCAAGATTCGACTACAGCTACAACATGAAGGCAAATGTTACCATTGGTATGAATAACTGTGCAGATGGCAAAATGATTTCAATTTTTCTGTTTTCTAGGTGTTCTGAATGGAGTGGGTTGGCTTTTATTTTGCTATTCTAAATGGCACAATCACAAGTATGTTTGGCGATGTGCCCTGTCGGTTGTTCTGGCCATGGCAGCAATGTCCCTTGAGATCTTAGATTTCCCACCAATCTTTTGGACATTTGACGCACATGCCTTGTGGCATTTAAGTACGGCTATGCTACCTTTTCTTTGGTACAGGTAAGTCTTCTTAAAACCGCATTCTCATTATAAGCAAATAATGTTGGGTTATTTTAGGTTCATAATTGACGACTGCAATCACTTACGTGCACTAAAGGATAAAGAAAAGTTAAAAATTCTATGAGCTTCTACTAAACTACTCGCTTTCTGTTCTTATTCTGCATACAAATTGTGATTTTAGAAATTTTATAATATAGTTGTTTTAAAATGCTTTTTTTCAAACGACTGAACAAATTAGGAGAAAGCCTAATATTTATAGCAACTTACAACTTAATAGGAATCATTAACAATGTTTTATGCAAACTTATTGTCCGATTGTTAACTGTTTTACTCTCTGATGTTATGGAGTCAATTAAATCTAATATTATTTATGATAAAAATAAATTTTATGTGTGTGGTTAACTATTTAGAATGAAATGTTTTTTTTAGTGATATAAAATATATCTTTACTTACACTGGGATACATTACTTAATCAAAGAGTTGCATATGTATAATTTATAAAATGACACAAATCAATGAAACATAAATTTATTTAAGATGAGTAATTGATCAGACAATTTCCATACTTGCTGCTCTTATGGAGCTATGATCAAATGAGTAAAATTTGTCAAAAATTATTGCACTGGCACTTGTTAGTGGATTTAAAAATAAAATCAAGGAAGGAAGGCACAAGAGGAGTTTGAAAGTTTGTCATATATATCAATCACAGATTGGCCAGATTGGCTTTTGGTCAAACTTTAGAGCCAGGAGGCATTTTAGCAAAGCCATTTGCAATTCTGGCGGTTGATCGATGCACCGGCACATAAGAGTCTGGGGGGAGTCGCTGCTGCTGCTGGTGTTGTTTGGTAAAATGCATGGGATTCATGTTATTATTGTCCGGGGAAGGATATTGCTGATGAGGCTGGATGTTCACAAATTGCCCTAATATTAAAAAAAAAAGTTATGAAAATATTTGGACCAAATCACAGGCTTTATTGACAATTACCTCTGTGCTTTGGGGTTTGGAATTCAGTTCTGGGATCAGGACGATCCTTGCGAGGCAGGGAGTTGGCATTTGCGTCTCTAAGCATATGCGCTGGATGCATCTGCTGTTGATGGTGGTGCACGGGGTGCAGCATTGTGTGTTGGCCAGCCCGAGTCACACTTTCGTACTCGAAGAAATTTGAAACAGGCCTTTGTTGAGCCATTTCACGAGGATCTCTCCTCTGGGAATGGTAATGCATTTGTCGGCGGCTGCAATTAAATAAGAACCTTTGTTAGCTACAAATGCTGAAAGATTTCGATAAATGATACTAATTAAACCTAGCTCATCCTCACCTTAGTTCTGAATGTACATCAAAATGCATGCACGAGTGAGAAAATTGTGCGACAACAAAAATATATCAACAGAAAAAACCATCACCAAAAGATGCATGCAGAGTAAAGGGTGTCGCAGGCACAAAACAGATTACCTCTCGTCCTCGGCTTCGACCTTGACCCTCTGCAGCTGCACCTGCTGCCTCATCTGTACGATCTGCTGCTCAGAAAGCTGCTCAGTTCGCTTGCTTTTTGTGGCAAAGAGCAGGAAAATGAGAGAAAAAAGACACATGAAAAATGCAGGTTAGTTCAGACTGACGTGATATGTACAAATGTGTTAGTGACAAATTTTTACAAAACGGAGTGTAGAGGAGAGAACTCTCTGTGCAACGAGAGTGGAAAATGGTGTGCCAACTTCATGCGGCGCCTTTAAAGGTATAAAAAAATAAAAATACCTTAAGTGATGTTGGATTTCTTCGTAGTTGACATAGTGGCTGTAGCGAGCGGGATCGCCAGATCGGCTGACAGGACGATCGCCATACAGGTCGTAACTCGGGTTGCGCCGATGTGTGACCTGCATCACAGGGTGGTGTTCTGGTTGAGGGGGTGTTTCCAAGCGCTGAAGCATACCATCGGAATTAAGCTTCTTGAAAATAATTTGGTAATTCATTCAGAAATAAATTATTAAAAAATGATCTGATACCTGTCTTATGGCCTGCTCGTATCTTTCTTCCCTCTCGTCCAGTGGGTACTGCCCCCTGCGCTCAACGTGCCTCCTCTGGTGCTGAGCCCGAAGTTGGTGGATACGATCAGTTCTTGATGTCACACCCTGATCTTGCATCTGCATCTGCTCAAACTGTTGCTGCATTTCGGTTTGCTTCTGTCGCTGCACCAGCCGCTGATATTGCTCCCGAATACGCTGCTGCTCCTCCTGAGCTGCCTGCCTAGCTGCCTCCCGCTCCTTCTCCTGATTGTCTGCCTCTTCAGCTTCTTCAGTTAGCTTCCCTCCTTGGAGTGGATTTTCAAGACCCTTCCGATGCTTTCCGAACCTAAGCAAATTTAATTATTTTAGGACCTTGATGCTTAAATCATTCAAAAGTTGACATCAATTTATATCAAAATTATTTAAATTTATTAGTACAAAATTTACCTAAACATTGATCCTATGCCTTTGAATAGTCCTGCCTTTTTCTTGCCGTCCTTCTTGTATTTGTTGTCTAAGGCAGAGTTGAGAGAAGACTGCCTGGCACTTCCTCTGCCAAAGTTACCTGCTGGCTGAACTTCGGCTTCTTCCTCAGACACTGCGTAAGGATAAAATACATCTATGGCTCGTTCTCGTGGCTTAGCAGGAGGAGGCAGTGGAGGAAGGAAGACGTGTTCCCTAGCCGGTATTGCAGCAGCTAGCCAAACCAAGCACACCAAACCACAACCGTTAATAATTAGCAGAAGACACCTTGATTAATTAGCAAAAGCACCTCATTTATTTACAGCGAGGCGTTAATTTTTATTAAAAGTTTGGTGTTATAACAGGGACTGTGATTATTAGGCGATTCTTCAGTGGGTTATTAAAAAATTTTAAAGCAGAAAGATTTCTGAGGAAGATTTGGATCAAGAATGAGAACTTACGGGTTTCCATTCTCGGCTTCATTTCGCCCAAAGGAGCATCATAGCTCCTGTCGACGGCTGCTCTGAAGCTTTCGTTGCACCCTCGGCCTCGTATTACTTTAACGGGACCTTGATTACCTCTGTAAGTGTAAGCTACTTCCCCGTCCTCCATCATCTGGATCTGCATAATAATTTAATGTCAAACAGTTTTTCAAAAAATTTCAAATTGCGTACCTCTTGAACCATAGTTTGAAGAGATTCTAAGCTTGACGACTTTTTCATTCCTAGTCCTGGGCCAATATCACCCTTCTTAGCGTCCACTGGAATTCCAAGATTAAATTAGATCAAAGTTGTCAGTTATTTGTCTCTTTTTGGACACATTTTAGTTGATTGTGAGTAAAAAAACATGGATTGCAAGACATAAACTGATGCAGAATACATACACTCTGAGCCAGCCTGAGAACGGTTCATGCTTATGATGGACTCCACAGAGGCAGCACGGAACATTCCTGACACAAATTCCCTATTTCTTACAGCTGAAAGACAGGCACGAGGAAAAATAAGAACCAAAGGCAGGCCAAAACAACACAAATAATGATCAGGCAGGGTTATATGATTTATCCAAAATTAATTGACAAAAGACACCGAATATGGAAAACTGTATGATTGTATCAGTAAGTTGATTCGTCCAAAGTGAACGGACTAAATATTATTTGATTTTAAAAGTTAGTTTAAATTTGAACAAAGATTTAGTTGCTGTTAGTAATGACTTGTTTTCTGTTAAACACTCTGGAGTAAAACGTTTTATAAACTTACCACCATTTGCGTGTCCATTCATTAATTGTTCATTTGAGTTTGGCTGCTCACTTGATGTGTTTTTCTGTCTTTCTCTCTCCTCTCTAAAATTAAAAAGATAGAAAATTTGAGTTTTTTTCTTCTTCAATATTGAGCCAAAAAATTAAAAATATATTGGAAAAAGTACCTTGCTTTCTTCTGTCTCTGGTATGTGTCAGTATTTTTTGCATCTAATGAAGCATGTCTTTTTTCAGACATACTTTGCCTTCCAACGGCATCTCTGGCAAAATTAGCTGGATCTACTTCCAAAGATAATCTAAAAAATTAAGAATATTTTAAAGCACACTGAAAATATTTTATGTCAGTGTCTTACTGGCTAGCATAAGTTGCATCTCCAGGGGCCCCTGGCGTACTGGGGGTTTGTGGTTCATGCGGACTCTTGGGATTGGGATATTGTTCCTGCCTATCTGGGGGTGGAATACTGAATTTTTCTGGTCTCCTAAAAAAAAGAATTTCATTAACTTTGAACTCACGTCATAATTAAATAATCCACCTTGGGTTTGGAGCAATTATTTGGTGGGTCATGTATTCATCTTCAATCAAGACAGTTTCCCCATTAGGGCAGTGGAGGGTCGGAGAGCTGAATTTGTTGCCCATTGAAGTGAGATTAGCATTCCAGGATGAGTCCATAGTAGCCTGAAAGAAGGCTTATAGACAATTTCTAGATTGTATAAAATTTAAATACCCTGTAGTAACTCTCATTTCTCAGCCCTGCGTTACCGGTAAGACGATCCAATACAGGATTACGATTTGCCAACGGGTCCATGGGATCTTAAGAAAATTGACAATAGTTATCATTCAACATGCAGTCAAGACATTTCCATACTTATGATTTTCTTGTCTAAAGGTCGAACATCCCGCTGAACATCTCCGTTTACTTTGGGCATGAAAATTACCGTGTTCTCGGAGGTTTCACTTGCACATGAATTTTCAGGAGTTGGTCCTTCGCCGTCGCCTCTGTAGCCAAAAACTTCGGTACCTGACGAGGAACTGAGCAGGCTATTTGCCGAGTCTCTTCCAGAGGTGGCACTCTCAGTAGAAGTGTTGAGATTCTGCATCGAGGAAACTCTGCGAGAAACAGTGAGCGTAATAACTCCAGGCTTAGGACCCTCCTGGTGCATGTTCCTTCGAAGGGTCTCCATTGCGTCAGAGTTATTTGATGCTATCAGAGACACACCATTTATGTCAATTAATTGGTCATTTGTTCGGAGACGGCCATCTCTTGAAGCAGCACCTCCATTTATGACACTTTTCACAAAAATACCCAGATCAACAGAACCACCAGGCACTGCCGATGTCTTGCCCTTAACACTCACGCCTAGAAATAAAATGTTAATTTTTGGAATGCGTGTTTAAATAACACCATTACCTAAACCAGCCTTTTCCGTGTCATGAACAGGAATGTCAAATGTGAGAATCTCCCTGTGTTTCCAAGGGAAGATAATTCCGTCGTCATTTGCCTTTTCTGGTGGCTGTAATTTGAGGTCAACTGTTAGTTCGGCGCCTGATAATGACTAAAGGGATGACATGAAACACATTTTACAAGCTGATGAGGACAACACAACATTTGTTATGTGTACAATTTACACGTCTGAGACTTGGAAAACGCCCATATAACTTAAAGTGAGTGCCTTAGAAGATGTATCATTTATTTGTGAATAAATTAATTCAGAAGTGCCTCAGTCACACACATGGCCATTCAAGGCACCCGTCCAACTCTCAGGCGCTTTAAATGCACAGCAGGCAGTGTCTCAGATGAAGTATTTAGCATTATAATGAACCAGGAAATTCCAGAGATGAGGAATAATTACTTTCTACAGATTTTACACTACGAATAATTGAGTTTATATTAAAAAAGTTTGAAAGTGTAAATAATCAGCTAACGCGGTGCTATGGAAATGTTTTGAGTGCTGTGAGACCATAACTCACAGTAAGAGAGGCATGCACAGAAAAAAGTAAATAAATACGCCCTAGGCAGGGAGTGTTAAATATACAGAGTGTACACATCATATATTAATATTAGCGTGTCTGTAAGGAGATTAAGTAACGCGTTGCATGGAGAGGTCAAGTGACAACTAGCTAATAATTGTAAGGCCATGAAAGAGACATGCATCATGCTCTGTTTGTTCGAACCTCATCAGATCGCATCGGCTGCAGACAGTTGTCGTCATTATTTGTGACCCTGTCAAACTTGTTGCCTGCTCGACTCTGTATTCATCAATCAGCAGATACAACCATGTATAAGTGGTGCAATTCTCAACAAGAATACTTTTTGATTTTTATTTATCACTAAAAAAGTTATTCCAAAAAAAATGCATGCTAAAAATGGGGAAATATTGAACAACACAGTTACAGCAAAGAAGACTTGGGGAAATTAACACCTGTTCTTAAAAAAACTTCTGTCATGCTTGATAGTATTGACCATAAATATCAACTCACCAATTCTCTTGGTAACCTGGGGCTTTCGTCCCCCTTGTCTTGCCTCGACACCACAAGAGACACTGTGCTTCCAGGCGGCGCATTTCGAAGAGTAGCAACAGCCTCAGACTGAGTTTTTCCTGTCATTGCAACCCCATTGACCTCAAGAAGTCGGTCGCCAGGTTTCAGTCTACCATCCTCAACAGCGGCCCCCTAATAAATGAGACTTCATTAGTCAATCAATTTTTTTAATTGATAAATTATCGCACCTTCGGCAATATGTTCTTGATGTATATTGGACAGTTGCCCCCTGCAGGATTATCTCTAGTTGTTATACTGAAGCCTAAACCGTGTGGTCCCTTCACTAGCTCTATTTCCAATTTCTTGCCTAAATTTTAAAAAAATGTATAAAAAATTTCACTTTAACAGGAGTTTGATCTAACCTATTTTTCTAGTATTAGCAGTAATTAATATGTTGGCGTTTCTAGAAGCTGGATGAGCAGATGAAGGCACTTTTTTCGTAGGGGACACGGTTGCCACTTTAGTGTGGACATTGGGACCTGCAAAGATGAAATGATCGGGGGTGAGTATAAAAAGCCAGATGACATTCATTGAGGTCTCCAAGGAAGACTTGAATGCTCGGTTTGTGTGTTTACCTTTTTCTTCACCCTCTACCATGTTCACCAATTCACGATCTTCAGAATGAGCTCTTTTGGGCTGACTGTCCGCACCAGAGGATGGCGCTTTGTTGGGGAAGACTGGTGGAGGTGGACGTCGCACATCCAAGTTATGTTTGTACTTAACTACCCTCAGTCTCAGCTCAGGACTCTTCAACGAGTCCCTAAAGATTTCTTGAACGCTGAAATTAAAATTTTTTGTTTTAAAACTAAGCACAATGCTACAAAAACTATAAACTCACGTCTGGAATGGCATGTTAAGGAGATTGTGGCCGTTGATTTCGATGATACGGTCGCAGAAGCCGAGGCGGCCATCCTGGTCAATTCGACCGCCTGGCTCAATGCCCTGCACCAGAAGGCCACGGTCCTGGCCTAGTCGATCGTAATCGGGAACCACATGGATACCCAAGGGCCCCTCTTCGTTTCGCAAAACAACATATTCGATTCTAAAATAAATACATTTGAATAAAATGAAGAGAATAAAAATAAATTTATTTCTTACACATCCTCCTCCTCAGCATCTGAGACGGGGTGGTGGATGGGACTTGAGCTATTTGCACCAAGAGGCTCCTTGCGTGGCGCCGAGGGAACTGCGTTTATTCGCTCCGCAGCCTCCATCCACTTCGCGCCGCCATCGCTCAAGAACTGCATCGACAGTCGATTCGAGTCCCGCACAAATTTCGAGAAGGCGGACGACTGCGAATTCGGCGACGGGGTGGCTGAAAGCTCCTCTTCCTCAGGCCAGGGGTGGCCGTTTTCATTGGTGCGGCGTGGCTGCTGCTCTTTGCGATGGGCCGCCTTCCGCGCAACCGCCGATTTTGGCGTCGGCTCCTCATCCATCAGGGGCGCCGCCGACCAGCGTTTCGTGGCGTCGCATGGCGACGCCGCCGGCGCCGTTACGGGCAGGTGGTTTAGGGCGGGTTCGGAGCCGCGCCGCACCTGCAGCGGTGTCAGTCCTGCTTGTTCCTCCCCTGTTACCTCTATGTCCGTCTGTCCACACTGAAAACAGACAGTAAATAACATTTAAAGGGGCTGAGCGCAATCAAGTGGTGGAAAACGCCTTTTTCCTGTAAAGGGGTGAGGGGTGGCACGCGACAGTTCAATCGCACCTGCCTTGCTTGAATTTTCAAAGCGATAAATATTATCCAGTGAAAATAAAGTATTTAAAAAAAACATTCATGGTTGATAAAATAAAATACAAGTCATTCAAAAGTAAGTTATGAATGTAGAATTGAATTTCAATGCATGAAATTGCTTCCTATATTTTCAATGTTGCTACAATTTTTTGAGAAAATGAAATTTCATGCAGTTCTTTTCTTTAATACCGAGCTTATAATAAATTAATTGCACATATTAAGCATTTTGACTCACTGGTGGATGGAGATGCGAAATGAAGAGGTCGGGGCTGTTTCCCCCGGCGCTGCTGGAACCAACTGAGGAGCCGCCAGCGCTGGCTCCATCACCGCGATCGCCAACGTGCGGGGGTGCGCCTGTGATGTGCCTGCCGTGAGCGTCGTCGTCCTCAAAGTTGGCGATGATTTGCTCACGGTCGTCCACCACGTCCAGCAAGCGGTCGTCGGGGTCAAGGATGCCACCGTCGGACTGGGATTGAAGACTGTGCACTGCAAGCCACGAACTTGCGCTCTGCAACAAATAACAATTGCACGTGAGTTGACTGTTGATTATTTTAAATGGAAAATAAATGTCTAACTCGTCCTTTTAGTTTTATCTTTGTGAAAGTGTTAATTATTCTGCCAAACAAATAACACATCAGCAGATATTTGCACTTAATGCTCATCCTTTTATGGTCGGAGAGCCGCGCTTAATTAATGAATTAAATGTTTCACAGGCACTATAAAGAGAAAATGTGCGGTTTCGATATAGTTTCAGCCAGGAAAGATGCATGTTTACAAGTGATTTCTGAAACGGAAATGCGTATTTACAAAATACAGGTCTACAGCGTTCATTTCAAGCGGCCCAGATAGTCACTGACCCAAACTTACAATTAGCATGAGATTTACCAAATTTAACGGCGAACAATTGTCGCTAATTATCTGCAAGTTTGGTTAGAATTTCGTCCAAAGAAAATAGCGTCCGAGTTTAATCTTATCGTAGAAACTCGTTTGATATTTAATGACCCTTGATTTCAAGCGATTTCATTAGCAACAACGGAGCAACCAGCGGGAGCGCAGCATTTTATTCCAACTCCAATGGACACATTTTTTAATGCATTAGGACCGCATTATAAAGGAATTCATGACAAAAAGCATTCTTTGAGGAAAAAATCAAGATAAAAAGGTACGGGTGACCGCCATAAATTTTGTAAAAGCCACCTGCACTTGTCTAGATTGGTCAAGAATATGGGGCTAAGTGCGGCTGAAAGACAAGGCCTGGGAGTGCGTCGGCTGCAAATGGCGAGCAGACGAAATGCAGTTAGACAGATTATGTGGTGCACGTTCGAGCGAGACCAACAACTGAAAAATGGCGCTCCATTTGCTCTTTCTCTTGCGCAGAGGAGGCTCTTTTAATGCAAGTAACGTTAGTCGGCCTCGCAAAAGTGCTCCCAAAATCACACCTTCCACGCTCCTCGCAATTAGAATGCCTAGCCGAATTTAAAATTACTGCTGATCACCAACGCGGATTGTTTCTCACGACGATTTCGCTGCCATATGAGTATGATTCATATCCCTGATTCATACCGACGAGAAAAAGATTCCAGTAAAAAATAATAATTGTAAGATGTATAAATAAATACACACCAAACAAAAAACTAACTAAGAGAGACATTCGAGGATTTCAAAGCACAGAACAAAGCGTTTTTTGAAAGGCGTGTGTTTTGAAAAGGTAAAAAAAAAGAAGAGAAGAAACCACCACATTGAATAGAACCAATTTTGTGTCTGACGAGCAAATAAGAGGTTTGTGTGCATCCATCTCTTGCTTCTTTTCTTTTCAAGGCCAGCATCGTGAAACCTGACGAGGAGTATTGAAATTCACTTGCTGCTGCCGGTCCCGCGTACGTCTGCCCCCCTGTTCGGTAACAGGAGACAAAAGGACTGAATTCAACCCCTTCAGAATGCAAAAGAAAAAATAAATAAATTATCCCCCGCCAAAAACCAAAAAGGATCGACATCGTCCTGCCGCCAAGTACCTGCGTCCTGAGCACGCTGGCCACCTTGACGTGTCGCGCCGGACGGGCCGTGGACAGAGGAGACACCATCACCGTGTGCTCTGGGGGCTCCATGTCGCAGGGGCCGCCGGGGGCAACCCGCTTGGTCCGTCTCTCTGCTCCGGTGCGGGCCACAAACTGTCGACGAGAACGAGTGCCGCTCCGAGCAACCAGCCGAGCAGGTCCAAGGCAGGTGCCTCCGGCAGGTAACCTCCGCCCCCCTCCTTTCTGGGCCCGAGGGCCGATGACCTCTGCCCGAGGGCTCGTTTGCCAATATTTTGCATAATCGAACTTTGACAATTGAAATCCATTTGAACTTTGCAGCTTTTGCAGTGGCTCGTACAATTTTAGGATCTCGGAGGGAAGTAAAAGCCGCTGGCGCGTGTTTATTGCTTTATTGCTCTGCAGGAAGAATTGGTTGCGGCCTCAGGTTGGGGTTTTATAGGTTTGGGCAGTTATTAAGACAAAATTTTATTGACACGCTTACAATGTAATATTGGTTTTCTTTTTATTTAATATTACATTTATTTTTGAAATAAATGCTAACTGCAAACCAAAGATTGCAAAAAATAAATCATTGATTCTGAGGTCAATACCTAATTATTTATAATTATAAAGTATTGAATACTTAGTTATTTTTATTTGGAATTTAAATTTTATAAATTTTAATTGTTAAATTACTAATAATTTATGAATAGTTATTTATAATTTAGTATTAGTTTAATAAACTATAAAGAACTTTATAAATAAATATGCTAACTAAAACTTAAGTATAAATAATCTTGAATTGAAAATCTTTGTGTATTACCTATTATTAATTTTTAATATTTTTATGTTAAATAATTTGTTGTTTGAAATAAAAACACCTTTCATATAATTGACTGTGAATCAAAAATTCAAATTGTTGCTTGAATTTTCCAAAATAACTCTTAATTAATTCAATTCCAGGAGAAGTTATTTCTCAAATTAATAGAAAATTATAATTGTTTTTGACAAGAGTAGACACAATTTGAATAAATTGCAAGTTGTTCGCCACAACCACGGAGATATTTTCAGTTTATTAACAAACAGCAAGTATATAAAATAATGAATCTTTAGAAAATGCTCAGCGGATGAGTTATGAGAAAACCTGCTTTGCAAATTGTGTCTGCGGGCGCAGTAATAGCTTCTTCGCCTTTACAGGCTCCATAGTCTCCAGTGTCGCCGAGTTGGCTTGCAAGTGTACATATCGCTTTCATGAGATAATGGAAAATGAATGTGCAGACGCAGAAAATGAACAAGAACGAGGTAATTTGAGAGTAAAAAGGAAGCTGCTAGAACAAAGTCACCTCGCAGGGTCGAAAGGAAACGACGATTCTTTGTTCTCCGCAGAAGTGGGAAATCTTTGTCATATCAGCAAAAATATTTTTAAAAAACGCGCAAGCTCCAATAAAATTAGATTGCATTTATTCAAGGCAGGAGGAAATCAGGAAATAAAATTATTGGCAGCGAATTTCTTATTTTTTTTTTTTTTTTTTTTTTAGCAAATACGGAGCGAGTCTTCCTCCTCTGCCACTTGCAAGGAAGATTTATGACTAACAGTTCATTGGTATGGTGCAATTACGGCAGTGGAGCAGAGTGAGGTGCTCAATGAAAAGGAAAAAAAGAAATTGTGCCGACAATGCGATCGGCACTGGATTCCTTGCGCGCACCAAAATCATAAAAGAACATGAAAGACCTCCTTCCTGCGAATTTTACGTTCCAGTGGAAATGTAAAGCGTTTGTTATTCTTGTGCCAAGACGAGAAGGAAGGCTGTGAGAGGAGTTACTAGAATGTTTTTCTTTGTTTTATCTGCAGCAGTTTTAGTTTAAATTTGTTGAAAATATTCTTTTTCCAAGGAAACAAAAATGAAAATAACGATATTTAGTTTTTTTTTAATAAAATAAATCTTATTTAATTTGGTTCTTTTTAAAAACAATGAGATATGTTTTGAAAATTCATTTATCGGGAGCATTTATCTAAAACTGGTGCAAATTTCAAGCTCCGCTGCTCACAGAGTTTCTAACAAAGTATTTGTTATAAAACAAGGCACGACATTTCTATTACCTGCGTTAGTTTATCTTAATTAGGCTTGAACTAGGCAAACAATAAACCGTTTGAAGGTGCGTATCTTGGAAGATGTTGTAACAGTTAAATCAGTGGCATGCAAATATGGCAAAGGTTTCGAATTTGAAGGTCGAGTGAGCGTTTATTGAAAGTGAAATGAGCTGACGGTGTACGTGGTTGCTGCTGATAAAACCAACATTGTCTTCTCTTACAAGACACGTTGAATGCCGCACTTTGTGAGCGTACCGAGTATAAACTGCGCGCGGAGACACAACAAAGTCGCGTGTTTTTCTCCGACGTTCCAACACACTTTCTTTGGCTCGAATGATCAGCGGTGCGTGTTTCGGTGTATCATGCGAAATTAGCGAAAGACGTTTCTTCACTTCCACCGAAAACAATTGGAATTTCAGCTGTGGCAACGCGTGGACAAACCATTTTGCAGTTTACTTGCAGTAAAGACTCTCAAGGACGAGTGCAATTCTGGAAGTGCCGCACAAAAACGCGGCGGAAACACGCGGCGGCAGAAAAAAAAGAGGAGCCTTCTCGCTTTCAGGGTCGATCTCACGGTTGGAAATTAATGATAATTACGCGGCTGGACAGAATTTAAATTAGAGATAATTGCGTCGCAATTAGTTGCTTTGCTGACGACGAGAGTTTCCCGCGTTTTGAATCGAGCGATGGAACGAAGAACAATGCAACTGGGTCGCGACCAAGTGCTGCACGTGATTGCATGTTCAACTATTAACAACTTTAATAATCGGCGTGTTGTGCACCTGCCAAGCTACTCACGCCTCTCTAAAGCAAATTCTATGCAGATGCGAAATCAAATTGTCTGCCAATTAATTTTAGATATTTCTATTTATTTATTATTTTTAAAATAAATAGTTATATTTGTTCCATGAAATAAAAAGAATATTTTAACAATTTGATTTGCAAGATTTGTGTTTTTTAGTGAATTAATTAATTGTTATTTTATTCTGAAGCTCCAATATTTATTTTTGAAATTTTTCCAAACAATCACTGCCAATAATAAGAAAAAAATCATTCAGCTAAAAAAACTGCTGGTTCATAGTTAATGAGATGCTTTCAAAACCATTTTCACAAGTCAATGCTTCAGAGAGGATTCACTCCCAATTCGCTCATCTCTGCCTTTGACGTTTTGACCAAAACGCGCGGCAGCGTGAAATTATATGCAAATTCGCCTCTTTTCACTCTCACTATTTATACGTTCGCCCACACAAAGTTTTTAGGCTTTTGAACATGCGTGAGCGCCCCGTTGCGGCGGTGAAATTTGGATTTTCTCTGTTATGATTAGCGAATGAAGCTTATATTTACTCTGCAGCTCACTTTGAGCGGTCGACCATGTGTGTTATCAGAGGAAAAGCGTATAAT